CATTTTTCACATGTTTACTTACCAAACTTGTCCTAATAGAACTTTACAGGTGAACTCGTGGCAATGACTGGTTGACTTTTTATTTTTCAATTTATTTATATTTTTTATATTGTGTAATGCTTTCAACTAATACTTCAACACATCTAACTTTCCAGCTACCTAGCTGATGGCATAGGCACATACAGCACATACAGCATGAAGTAGTGATGCATGCGAAGTTCCCCCGTTTTCTGAAGATGTTGAAAAGCTATCTATCTGGTTAGTTCAAAACATGAAACATGTTTACATGGACAGTAATTGAAATGGATGTGATTCTGAGGTGACAAAGTTAGCTAGCCTAGCATCTCTGCTTGTACGTTAACATACTCTGATGTGAACTCGTCCCGCCCCTCCTTCAGCACTGTAGGGTGGTAAGCAGAGAGCTTAGATGCGCTGCTGCGGTGCCATCTCAGATGATGGCGGCGACGCCATATCCATACCAAAGATTTGTTTAACTAAACCAAGATAGACCATAGCCTGTCGTTTCCAATGGGAAAAAACATAGTGTGTGAAGAGCGCGTGTGCAATAACTCAATTCGCCGTTGCACTCCTTCTAAACAACGTGATTTTGAAAAACTTTTGCAAAGGGCAAAGTCTACAAAACGTAGTCCACTCTGTTCATAACATATTGTAGTTTTGGGAACAGAAAACTTTATTGAGATCAAATGTTTAATCGGTGAGAAAATGTGCAGAATGCCGGCCAAAATCCATCTCCTTCTATCTTCTCCCACTGCCGGCCAGTGGGCTTCCTCTCACTACCATATTTGGTAGTGAGTGGAAACACCAAGCGGATGTTTATAATAATAATAATAATAATATGCCATTTAGCAGACGCTTTTATCCAAAGCGACTTACAGTCATGCGTGCATACATTTTTTTTGTGTATGGGTGGTCCCGGGGATCGAACCCACTACCTTGGCGTTACAAGCGCCGCGCCGCGCTCTACCAGCTGAGTGTCCATACCGTGTTCTGTGTCCATACCGTGGCGAATTCGAATAGCAAGAACTTTAATGCGCCAAATCCAACTTTTAGGTGCATACAGCGCCACCTACTGTACTGGTGTGTGAGGCCATTCACGGCCTACCTACATTAATTAATTGATATGGTAATACAAAATTGGGAAAAAGGAAAATAGCACTGCCAACAATTAGCCCTCTCTCGCTCCAAACAATGTCAAATTTCTTGACCCTAATCGCGTGATCCTGAGCGCCCGTTCCCTCTGGACTGAAGAAACACAATAAATCATCACCAATCCACTCAGAGTTACTCTCACCAACTCAACATTCCCCAACCTCTTCTCCACCCAACCTGACACCACATACGTATGGATCAGCCAAAATGCAAGGATTCATTTTCTCCACAAACCTCACTCCCACTGGGCCAGAATCAACCTTTTCATTCTCGGGACGAGGCCCGAATTTGGCGGTCCTCACCGCATGTACTACAGCCATACTCTTGTCAGGTTCCATCTCTGAGTTACTACACCACGCAGCTTCCCTCTACACTCAGCTACACTCAGCTCCTTCTCGGCGGTCATCACTGCCCTGCCCTATCCCATCTGGACAAGAGGAATACCTATGTAAGTTCATTGACTGTTCATTGACTATAGCTCAGCATTTAACACCATAGTACCCTCCAAGCTCATCATTAAGCTTGAGACCCTGGGTCTGAAGCCCACCCTGTGCAACTGGGTCCTGGACTTCCTGACGGGCCACCCCCAGGTGGTGAAGGTAGGAAACAAGTCTAAGGGTCTAAGGCACTGCATCGCAGTGCTAGCTGTGCCACTAGAGATCCTGGTTCGAATCCAGGCTCTGTCGTAGCCGGCCGTGACCGGGAGACCAATGGGGCGGCGCACAATTGGCCCAGCGTCGTCTAGGGTAGGGGAGGGAATGGCCGGCAGGGATGTAGCTCAGTTGGTAGAGCATGGTGTTTGCAACGCCAGGGTTGTGGGTTCGATTCCCACGGGGGTATAAAAAAATAAATAAATGTACGTCGCTCTGGATAAGAGCGTCTGCTAAATGACGTAAATGTAAAATGTAAATGTAAACATCTCCACTTCGTTGATCCTCAACACTGGGGCCCCACAAGGGTTCGTGCGCAGCCCCCTCCTGTACTTTCTGTTCACCCATGACTGCGTGGCCAAGCACGCCTCCAACTCAATCATCAAGTTTGCAGACGACACAACGGTTGTAGGCTTGATTACCAACAATGACGAGACCACCTACAGGGAGGAGGTGAGGGCTCTGGGAGTGTGGTGCCAGGAAAATAACCTCTCACTCAACGTCAACAAAACAAAGGAGATGATCATGGACTTCAGGAAACAGCAGAGGGTGCACCCCCCTATCCACATCGACGGGACCACAGTGGAGAAGGTGGAAAGCTTCAAGTTCCTTGGTGTACACATCACTGACAAACAGAAATGGTCCACCCACGCAGACAGTGTGGTCACAAACTTTTATAGATGCACAATTGAGAGCATCCTGTCGGGCTGTATCACCGCCTGGTACGGCAACTTCACCGCCCGTAACCGCAGGGCTCTCCAGAGGGTGGTGCGGTCTGCTGAACGCATTACCGGGGGCAAACTACCCGCCCTCCAAGACACCTAAAACAGTACCCGATGTCACAGGAAGGCCAAAAAGATAATCAAGGACATCAACCACCCGAGCCACTGCCTGTTCACGCCGCTATCATCCAGAAGGCGAGGTCAGTACAGGTGCATCAAAGCTGGGACCGAGAGAATGAAAAACAGCTTCTATCTCAAGGCCATCAGACTGTTAAAAGCCATCACTAGCACTGTAGTGGCTGCTGCTGCCTATTGAAATCACTGGCCACTTTAAGAAATGGAACACTAGTCACTTTAATAATGTTTACATATCTTGCACTACTCATCTCGTAGTTATATACTATATTCTATTCTATAATATTCTACTGTATCTTAGTCCATGCCGCTCTGTCATTGCTTGTCCATATATGTATATATTCTTAAATTCCATTCCTTACTAGATTTGTGTGTATTGGGTATATGTTGTGAAATTGTTACATATTACTTGTTAGATATTACTGCACTGTCGGAGCGAGAAGCACAAGCATTTCTCTACACCCGCAATAACATCTGCTAAACACATGGATGTGACAAATACCATTTGATTTGATTTGATCTATATGCTACGTCATGAAATGAGATTGGGCTATATTTAAATGCCCCTTGCATCAAATATCCTGTTTTGACATTTTAGTATTGTGCACAAGCTGCTAGGCAGAAACGGTAGGCATAAATGCAAAAGATCTTGCCTATAGAGTAAGATGATGGTCAGCCTCAACCGCCTGAAGATTGATATTCAGTCCATTTTTCTTGAATGTGGGGTAATTTGTCACATGAACATATTCAAACCCCCAGTATTTGGGAAACAGATCAGGGGTGGCCGCCGTTTTTGGCGGCCAACCCTCTTGGAGAACTACTGTGCCTCTAGGCAGGATTTTCTATGGTCCTATTTTAAAGGGATAGTTTACCCAAATGAATTACATATTTACATGTTGGTTTTGTGAGAGATTTATTATTTTTATAATTGATGGGATGACTAACTTAGAAAGAATGCATTCTTGACTGGGCTAATGTAGGTTGTGACACCTGGCAGGCTGTGATTGATGTGAAGAGCTATTTTAGGGGGTAAAATGAGATAAGGATTTTGTCTCCAGATACTGGAATATACTGGTTCTTTGTGATCTGTGAACCTTCCTTGGACGTAGGAATGGTGTCTAAGGGAGCTGGCTCTTCTCACTATGACAGGTTGTTATGATATGGACTTATGCCTGGCAACAGGGGTGCATCAACGGATTGGCTGAGTAAGTCTAAACCACGCTCAAGTCTTTACTCTAATTGGCCAGCAGAGAGGTGGGAAACTCTCTCTGTCAGAGTATTTGAGCATGAACCCAGAACAATGGATTAGTTCTCTGAAGTGCCCTGCGAGGTATTTCAAAGAGCCCGTATATACGAAACATCATATTTACCATTGAAGGTTTTTGCATTAATTAAAATAACTAGTATATCTTAGAAGTCGTGTTGACCTCTTTTGTTCCTAATGCCAGATTTGAATTGACGCAACTTTGACAGTTTCTTATGGACAAAGAGAGACTGCAATCCATCCTATGGTTAGCCACTTCCACCAATGGTTAATATTAGCATTTTCTAACAAAAAAACTATGTAATTCAATGTCCCCAGTTAGCATACTCTAAATTTCATGGCCAAATAATCTCAAAGTAACTTCAAACCAAGTCCTCCAGTTTTGAGTGTGTATTCAACTTTAAAAGAATCCTGAATAAACTTGACCTGTGATTTTTAAAACATGTTTATTCTGCTCTGGTCATGGGCCTAAACCATGTGAAAATATGTAGATTTGAATGAATTTAGCTTTAAAATAGATTGTTTGGGGGGACCCCCAGACCCCCGGCTAAGGGTGGAGCCATTGACAATAGGAAGTCACACTCCAAGCTACTGTATCTTCAGAAGTTGGCATCCCTGAACTAATAAATTAGCAAATTCGGATTGTAAATAGAATATTAGTAGGTGGGTGTTCAAAACATACGGTTTCGAATATTAAAACAAACGCGTCCGCTAAGTGTTCATTCGCAGCAGGGTTTTGCGCGAAAGGAAAAGGGAACGCTCATTTGTGGACGGGGATAGGAGTCGTCTTTCTCCGCCATTTTGTGACAACAAGAAGCGGAAAACATAGCTAGCAAAGAACTGGCCACAGGTAACTATCTAGATGAACATTTGGGGGTCAAACATAATTTAAGCCGATGCACATTTACATTGATTCGAGGTCATAATTAAAAGTAGGGAACACTTCCTTGTAGACTAAATTCAAAAGTGGCTCATATCGTGACGCTGGTCAATGCGAGGTGTTAATAATTTTTTTGACATGCTCGCTATTCCGTTAACGTTAGTTAGCTAGCTAACAGTTGTCTGGTCACATTGAATATGTATCCTGCTAACCTATACTTTAAAATGACAGCTACATTATTGAACCGAACGTCTTGCTTTTGATGCTTCCACATTATTAATTTATACTTCTTTCACTTCCCTTTCAGAGCTCAGAATGACGAATGAGGAACCCCTTCCAAAGAAGGTGTGAGAGAGCCTCTATTAGGAAACCAAATGTCCCTGTATTGATAATGTTATGCAGCTAAAGACTACTTGCTGACTCTTGTATTCCCATCTTCCTCATTCAGGTTCGCCTCAGTGAATCTGACATGAAGACCCTGACCCGAGAGGAACTGTGTGTGAGGTAAATGGATAACACTACAGTAGATGGAGGATGGGATGATTCTGTTTGGATGTGATGACAAGTATGTTCAATGTGTTCATCATGTGCATGTTTATTATTTGTCCTTTAGGTGGAAACAACATGAAACCTATGTCCAGGTCCTGGAAGCGAAATATGCTGATCTGAATTGTAAGTGCTCCACAAAATGTAGGCCTACTCCAACATTTCATCAAGTCATCATTCAATACCAAACTTTGGGGGGTATAAATACCCACACTCAACACTATTTAAGTTTTATTTTTGTTATGGTGTTGATGACTTTGCTCCTTTTCAGTTGACACATGATGAGGTTAACTGTGTTGTTTCTGTCCACTCACTGTCTCAGCGAACAATGTGACAGGGCTGAAGGAGTCTGAGGAGAAGCTGAAGCCGCAGCAGCAGGAGGCGTCACGCAGGGGGAACATCCTGGTCATGCGGCTCGCCACCAAGGAGCAGGAAATGCAAGAGTGTACAGTACGTATCCCACTGCAATGCGTCCTGCTGTTTTCCTAAATGAGGAGACTGTGGGATATGTAGGCTCAGGCTGAATCCCAAATCCGTCCCTTCCCCTTGGCCATCCATTTACACGTTCACGCGTGCCTCCACCATACAGTGCATTCGGAAAGTATTCAGATCCCTTGACTTTTCCCACATGTCGTTACATTACAGCCTTATTCAAAAATGGATTAAATAAAATAAAATCGTCATCAATATACACCATAATGACAGTGAAAACAGGTTTTTAGAAATGTTTGCAAATGTATTTACAAATAGAAGACAGATACCTTATTTACATAAGTATTCAGACCCTTTGTTATGAGACTTGAAATTGAGCTCAGGTGCATCCTGTTTCCATTGATCATCCTTGAGATGTTTCTACAACTTGATTGGAGTCCACCTGTGGTAAATTCAATTGATTGGACATGATTTGGAAAGGCACACACCTGTCTATACAGTGAGGGGGGAAAAGTATTTGATCCCCTGCTGATTTTGTACGTTTGCCCACTGACAAAGAAATGATCAGTCTATAATTTTAATGGTAGGTTTATTTGAACAGTGAGAGACAGAATAACAACAACAAAATTCAGAAAAACACATGTCAAAAATGTTATAAATTGATTTGCATTTTAATGAGGGAAATAAGTATTTGACCCCTCTGCAAAACATGACTTAGTACTTGGTGGCAAAATCCTTGTTGGCAATCACAGAGGTCAGGTGTTTCTTGTAGTTGGCCACCAGGTTTGCACACATCTCAGGATGGATTTTGTCCCACTCCTCTTTGCAGATCTTCTCCAAGTCATTAAGGTTTTGAGGCTGACGTTTGGCAACTCGAACCTTCATCTCCCTCCACAGGACCTTAATGTCCTTCTTCTTGAGCCACTCCTTTGTTGCCTTGGCCGTGTGTTTTGGGTCATTGTCATGCTGGAATACCCATCCACGACCCATTTTCAATTTCCTGGCTGAGGGAAGGAGGTTCTCACCCAAGATTTGACGGTACATGGCCCGTCCACTTCAGACGGGCATGTATATGTGCCTTCTTGAGCAGGGGGACCTTGCGGGCGCTGCAGGATTTCAGACCTTCACGGCGTAGTGTGTTACCAATTGTTTTCTTGGTGACTATGGTCCCAGCTGCCTTGAGATCATTGACAAAATCCTCCCGTGTAGTTCTGGGCTGATTCCTCACCGTTCTCATGATCATTGCAACTCCACGAGGTGAGATCTTGCATGGAGCCCCAGGCTGAGGGAGATTGACAGTTATTTTGTGTTTCTTCCATTTGCGAATAATCGCACCAACTGTTGTCACCTTACATTTACATTTTCGTCATTTAGCAGACGCTCTTATCCAGAGCGACTTACAAATTGGTGCATTCACCTTATGATAGCCAGTGGGACAACCACTTTACAATATATCATATTATTATTATTTATTTATTTAATGTATTTTTTTTGGGGGGTGGGGGTAGAAGGATTACTTTTATCCTATCCCAGGTATTCCTTAAAGAGGTGGGGTTTCAAGTGTCTCCGGAAGGTGGTGAGTGACTCCGCTGTCTTGGCGTCGTGAGGGAGCTTGTTCCACCATTGGGGTGCCGGAGCAGCGAACAGTTTTGACTGGGCTGAGCGGGAACTGTGCTTCCGCAGAGGTAGGGGGGCCAGGAGGCTAGAGGTGGATGAACGCAATGCCCTCGTTTGGGTGTAGGGACTGATCAGAGCCTGAAGGTAAGGAGGTGCCGTTCCCCTCACAGCTCCGTAGGCAAGCACCATGGTCTTGTAGCAGATGCGGGCTTCAACTGGAAGCCAGTGGAGTGTGCGGAGGAGCGGGGTGACATGAGAGAACTTGGGAAGGTTGAACACCAGACGGGCTGCAGCGTTCTGGATGAGTTGTAGGGGTTTAATGGCACAGGCAGGGAGCCCAGCCAACAGCGAGTTGCAGTAATCCAGACGAGAGATGACAAGTGCCTGGATTAGGACCTGTGCTGCTTCCTGTGGAAGGTAGGGTCGTACTCTGCGAATGTTGTAGAGCATGAACCTACAGGATTGGGTCACCGCTTTGATGTTAGCGGAGAATGACTGGGTGTTGTCCAGGGTCAGGCCAAGGTTCTTTGCACTCTGGGAGGAGGACACAACGGAGTTGTCAACCGTGATGGCGAGATCATGGAGCGGGCAGTCCTTCCCCGGGAGGAAGAGCAGCTCCGTCTTGCCAAGGTTCAGCTTGAGGTGGTGATCCGTCATCCACACTGATATGTCTGCAAGACATGCAGAGATGCGATTCGACACCTGGTTATCAGAAGGGGGAAAGGAGAAGATTAATTGTGTGTCGTCTGCGTAGCAATGATAGGAGAGACCATGTGAGGATATGACAGAGCCAAGTGACTTGGTGTATAGAGAGAATAGGAAAGGGCTTAGAACTGAGCCTTGGGGGACACCAGTGGTGAGAGCACGTGGTGTGGAGACAGATTCTCGCCACGCCACCTGGTAGGAGCGACCTGTGAGGTAGGACGCAATCCAAGAGTGAGCCGCGCCGGAGATGCCCAACTCGGAGAGGGTGGAGAGGAGGATCTGATGGTTCACATATCAAAGGCAGCAGATAGGTCTAGAAGGATGAGAGCAAAAGTTAGCTTTAGCAGTGCGGAGAGCCCCCGTGACACAGAGAAGAGCAGTCTCAGTTGAATGACCAGTCTTGAAACCTGACTGGTTTGGATCAAGAAGGTCATTCTGAGAGAGATAACAAGAGAGTTGGCTAAAGACGGCACGCTCAAGAGTTTTGGAGAGAAAAAATAGAAAGGATACTGGTCTGTAGTTGTTGACATCGGAGGGATCGAGTGTAGGTTTTTGAGAAGGGGTGCAACTCTCGCTCTCTTGAAGATGGAAGGGACATAGCCAGTGGTCAAGGATGAGTTGATGAGCGAGGTGAGGTAAGGGAGAAGGTTTTCGGAAATGGTCTGGAGAAGAGAGGAGGGGGTAGGGTCAAGCGGGCAGGTTGTTGGGCGGCCGGCCGTCACAAGTCGCAAGATTTCATCTGGAGAGAGAGGGGAGGAAGAAGTCAAAGCATAGGGTAGGGCAGTGTGAGCAGGACCAGCGGTGTCATTTGACTTAATAAATGAGGATCGGATGTCGTCAACCTTCTTTTCAAAATGGTTGACGAAGTCATCCACAGAGAGGGAGGAGGATTAAGCAGGGAGGAGAAGGTGGCAAAGAGCTTCCTAGGGTTAGAGGCAGATGCTTGAAATTTAGAGTGGTAGAAAGTGGCTTTAGCAGCAGAAACAGAGGAAGAAAATGTAGAGAGGAGGGAGTGAAAAGATGACAGGTCGGCAGGGAGTCTAGTTTTCCTCCATTTCCGCTTGGCTGCCCGGAGCCCTGTTCTGTGAGCTCGCAATGAGTCGTCAAGCCACGGAGCAGGAGTGGAGGACCGAGCCGGCCGGGAGGATAGGGGACATAGAGAGTCAAAAGATGCAGAAAGGGAGGAGAGGAGGGTTGAGGAGGCAGAATCAGGAGATTGGAGGGAGAAGGCTTGAGCAGAGGGAAGAGATGATAGGATGGAAGAGGAGAGAGTAGCGGGACAGAGAGAGCGGAGGTCGCAACGGCGCATTACCATCTGAGTAGGGTCAGAGTGAGTAGTGTTGGAGGAGAGCGAGAGAGAAAAGGATACAAAGTAGTGGTCGGAGACTTGGAGGGGAGTTGCAGTGAGATTAGTAGAAGAACAGCATCTAGTAAAGATGAGGTCAAGCGTATTGCCTGCCTTGTGAGTAGGGGGAGACGGTGAGAGGGTGAGGTCAAAAGAAGAGAGGAGTGGAAAGAAGGAGGCAAAGAGAAATGAGTCAAAGGTAGACGTAGGGAGGTTAAAGTCACCCAGAACTGTGAGGGGTGAGCCATCTTCAGGAAAGGAACTTACCAAGCTGCTTGGCGATGGTCTTGTAGCCCATTCCAGCCTTGTGTAGGTCTACAATCTTGTCCCTGACATCCTTGGAGAGCTCTTTGGACTTGGCCATGGTGGAGAGTTTGGAATCTGATTGATTGATTGCTTCTGTGGACAGGTGTCTTTTATACAGGTAACAAGCTGAGATTAGGAGCACTCCCTTTAAGAGTGTGCTCCTAATCTCAGCTCGTTACCTGTATAAAAGACACCTGGGAGCCAGAAATCTTTCTGATTGAGAGGGGGTCAAATACTTATTTCCCTCATTAAAATGCAAATCAATTTATAACATTTTTGACATGCGTTTTTCTGAATTTTGTTGTTGTTATTCTGTCTCTCACTGTTCAAATAAACCTACCATTAAAATTATAGACTGATCATTTCTTTGTCAGTGGGCAAACGTACAAAATCAGCAGGGGATCAAATACTTTTTTCCCTCACTGTAAGGTCCCACAGTTGACAGTGCATGTCAGAGCAAAAACCAAGCCATGAGGTCAAAGGAATTGTCCGTAGCGCTCCAAGACAGGATTGTGTCGAGGCACAGGTCTGGGGAAGGGTACCACAACATTTCTGCAGCATTGAAGGTCCCCAAGAACACAGTGGCCTCCATCATTTTGAAATGTAAGAAGTTTGGAACCACCAAGATTCTTCCTAGAGCTGGCCGCCCGGCCAAACTGAGCAATCAGGGGAGAAGGGTAGGGAGGTGATCAAGAACCTGATGGTCACTCTGACAGAGCTCCAGAGTTCCTCTGTGGGGATGGGAGAACCTTCCAGAAGGACAACCATCTCAGCACAAATCAGGCCTTTATGTTAGTGGCCAGACGGAAGCCACTCCTCAGTAAAAGGCACATGACAGCCTGCTTAGAGTGCCAAAAGGCACCTAAAGGACTGTCAGACCATGAGAAACAAGATTCTCTGGACTGATGAAACCAAAATGTAACTCTTTGGCCTGAATGCCAAGTGTCACGTCTGGAGGAAACCTGGCACCATCCCTACAGTGAGGCATGGTGGTGGAAGCATTATGCTGTGGGGATGTTTTTCAGAGGCAGGGACTGGGAGACTAGTCAGGATCGAGGGAAAGATGAACGCAGCAAAGTACAGAAAGACCCTTGATGAAAACCTGCTCCAGGGCGCTCAGGACCTCAGACTGGGGGCGAAGGTTCACCTTCCAACAGGATAACGACCCTAAGCACACAGCCAAGACAACGCAGGAGTGGCTTCGGAACAAGTCTCTGAATGTCCTTGAGTGGCCCAGCCAGAGCCCGGACTTGAACCCAATCGAACATCTCTGGAGAGACCTGAGAATAGCTGTGCAGCAACGCTCCCCATCCAACCTGACAGAGCTTGAGAGGAACTGCAGAGAAGAATGGGAGAAACTCCCCAAATACAGGTGTGCCAAGCTTGTAGCGTCATACCCAAGAAGACTCGAGGCTGTAATCGCTGCCAAAGGTGCTTCAACATAGTACTGAGTAAAGGGTCTGAATACTTATGTAAATGTAATATTTCAGTTACATTTTTTATCAATTTGCAAACATTTGTAACCTGTTGTTGCTTTTTCATTATGGGTTATTGTGTGTAGGTTGATGAGGGGGGGAAACAATTTAATCCATTTTAGAATATGGCTGTAACGTAACAAAATGTGGAAAAAGTCAAGGGGTCTGAATACTTTCCGTATGCACAAATGTCCCAAAGCTGAAGGAGTAAAAAATATCAAGGGTGTAGGGGCTAATTTTATTTCTATCTTATCTATCTAATCTTTGATAGCCACTTGGAGTGAGCCAGCTATGCTGCCGGCTTCACAACAAAGTGGTATCCCAACATGCTTCACTAAATGTTTGGAGTTTGCGCAATATCATACAGAAGAATGGAGAGGCGTAACTAATTATGACATGTGCATTTGTTTGTATCTGATTTTGAGGCGTGAAACCAGGTTTATTTGATCCCCTCACCTCTCTGGAACAGAGTTGAGCGGTCAGAAAACCCGCCCATCGTCCTTTCCAACCTCGCCGCTAAAAACCGCTCCTCGCTCACAGGAAGAAAAAAAACTACCGCTCCAAATTCGCTCCATTCATTAAAATCACCATTTAACCAACACCCATCTATTTTTGTGATTACCTGGACCAACCATTTGGTTTTGAAAGATTGAAACCAAACCATATGATTTGAATGTAAAGTATTTTCATAAACAACATGAAAAGGTGACTGTAAGAAACGCTCATCATTTCAAATAGGCTACATGTCATATTAAACAGCATATAAACACTAAATAGGTCAGGAGCGAAGGAACTAAAATTAATTATTTAGGCTATATCATTAGCCTGTTATTTCAAGGCTATAGCCTACAAAGAAGAGCAAGCCAGCAGCGGAGTACCTTCTCCACGCTTGCAGAGCCACTGGAGATGCCAAACACCCTTCGGGCTGCTCTTGCCAGGCTGGGCAGGGATGCAGATGTTGTTGTTATTATTATTATTATTTTTATATATGTAGGCCTACAGGTTTTTAGCCAAAATAACCCCATCAAAACGGAAAGCTCCTTGAAAGAGGTCATATGTCAGGCCTGTTGGGCAAAAATCAATGAGAGCCTATTGTAGAACAAAAATGAATAGAACAAAAATGAACTAAACTTTAAAGATCAGATTTTTTTGCTACAATGACACACTTAGCTAGCTATCCACCTTGTTCCTTTCTGTTAGTATGTGCACGTAGTACACATCATGCTTTTGGGATATGTGTCTTTTCAGATTCCACAATGATTCTTTAGTTGTGAACACTACATTGCCACACTCCCTCTCTTGGTCCTCATCTTTGTAAGTCACCTTAATTTTGCACCGCTGTGTTTTATTAGTTTCTTTATGAAAATATTTAGCTAACTCCATGACAGTAGCTAAAGCAAGGGGCTATAGCAGCACACAAGTGGCATACAAATGCATGCTGGGATGGGCATGCCTTGCGCTTGTAGTAATAATAATAATAATAATAATAATAATAATAATAATAATATGCCATTTAGCAGACGCTTTTATCCAAAGCGACTTACAGTCATGCGTGCATACATTTTTGTGTATGGGTGGTCCCGGGGATCGAACCCACTACCTTGGCGTTACAAGCGCCGTGCTCTACCAGCTGAGCTACAGAGGACCTTGTGAAGTGAGCGACATTGGCGCAGGTGAGAAGGCCTTTGGAAAACTCACTTCTCGCTCCAGTGAAATTGGGCACGCTCCGCTCCACTCCACTCACATACTCTGCTCTGGAAGTCACACTGAGTTTCGTCCCTGTGACAAAAGGAGGGCCCTCCGAGCAAGTGTTTTGGGGCGAATGGCTGGTTTTGGATTCTGCTAGTTTTAGCTTTAAGGAGGGACTACTGACATCTTACTATAAAAGTTGTTTTCAATGGCAAATCTAACCATTATGTTGATTTGGTGGTCTTCAATGATAATCACTCTGTTGCAGGGCATTACAGTTCTGGCAGGAAAATAGAAACGCCTTTATTTTTGTAATAAGATGTTAGTTGCACAACAGACCTCAACCTTCTGCATACAAGTGTGGATCTTGACCCTAGTCAAGCTAAATCCAAGCTGTGCAGGGAAAGGAGGGTATAGTATATGGACAATGTGATTCCTTACTTGGCAGAGCTCTCACTCTGACTGACAGCACAGTGGCTCACCCAACAGCTTTACAGCAGCAAATGCCATCCCTTTTGTCGATCAAATGAGGTCAATCAAACTGACTCGGACCGTTGGGTGCATAAAATGCTAATCTGAGATCAAAACACATTTTATTGGTCACAGACACATATTTAGAAGATGTTAGTGCAGGTGTAGCGAAATGCTTGTGTTCCTAGCTCCAACAGTGCAGTAGTGTCTAACAATTCACAACAATATACACAAATCTAAGAGTTATGGTGCACAAGACAAGTCCAATAATCAACCCAAAGCTGTCTTTTACACTGTAGTCTAACAAGGTGACTTGAAGTCAAGCACTTTTCAATAATGATTTACAAAGGTATATGAATATTGTGTAAGCATGATGTTATTGTGTTCAGCTACAGTAATGGCCACTGTGATTTCATAGTTCTGTTAGTAGCCACATCCATTGCCTCTTATGCAGGGGTGAAAGTAAGGCGGTCCGGTACGGCGTCCCGGCAAAATAAATAGTGAGGGTACGCCGTACCAGTAAAACGTGAGCTTATCACAATTAATACAACATGCCCCCAAAACTATAGGCTATTACACCATTATTTAACATTACTGCATGTCAGCCGCATGAAAAATTAGCGAATTGACTGGAAACTGGGTGGTATACGCTCTAAATTGTGGTATGGTTTGAGGAGAACGCTTACATTTTGCCAAGGCGGAGATGAGTGGCCGAGATGCTTGCGTGCTGATGAGTAGCCGAGACCGAGGCATGCGGACAACAGTGGATGCATCAATTCAGGCTACAAGTGTAGGCCTAATGACAATTGCAGAATGTCATTACAATACATGTAGGTGTTTTATAACTGATGTCTTTTTCCAGTCATCAAATTGCGGGTGCACTGTTGTGGTTTGGATGCTGAAATCATTTTGTGAGTGAAGGAATGTGCGCCGGTAACCTACAGGAGCGCCTTTGTTAAGTAATTGTTTGACAATCCAATGAAAACATCATGACTGGTTGTGTTTCTGCCACATTAAAGGGCATAGGCTCCCAAGTGGCGCAGCGGTCTAAGGCACTGCATCTCAGTGCTTGAGGCGTCACTACAGACCCCCTGGTTCGATTCCAGGCTGTATCACAACCGGCCGTGATTGGGAGTCCCATAGGGCGGCGCACAATTGGCCCAGCGTCGTTCGGGTTTGGCCGGTGTAGGCCGTCATTTGTAAATAAGAATTTGTTCTTAACTGACTTGCCTAGTTAAATAAAGGTTAAATAAATAAAAATAGGCAGTGTGTCTATAAGGCTAAGGAAGCTAAGCTTTCCCTAAAATAAGTTGAATTAAATTGCCAAAATTATATATCCTAAAAGCGTACTCCTGTCTATGCAGAAATAAATACAATAATTCAAAATAGGCTACTACACCAGAAAGCATGATTTGGCCACAGAGGATCATTAGCTACTTAAAACAAGCTTCCTCTTTTTTTTTTTTATTGCATAGCCTACAGTCGGAAGGGCCCGCAATTTGGGCAGCGTGTGCTGCAAATACCAAATAGATGATTGTCGAGTGAAAAGCAGAGAGACCCAGCCAGGCATATTGCAATATTTAAAAATACAGTCGCAGAAAAACTGTTTGGAAAGCAAATGGCTATTGCTGTAAAGAGATGACAATGAAAAGACTCCAATCTGTCTTTTAGTTAATGCTTAACCTTTTTTATGGCAAAATATAAATGGAGGTGGGCTATTGTGTTCTCACCATCCTGGCTGCTCTTCAGCAATAGCCTATCTTATTTGCACCAGCGGAGAACATTGGCCATATCCCCGGTGAGTGTGCATATTCACTGTCTTTTTCATTGGGTCAGTGCCACTTTTGTTTGTTTTTGGACAATAATTTCCTCCTCCAGGTTAGATGGACGTCATATTGTATTTGTGTCACCCCTTTTCGTCGGCCGATTATATGGCAGCCGATTATATGGCTCAGACATCATTTTTATTTATCTGTTTTTCAGTGTCAGCAGAGTAGGCTACCCTGTAATTTTTGTAGTATTAAAAAAATAATAAGGCATGCGTTCACTTGGGTGTCCCATACCAGTAAGAAATTACTTTCACCCCTGCTCTTATGTAAATTGTCAATGTAGTTTTATTGGGAACTTGTACAAACCTAAGGAGGGATTTTCTAAATGGAGTTTATGTGCTTGTGCCTTTTTGACACTTGTCTTTTTTTCAACCTGCAGACCCAGATCCAGTACCTCAAGCAAGTCCAGCAGCCCAGTGCAGCCCAACTGCGGTCGTCCATGGTAGACCCGGCCATAAACTTATTTTTCCTCAAAATGAAGGGCGAACTGGAACAGACTAAAGATAAACTGGAGCAGGCCCAAAATGAACTGAGTGCCTGGAAATTTACACCAGATAGGTAAAGACGATCAAAATAACTCCCCCCAAAAAAGCCAAGACCTCCTCACACCCCCCACCCCCACTGCAGCCATGCAGGAATCATGGTGGGGGGGGGGCAAGGCTGAGAAATGCTGTACTCACCACAAGACTCAGACTTTACCAAAAACTCAAACCCAAATACAAAAAAACAAACTGCCATCCATGTTTTGTGTACTCTTGTACTGACCCCCAGCTACATATCACATAATCTAAACTGAATGAAAAAGACAGTATGGTCAGGTGACACTTGTTTCAGCTCTCTCTCCCCCCCTCACCGTCCAGGGGCCCTGAAGGAGTCGGAACAGTTCCTGAAGAGGTGGTCACGTCCGACATGGATATGCCCTGCCCCCCCCCTCTCAGCCGAAGCCAGACAGTTGCCTTATTAAATGGGGGGTTATGGTGGAGAATGAGGCAGTCTTGGGCAAGCTGCCGGAGCAGGGAGAGCACCCCTAGCCTAAATCACCAATTGAACATTTTAAAGACACTGCCCCCGCTAGGTAAAGACATTTTACAGTGGAAAACACCCCACTCTTACCCGCTAGTGCTCCTGAGACTCTAAGACTCTTGGACAGATTCTAGAATGCAATGAAAATACTGTGGGGGAAGTTCTAGGATAAGCTGTAAGACCCTCAGTCCAGAAGTGACTATGGTTGAGGCATGGGCGAGCGAGGGTCCGATCGCCTGTGTCTGAGCATGGGCCCGCAAACTGGTAGAGTGTATTTACATGTTTTATTTTGTGAGTTTCATTTGCTGCGGTTTCATTTACTTTCCTCTTTTGGTTCTCTGATATGCTCTTGCGCTTGCTGCAGTGTGTCAACAGAGACATTTGCTCTGTTAGATTTGGTGCCCTTGAAAAAAGAACAACCGGTATGCTACATTATTTTGATGCTCGATGATTCCAAATTGTTATTTCTAGAACATACACACTGCAGTTGGTTCTTGAGTGTTATTTTCTCATAATGATTACAAATTTGTGAAACAAGTAGTGTTACAACTTCATGAGAATGTATTTATTCAGTGCAATATATTGTTATTTGTGTAATTTGTTGTTCACCTCACTTCCCCCCCCCCCCCTAGCCAATTACCTTTTGAACTTTTATTTTTTATGTGGGGGGGGGGTCAATTCCAGTTAACATTCTAGAGATGATATGAATTGGACCATTTTTTAGTCATAGTAATCTGTGGGCAATCTGAAATTAATTGATTGATTTTCAATTTCAAACAACAGCACAACTAGGTAAACAGCCTAAATCCAGCCTTGGATATCTGGTCATCAACATAGGCTAGTTACAACACTCGTACAGTAAGAATTACAAGAACTCCCAAAGAAAAGAAAACTGCACATGAGTAATAAGCTTTTGTCCTCAGTTTTCTTTGCAATGTCCAATGATGTGATTTGAATTATTGGTCTTGTAATGTATAATACCTTGCCTTGTATTGGGTAGAGTTCAAAAGTAAAGATTGAGATTGGGTGGGAACAGCCGGTAAAATTACAAGGTTCTGAGGTGTGGTCTGCTAAAGCAATGATGAGGTATGATTCAGTGGGAGTAACATATTACATTTGCTTATGGCAAGCAAAAAGAGTTGATAGCCCTTCAACTTTTCAGGTAGCAACCAAAGTAACAAGATTGTGTGTTTTTATAATCCTTTAGACTTCAAATCCTTCAGTTTCTCCTAAAGGCTCGCACCGAATGTGGATCTAGCATTCGTCTGTCGATCGTTCAGCGCGCTGTGTTTTAGGGACCGTCCACTGTAGACGTCTGACTGCCCAACATTTGTCACCTGATTCTACATGTAAAATCGGTGCGCACTCTGTTCGCAAATTGCGTTCAGAGGTGCTAAGTATTCTCAGCCAGCAAACGGCTATTGGTGTGTCTGAGCCCTGAGTACTATAGAGAAATAAAATGTTTTGTCATGGTTACTACATTAATACCTCTGGTGACCTTTACCAAAGTGCTGACTGAGTAACTCACTGGTCTGTTGTGACAGACTCTGATTTTTGTTGGTGTGGTTTGCTGTTGAAAGTATAATTGGGCGTGTAGAAACCTAAAGTATGGTTGCTGAAATTGGGTACTTTTACTTGGTCGGTCGTCATCCTGCTGAGCAGGGTAGGCCTGCTTCTAGTAGTAGAATGTGCATAGGGGTACTCAAGAGGTAAAGGTACTGTATGCTACTTCATAAGAATGTTGCTGTTTTGTCATCTATGGGGACTTTGCTGGTATCCTTGGCCGATCCCAAACTGTCTCCGGTATTTGTATCTACAACTGTACTCCTTTTGGAAATGGAAACTTGCTGTATGGATGGACCAGATTCATAGTGTTAGTGGATGGGACGGTGGTATTCCAGGTCCTCTTTTTTGCAGTCGTGCAGGTGCACATCTCAGATCTCAATGTGGTTCCTGCAATGCTAAGCAACTCTCCAAGCAATGCGTGGTAATCTGATAATCTGCAGCGCGACTGCAAAAATGACTACCTGGAACACCACCACAGTGACCACCTGGTTGGATCACTGGACTGATTGATTGGGCTGTCCCTGTCTTTGCCTGTGAGTGGTGTTTGGCTGTGCCCTGGTTCATTTTGTGATGTGAGGTCTGTTTACCTTGCAGCCAGACGGGGAAGAAGCTCATGGCCAAGTGCCGGATGCTGATCCAGGAGAACCAGGAGCTGGGGAGGCAGCTGTCCCAAGGCCGTATCGCCCAGCTGGAGGCAGAGCTGGCCCTGCAGAAGAAGTACAGTGAGGAGCTGAAGAGCAGCCAGGATGGTGAGAACACAATAGCCCACCTCCATCTACTTCGTCAAATAGCATCTGCATTTATATTTTGCCATAAAAAAGGTTAAGCATGAAATGTTACATTTCAGCACAGTGAAGACCCATGTTTGCTTTGTAGCTCCCCTGGTTATTAAACTGTGCAACAGTAAAGTGTGGTCTGTAACCTCTGCATTGGAGGAGCTATATTCTCCTCCACATGTATTCAGCAGACCAGTACATTCAGATGCAGGAACTTTGTGACAGCGTTTCTTAGACATGTTTCTAATATTCAATTAAACCAAATGTATTTTCCTCCCGGCTAATTTTTTTTGTTGCCGTTTGCCTATATTTAACTTGGGATTTTTGTCTTGATCCTGACTGTGTTCCATCTCCCTGTATTCTGACCAGTGGCTTTGTCTGTCTGTTTCCGTCCCTCTCAGAGTTGAACGATTTCATCATCCAGCTGGATGAGGAGGTGGAGGGCATGCAGAGCACCATCCTGGTCCTCCAGCAGCAGCTCAGGGAGACCCGTCTGCAGCTCTCCCAGAACCCAGCTCAGGCTGCCTCTTTTGGGGCAGGGCCCAGCAGGACTTCACCCTCCAGCGGCTCTGCCGAGCCCCCCAGCCAGGCCGAGCAGACCTTCACCCCCTCCTCCGCCCAGCCAGGGAAAGACTGCGAGAGGGTCTCCAACGGACCTAGCAACGGTAGCTCGTCCTCCCAGAGAGGCGCAGCGGCCACCCCCAGCCTGTACCGTGAGGTCAGCAGCACAGAGGAAGACTTTCCTCCGTCTCCCATGGTCTCCAGCCCCGGCGAGGGCGAGACTAAACTCTCCAACCACTCAGAAGCGGCGGGGGGCCAGACTAGTGACTGTGCAGTGGGTTTTGGGAGCCAGCTGAGCGCAGGGTACGAGAGCGTGGACTCCCCAACTGGCAGTGAGACGTCCCTGACGCAGCACTCGAATGACACAGACTCCAACACCGACCCCCATGAGGAAAAGGCAGTCCCGGTCATCAAGGGCAACAGGACTGCAGGGTTGCGGCATGCTCAGAATGGCCTGGACTCGAACGGGGGCGCAGTTTTGTAATGTACTTTATAATAACACGTATGTCTTTATCTTTTTATACGAAAGCCAAACAAAAACAATGAACACATAGTCGGTAACAGTACTGCTGTCCAGCATTAGTTTTTCTCTCCTCTTTCCTTTGCCTATCGTGATACCTCTGCCAAAACTTAAAGAAAATAATTGCGTTGCTAAACCGGGACATTACGTGTAATGTATATAGATTTGAATTGAGTTTTTTGTATGATTCAAGCTAGATATTTGTAAGTCGCTCTGGATAAGAGCGTCTGCTAAATGATGTAAATGTAAATGAGAGATTATTTTTCTTCCATCACTTGTTTATTTGAACCCATAACATTCTTGTTTGAACTCTTGACAAACTCCAATCGTCACGCATCTGGTGGTGTATTCATGTTCAATAAAAGTCAATAAACCACAGTTCACTTTAGGAGCATTGCAGTGTTCAAGGATTTCGTCTTTTAGATGTTGGCCTGTGTTTTGTTTTTAAAAATTCAGTTTCTAAGTTTCCATCCTTGGCAAATAATAAGTTTCAGTTTGACTTGTGTAGTTTCTACGCGATGTACCTTGTTGAATTCATTATTCTGACTTCCATCCTTTTCATGTACTGACCAATATCAATAAAGACTTAAATATGACCATGATTGGATTTTTCTTGTCCTTCAACTGAGGGACTGTAAAGCCTTTCTCAATTGAATTGAAAGTGTACAAAACATTTAAGAACACCTTCCTAATATTGAGTTGCACCCCACCACTTTTGCCCTCATAACAGCCTCAATTTGTCTCGGCATGGACTCTACAAGGTGTCAAGCGTTCCACAGGGATGCTGGCCTATGTTGACTCCATTGCTTCCCACCGCTGTCAAGTCGGCTGGATGTCCTTTGGGTGATAGACCATTCTTGATACACACGGAAAACGTATGTGTTCTTGACACAAACCGGTGCCCCTGGCACCTACTACATACCCTGTTCAAAGGCACTTAAACCTTTTGTGTTACCCATTCACCTTCTGAACTGCACACATACACAATCCATGTCTTAATTGTCTCAAGGCTTAAAAATCCTCCTTTAACCGTCTCCTCCCCTTCATCTACACTGACTGAAGTGGATTTAACAAGTGATCAACAGGGGTGCAACTTTCGGGGGGGGGGGGATCATTGGAATGTGATACAAAACTAGGCTATACAAAACTAGGCACTGTGCACTGTGTATATTTCCTGTATTGTAGGGAAGCAGAGAATCAACAGATAACTTCCTACAACTCTACACATTTTGTCATGGAGCAAAGAGAAACATTTGCAGTTGTATAGTTAATCTCATGCTATTCTAAACATTTTGCCATGCGGCTGGGAGAATTTTGATTTTTAAAGCTAATTTCCGGCTATTCTACACATTTTGCCATGAGGCTGAGAGAAAATGTTGCAGTTTTACAGCTAATTTCCTGTAATTCTACACATTTTTGCCATGGTTTATGAAGTGTTCATATGCTAGCTGGGGAAAGCTACCCGTGCCCCCTTCCGCCTTGTGTGGTACACCACTATGGATTACAGACTGAGCTACAAACAGACATTGCTTCACAGCCTGTGTGGCTGCCAAGATCGTGTCCGAAGTCCTCCTAGCCATTAGGTAGTGCTTTCGTCAAATATCTGTCTCTGTTACTGCCAAGGCTATTCTTGCTCGTTGCCGAAGGAGGATCTCTTTTGTCATTCAAATTAATCAACATGCTTGAGACCATTTACAAATTCAGTGCTTGAGACAGCTAGCTAGCTAGCCGGCCACTACGACACTGACAACACCACGGAAGAGACAAGCGACCGAGCAGCCCACAGAGTGAAATCTGAAGGATTACCAGCTAGCTGTCAATATGAACACTGAGTCTGTTGTCATCGTTTCTGCTGCAAGGACCCCCATTGGTAAATAAGTCTATTGAATCTGTCTGATTCCACACTAAGGCAATCCTTTGCAACATAGGTGACTACCTGTATCAATAATAATTGCCTGTATGTATGTTTATTTGTTGCATTTCCTTATCACACGAGATACTGGATTTGTAGCGATGCTGACGTTGCTTGAACGATCGTGCACATTTTTCCAGTCCTGGTTTTGAGTGTAGTGTATTGACAATGTTCTTTTTTTAACAACTTTTTTTAATGTAATTGAACCTATGAATTGAATAGACCATTACTGTCGTTCGTTATCGCGAGCTACCTCCTGACCAGGATTTTCAATGGATTCTCTTATGCTGAACCTTGATTGGTTGCCTCACCCTCTGCCCAGATTCTCGAAACAGCGATTGGCTGTTGGTCATAGTACCATGGACCAGCAGCTACAGTATTCGCGATAGGCTGGAGATGAAACCATGAATGGGGTTGGGCGTGTTTTAGTTGGATGGTGTCTTTGCAACAACTGTTGCAACTTTGCAATCAATACGTTTGTTGATGATAACGTCTGTTATCTTGTTGTCTGATGTAATGCAATGGGAGAGTGCTGTCACACCATAGAATCAGTCATCATCATACCAATGGCCAAGTGCATTTCTCAAAACCCAGCTACCCCGTTATGAACCCATGATTTCATACAATCAATGCCCTGTTCTTTTTGTGGATACTGGATATAGTTCTCTAAACTGTATTATCTTGTTTCACAGGGTCTTTCAATGGTGCTCTGTCCACCGTGCCCCTCCAAGACCTGTGCTCTGTGGTGATCAAGGATGTCCTGAAGAGAGCCAACCTGAAGCCTGAGGAGGTGTCTGAGGTCATCATGGGGCATGTTCTGACAGCAGGTAAAGACCACCTGGAACGGAACCCTGTCCTTTTATCATAGCTACTTATTAGCGCTTACCTGCTACTTAGTTAATAGTCCCATGTGGTTCAGTTGGTAGAGCATGGCACTTGCAATGCCAGGGCAGTGGGTTCAATTTGCACGGGGACCAGTATTAAAAAGGAAAAACAATTATGCTCTCACTACTGTAAATCGCTCTGGATAAGAGCATCTCCTAAATGACAAATATGTAAACAAATGTAATTAGTGTGAAAGGTCCGATTACGTAATATTCATAACAACAGTGCTGTGTCATGTGAACTAGTGCAGTGGTTCCCAACCTTTTTTGGTTACTGTACCACCAACTGAATATTGCACTGCCCGGAGTTCCCCTAAAATACCCCCTCATGTGCATCTTACCAGTAAGCCTATGGTCCCATGAGTCTTCTCAAGTACCCCCTGTGGATGGGCCGAGTACCCCCAGGGGTTCTAGTACCCCTGGTTGGGAACCACTGATTTAGTGTACTAGCCATTGTAAGCCTTCTCTCTTGCAATCATTCACTTCTCACGCTCCCTCTCATTTACTCTCCTCTCCTCTCCTCCCCAGGTCAAGGGCAGAACCCAGCCCGACAGGCCAGTGTTGCGGCAGGCATCCCCTACCCGGTGCCTGCCTGGAGCTGCCAGATGGTGTGCGGCTCTGGGCTGAAGGCTGTGTGTCTGGGCGTTCAATCCATCCAGACTGGAGAGTCAACCGTGGTGGTGGCTGGAGGCATGGAGAGCATGAGCCGGGTAAGATGGAGGGAGCAGGGATGGGGGGAGAAGGAGGGATATGAGAGATGGTGGAGAGGGAGGGGGTGTGTGAGAGAGAGAGAGAGAGAAAGATGGGGTGAAATCAATACCATTCTACCAAATTTCCCCATTAATCTGCAATTACTCTTTCCCCTTTGACCCCCAGGCTCCCCACACAGTGCAGATGCGGGCTGGAGTAAAGATGGGCGACGCCACCATGCAGGATTCTATCATCGCTGATGGACTGACTGATGCTTTCCACTGCTACCACATGGGCATCACAGGTCAGGGGACCAGATACAGAGTTATTGATATCAATGTGTAATGGGAATTTCCAGGTGAAACAAAAGGAGAGCAGTCCCTGTTAATATAAATCAAAAATCAATCCGGTTGCACCGAAGCAGAGAAAATGTCTAGCTGGCCTCTTGGAGACAGGCTCTTTATATTCTAATCAGACAGTACCAAGTGTTCTCTAAACACCAGCCCGAGAGGCTTGTATGAAGTAAAAACAAAATGCATTGACGTTGTCAGCTGCTACAGAATCACAGTGTTTCACAGAATCAGTGTGTCCTCGGTCCTTGTACCTCCAGTCTGGCGTCAATCACTATCAACAGATATGAGTTTAATCCATAACATACAGCATCTGGTCTAGTGACCATCAACCCGTGTCACAAACAGAACACTGGAAATCAGGTGTATTGCAGAAAGGGAAATATGCTAAACATTGTGTTAATCACTCTTAACTGAATATGAACTTTATTCATCTTAAATATTCCCATTACACAATGCAACTAATATTTGTCAGTTCAATAAGGAGGAACATTGGGGTGTCTTAATCCAGTAGGCTAATGTTTTCTTCATTTTCTGGATGTAGCTGAGAACGTGGCTAAGCAGTGGGGTGTGAGTCGCGAGGCTCAGGACCAGTTTTCCGCCCAATCCCAGAACAGGACCGAGGCTGCCCAGAAAGCAGGACATTTTGATCAGGAGATTGTTCCGGTCATGGTGCCGTCCAGAAAAGGCAAGGAATCTGTTATGCTGGTGAATGAACCCGCTGAGACCTCAAGTGTGCTCAAATTACTTACTGCTGGGTGTGGACCCAATGTTTCTTATATGGCTAACCCACCATTCCTTAGAAATGAATTAGATGATCGACACCTATTATTTATCTGCTTTATTACATGATTATTACATGAGTGTAGATGTTTCATTAACTGTATTGTACATTCCTTTCTCCTCAGGCCCAGTGGAGGTGAAAACAGATGAGTTTCCTCGCCATGGCAGCAACATGGAAGCAATGACTAAACTCAGGCCCTGCTTCCTAAAGGATGGCAGCGGCACGGTCACCCCTGGCAACGCCTCAGGTACGCAGGGGGGCACTCATCCTTGACGCACAGTGATGATGTCACTGAGATCCCTCAACTCAATTATCCTTTGGAATCTTACCAGTTGACCACTCCAATGACATTATTCTTTCTGCTGTTTCTCCTGGTATAGTGATAGTGATCTAGAGTCTACATGGTCATGACCTTGAAATGTTTCAGGTGGGATATACAACAGGGTTGCATCTCGTCAAACTCATAATTTTTGTGTGTTATATTAATTGCCATGCATTCCCTCAGGTATAAATGATGGAGCCGCAGCAACCGTTCTCATGAGCCAATCAGAAGCTCAGAAGCGAGGCCTCAAGCCAATGGCCAGAATCACCTCCTGGGCTCAAGCCGGCCTCGACCCGGCAATTATGGGAACTGGGCCTATCCCAGCCATCAGGAAAGCTGTGAGAACCAATCAGAAACCAGTTAGCAAATGTTCAGATGTGTACAACTCTAGAATGACTGTAATGTATAATCCTGTTCATTTTAAAGGAAGAGTTTTCATTGATTCTTTACCAGGTTGCGAAGGCCAGTTGGCAGATGGATCAAGTGGACCTGTTTGAGATAAACGAAGCGTTCGCTGCCCAGTCTATCGCTGTAGTGAAAGAGCTTGGACTCAACCCAGATAAGGTAACTCTATTCTCCTTCATTTAATGAACCATTAATTCCACACTATTGCTTAGGGCAAACAGTTGTTACACCACATCTTTGCTCTCTCTCCCCTATGCAGGTGAACGTGAGTGGGGGTGCTATCTCCCTGGGACACCCCATAGGCATGTCTGGCTGTCGGGTTCTGGTCACCCTACTGCACGCGCTCCAGAGGACTGGGGGTCAGAGGGGTGTGGTTTCTCTCTGCATCGGGGGAGGGATGGGCATTGCCATGTGTGTAGAAAGGGTGTGACTGAATACAAATACTGATGCAGTCTCTAGATCACAACATCGGCAATGTGTTATTGGTCCTAAAGGGAACGTTTAGAATGCTTTATTACTCAACTTGTTTCAATGGAGTGGTGTGAATGGAGGTTATATTAGATTGATCATTCATTTCTCTACCAGTCACTACGCTGAAAAATGTGAATGCAATCTAGGTGAGGAAAGTGGCGAAGGTCTCCGTTCAATCGAGCTGTATTGTGCATCATCCAATATTGGTCCTTCGCTTTCCATAGCATATGTATTAAATTGATTGTATAAAGCTTTGAGGCGAAAGTCTTTCTGCCTGTGTGTAACTAGTCAATGGGCATCACATGCTAGTCTTTCATCAGCTAAACAATGGTTTACATACCTTGTGTGCCAAAGAAAGCCATTGAAGCCCACTGACTGGACTTGTTCACACCTGACCTAATAAGACTTTTAGAATAGAGAATTCAGCCTTCCAACATTCCTACTTGCCCTTTTCTTTCGCTCATGGAATGCTAGCCATGTACCTTACTGCTCTATGAACTGTAGGAGAACCTGTACTGAAGACTGCAGCCCTCCTTAAATATGCATAAGTGCCCTGAAGCCGAGTAAGCTTGCTGTACCTTAGTGTGTCCTGTAGATAGCCTGTTATAGGGATGAATGCCTTTGTCCACTCTTCAATTGTATGACTTATCAATACAGAATATAATGAACTGAACTCGTGCTTTTTCAAAATGTTGATGTATAATTTATTGATTTTCTATGACAACTACATAAATGGAAATATTTTAGAATAATACAGACCAGACAAAATGAGTTAAATCAACGGTAATCTACCGTCGGGGTTTATTTGTGAGTGTCCAACAGAATCAGTTACAGTTCCCACAGTAACAAGTTACCACATGGGAACAAAAGTAAACAAGCAAAGTGCACAGCCTATGACGGACACTGACGGAACAGCCAAGAGCTTGTATGTATAAATACACAGACAAAGCCAAGTGGACCAGAACTACAGTTGGGATCTAAGAAACCCAGGGCAGATTCCGGAACTGGAACCATCGGATTCTGGAATGTCTACCCGTCCATCTGTCCTGATGCAACGGCGTCCTGGTACGAAGGCCCACCCTCCTTCTGGTCTGGGAACAACTTGATGAGGTCATCGATGCGGAGGATGGTGATGGCAGCCTCTGTGGCGAACTTGAGGCTCTTGGTCTTCACCATGGTGGGCTCGTACACACCAGCCTGCTTGTTGTCCCTGGGTTTACCATTCACCAGGTCCAGACCAATCCTTTAGGGGAGAGGATAACTTTAGAGATGAGAAACACAGATACAACATCACAGCCACACCATCAACGTAGAGCAACCCTGTTCCTGGAGAGCTACCAACCCTAATCTAGTGCACCTGATTCTAATAATTAGCTGGTTGATAAGCTCAAATCAGGTTAGTTACAACTAGGGTTGGAACAAAAACCTTCAGGAGGGTAGGTCTCCAGGAACAGGGTTGGAGAGCCCTGATGCAGAGTTACTGCATTGAAAACTGCTGAACAGTAGGCACTTCTACAACTGAAGCTCATTGGTTTCACAACTATGTGAAGCCGTGATGAACTGATACCAACGCAGAATGTACAAACCATTGTGACATTAAAATGTTGTCCAGCCCAGAGTAGTGGCATTAAAGCTCAGGGAAAAACTGCAGCCGCCACTCTCAGCCAGTATGCTTTCTCCCACGCGTATCACTGCATACACTACTGAGCAAGTACAGCAGCAAATTTAAAATGGGAATGTAAAGCATCCTTGTGGTAAAACTTGATCAAACTTGTCTCAAGCTCAATGGCATCTAAAAAAAGAAACATTCACTTAATGACATCAACACAAAACACGCATGTTGAAATTCATATCTAGTGATGTAGCACACTGACCATTTGAGGTTCTTGCGTTCGGGGTTGACCTGGGCCTCGTTGTGGAAGGCTCGGAGCTTGGCGACCAGGTCGGTGGAATCCTGAGCAGCGTTCACAGCCAGGGTCTTGGGGATGACCAAGAGGGAGCGGGCAAACTCTGCTATGGCCAGCTGCTCACGGGAACCCTGGGAACGGCCAAGATATTCACAGATTAACATCACACAAAACAATGTAGATTGGCCACCGGTGACCAAAGTGAAAAACCTAGTCATTCTAAATGACAAATTAACCAGTGTATCAAGTTGTGTTTCTGACAACAGGATCCACAGAGGTTTTGGCCTTCACTACAGGTTTATGAGAGACCTGCTCTACTCCCTGTGTTGGTCATTTAGGACAATTAATATCTTAAAATGGGCTAAAAATGGGTTTTCCAGATGGAAACAAGACATGAAACATGATGGGGTTTCAAAAGCAACAATACCGCTGATCCCATCTAGACACTCAGGACAGAGATGACGAAGCAGTGATTCACAGGTTTATTTCCTTACCATACTAGTGGCATAGTTCTCCAGGTAGATGGACAGGGCTGCCTCCACAGCGCCACCTCCTGGTACAACAGACTTCGACTCCAGCACCCTCTTAACCACACACAGAGCATCATGTAGGGACCGCTCCATCTCATCACACATGAAGTCATTGGCCCCACGTAGTATGATGGAGGCGCAGGTACGGGCCTTGGTACTAAGAGAAGAACAGAGGGAGAGAGTGGGGAAGAGGAAGGAGGCGGCAAATAGGGAAAGATGGAGACGTGAATAGTAACAAGGGATAAGGAGAGAAAAGAGAAAGACTAGAACAGAATGTTACAAATAAGTAATGTGCTAAAGCAAAACATTTGCAAAGATATGTAATAAGGTTTTGCATGAGCACATAATTACTGTAGATGAGATGACTTCAGTTCCAATTCTTACTTTTTGACCAGGATGAGCTCGTCGTCACACACACGCTCCTGTACCACCTCCTCACAGTGGCCCAACATGGTCGTCTCAAACGTCTCCTCTCCCTCCAGGTTAGACAGGGATGGACAGATAGTGGCTGAGGGACAAACATAACAAAACCACCGGGTAACAAGTTAACTGAAAACTTGGTTGCTTTCAGAAAATAGTTTTGATCACTCATTGAAAAAAGAGAAACTGTTTCAGAAATTGTGTTGACCTGACCTGACAGTTATGATGCATTTATCATAAGGTAAACAAAACCTGTGGCTTACCTCCCGTTGCCTTGGCAATGCGTTTGAGGTCCCTCTTGAGGACCCTCCTGATAGCCATGGCTCCCACGTCCACAAAGTACTTGAGGCACATGTCATCGATGCCCCCAGTTGTCAGGATGACGTTAGCACCAGACGCCAGAATCTTCTGAATCCTCTCCTTGGTGATGTCAGACTCCCTGGAACAGCAAAATCAACATGAAAACATTGTGTGTGTGTGTCTTTTGTACAAACCCTGTGTAAATGTGTCTCAACAAGCTGTGATTACATCAGAGTGCATGAACAAATCACCCTGTCTTTAGATAAATGTTGTCCAGCCCAAAGTAGTCTTACAGCTCAGGGAAGAGCTGCAGCCTGAACTCAGAGCCAGAATTCTTTTTCCCACGCGTATCACTACTAACACCACTGAACAAGTATAGTAGCAAATTTAAATGGGAATAGTCTTATATTGTCATGCATGTGGCAAGACTTGATCTTAAAACAGTAGGTCTCGTACAAATAGCCTCAGTGTGTGGTATATGTCCAACGCACCTCTGTCTGATCTGGTCTAGTTTCTCTGGGTCATTGATGAGGACCTGGACTCCCATCTTCATCTTGGTCTTCTGCAGGCTGAAGTCCAGACACGCCACCTTGGCGTTGGTCAAACGCTTCACCATGCCTACAGCGGGACCAGACCCAGTCACCACACACACACCACTAAACAAGACAGACACTTATCGCTGGTCAAGATAAACCTATCCCCAAGCAATTACTGATTCCCCTTGTCGCCGTGTTGATCAGGGCATGTGGAATGTACAGATGGAAATCTATTACGTAGAGCAAACCTGCCTCTGACATGTAAAATTAGGAATCATGTCAGCTGCTCTATTCATGACATTTCTATCTGCAACATTCACCTACTACTGAACGTGGCCCAAGCCAGGATTAACCTACTACAATAAAAACATTCATCAACATGAAACCTTTATAATATAGATTCCCACGGGGGGCCAGTATAAAAAGGTACGCACTCACTAATTGTAAGTAGCTCTGGATAAGAGCGTCTGCTAAATTACTAAAATGCAAATCTAGTCATCATGGCATGTGTGGGTAGAAAAATAGTGCCACAGTTCATACAAGAAGCACCGCAACCATTACTTTTCAAAGCCAGCTTTCTGTCTCCCACGCGTATCCCTGCGTACGCGACAAGAATAAGCATAGCTGCTAATTTAAATGGGAGTCGGTCAATTGCGTCAGATGGTAATTTCATGGTTGTATGGTTATGGAACTGGCGCTCATCCTTACACATACTAAACAGTCACCATCAACAATGTTTTACACACATGTACCTTGAGACCCTACGGTGCAGTTGAGTGCGTATCCGTTGACCAGATAGCTCTCTTTCTGGCTGCGTCCGTGGGCTTTGAGCACGTTGACTGAGTTGATGGGGTACTTCGCCACACCCTTCTGATCCACAAACTTCACTGCCAGAGTAGCATCCACCACCATGTTGGCAAAGAAGTCTGCATCACTGAGGATTCACTGGTCAAGGATTCAAGCTTTTCTATAGGACGAAGTAGGGTTTCCCGGCATTCAATGGTAGAGTTCCTGCCGGACTACATTGCAGACGCATGCCAGATCCTACAACGCCTGGATAGGTTAACATATATGATATGATATAGCAATCTGATGCATGACTGCACAGTAGATGACGTTACACACAACCATTGGTTGATGCAATGTCTGCGCATCTAGTCTGCCAGAAACTTGACCAAAGCTACCAGGAGATGTGAAGCTCAAGACACCATTTACTTATTAGTGATAAAGATAGTTACGTATCGCAATATTATTTTGGACGATATTAGTCGATACTTTGACTCCGATTATCAATTAGTAAAAAATAATGTTCGTTGTTGCTAGATCGCATTAGGTCGGCTGTACCCGTTTCAAAACCTTGTTCTCCATCTTTTTTAAAGCTGCAATATGTTACTTTTTGGGCAAACTGACCAAATGTACATAGAAACGTCAGTTATAGATCTGTCATTCTCATTGAAAGCAAGTCTAAAAAGCGGTAGATCTGTTCCACGTGCGCTATTTCTATGCTTCCCGTTCCTACGTTTATTTTTCGTGTCTTTTACTTTCGGTTTTGTACACCAGCTTCAAACAGCTGAAAACACAATATTTAGGGGTATGGAAGAAAAAAAGTCAGTACTTTTGATACAACCCCCCCCCAAAGAAAAAACGTTTTCGGTCCTAGAACGTTAGTTTCGGTACTTCTGTCAAATGTGTCTCACTTGAGAGGATCAAGTCGATCTACCAGTGCAGCCCCATTACAGCACCAAGAGCCTGCTCCACTTATTGCTAAAGCTGTCTGGGCTGCATCATCTCCCCAGTCCCCACTCATGCTGCACAGAAGTTTACACACTTGAATAATGCACCACAGCATATAGAAACTGTTCATTACTGTAAGCAAAACAACGTCCATATAGGATAGAACATTTTTAAATGCAAAACGATACGGGTAGCTTCCAGCTTTAATTGTAAGCTAACTTTCCTTGCCAGCTTACAGCTGAACCAAACAAATTCACTACCCTAGTACTTTGTTTGTGATAATATGCAAACTATAATGCAAAATATGCTGATTTCAAAGTGGACTGTCACCAAAAACTGTATTAATTCACTTAGAATCCCTCACCACCAAAAACTCATTGACGTCTCCCTCGCCTACCGTCTGGTTTCCACTAGATTCCATAGCCAAATTCTGCCTCATGAATGAAGATACATTTCTTAAAAGAGACAGTAAACACACTTTTATAAAAGAGTGCTTATTTTAAAATAAAATATGTTCTAAGCAGTTGCCAATCAAATAAGTCCTGAATGGAAGGGATTGTTTGTCATCTGTAGCCCCATGAAATCAACTAAAACAAGCTCAATTACTCAATGCACGCACACACTCCTATTGAATAATATGCATTCACTTGTATTGTGAATAGAATTGATTTACCCAGTTTATCAATAGATTCACCATTCAAATAAATTACTGTTGTTTTAGGTGTTAGAATGTTACTAAGTCAAATTGATTGTACAATTGATTCAATTAATGCATACATGGCTGCCTAAAGAAGTTACAATTATTTTTCAAATGTAATGATATTGAACTCAAAAGACACCCACTGATTGAACAGAGCAGTAGCTGAGTTTCTGTCTGGATCAAGTGCCATTCTGTGACTGGTTAATAAACCTTTTTTTTGTGGTATCGTTTTGGGATCAAATATTGTGATACTAAACCTGGTATCGAAGTCAAAATGCTGGTATTGTGGCACTAAACCAACATGTTCCCATCACTTTTATTTTCATGACTGATCAAAACTCTCATGCTCCCGTCTCTCTTCAGCCAACACAGTGAGCAATATGTTTGGAATACAAATCGTGAGAATTGCAATACATATCGTATTGGCATCCAAGTAAGTGACATCTTATTGTGAGCAATTCCCTGCCCTACTTGTTATGTGATCCTTTATGGCAAATGACAGATACACATGGAAGGGAAGGTTTCAGGTTAGTCAGGGAGCGGGAAGAAAGGATACACTCCAATGATCTTGGAGGACATGGAGGTCTTGGCTGCGTTGACCAGACACTCCCTTCCCAGGTCATCTGTAGCGATGGTCAGGTTCTCATTGATGTAGCGCACTGCCTCCCTGGTAGGAATGAAAGATCCATTAAGAGCTCCATGTTTACAGAACCAGGGATTTTCATAGTTCAGCCTGGTTCGGCCTTGTAGTGGAGGACCCGAGATTCCCCTCTAGCCAAAGACACAGCATTTTGTATTTTTCTTCAGAGAAAGACATGCAGAGTTCACAACACACCCACAGCGGACAGACAAGTCAATATAAAATGAAAGTTAAAATCCGAACTGGTTGTTTTATGAATGAACACACATCTATTTGCTTCTAATACAAACAAATCATCTTCCACTATCCACAGAAACACAGCTCTTGTTAACCTCGAATTTGTTTTCACATTAGTGCTACAATTGCTAGCTACAGTTGTGTGTTCTTGAAGATGATCTTATTGAAAGGAACCTATGGTGATTCCTTCCAAACAACCACAAGAGTTAATTTATACCTTGGTTGACACATTCATTCTGGAGACAGGTAACACATAAAGGCAAACAACCATGTACTTGTAAACCAAGTAATGAACCAGGAGTGTGGAGGGGAAAAGGATGTCAAAAGGATGATAATATTCAAAACATTGATGGGGAAAATGGATAGACTGTGGCTAGATTCTTACTTGCAGGCCAGGCGGTATCCACTGATGACTGAAGTGGGGTGGATCTTCTGCTTCACCAGTTCATCTGCACTCTTCAGCAACTCTGCTGCAATGATCACCTTTAAAAACAAAGGTAAGAGAACAATATGAACAAGCCAGGGAAGACGATTTAATGAATAAGACAATCAATTATATATACACATGTGCCGTTATTTCATATAGAGGTGGCGGAATGGAGGCCGCCCAACCCCTTCAGACAATGACGGACAGTCTCTCTATCCTGTTAGCATAGCCGAACATCTGTAAAGGAGGCAGATGGGCGGTACTAAAAACAGGAAGCAGGTAATTTGAACCAATAGTGTGAATAGGCAGGTTCAGTCCAACCTTCACCAAATAATGTTTACTTGATCAAATTGAAGTCTAACATTTTAATGACAGTCTTTCAGCTAGGAATAAATCAGACTAACATTCTGGTCAGTGGCCACAGCTCCTTTCCCTTGACCTCTGTTCTGAGCAGCTGTTGGAAGTACTCACCACTGAAGTTGTCCCATCCCCAACCTCCTTGTCCTGCAGCTCAGCCAGTTCACACAGCACCTTGGCTGCCGGGTGCTCCACCTCCAGCAGCTTCAGGATGGTAGCCCCGTCGTTGGTGATTGTCACATCCTAAACATTAGAGCATTTGTAAGCACTTCTTCCGTCAATAATCTGAATGGTACACAGGCCATATCCACTGAGACTGAGGGCGGTGACCATAATCGGTCACAAGTACTTACACCGATGTCATCCACCAACATCTTGTCCAGCCCAACGGGGCCAAGGGAGCTCTTGACGATGTTGGCGATGGATGATGCAGCCATGACTGCAGAAGAGACGTGGGCACACAATCAAAGCTGATTACCTTGCCACAAAATGTATGTGTTACAAACAGTGACATCTACGTTACACTAGCTATGGTAATAGCTAGCTAACTATTACAAGTAACTATCAACAATTCCAATCTAGAAACAATAACACAATTCCGAAACTGTTCAAACTGATGGAAATTGTTCTGTCAGTTCTATTAGAAGGGGTGGACGAAGCCAGCCGCTCCGTCAGACGATGACAGTGTTCTCTCTCACCCATTAGCATAGCCGTTCATTCTGGGATGGATGAATGAACGGTACTAAAAACGGGAAACGCCTAGTTTTTTGTGTGCAAAATCATGTTACGCACAGGGCTAGGTAGCTGATTGTGCTAGCTAGCTGCGTTTGCGAGTTAATAACTAGCGAATGCCTAACGCCAATGACATATGCGTATTAGTAAGCCAACGTTAGCTAGCTAGCTAATATAGCAACTTAGCAAGCCTAACTAGCACGAATTAGCTATAATATACCGTTAGACAACAATGTAGCTAATATTGATTTATTAGACAGCTTTTTATATGAATGTGGGCAACATATTATGCTTAGGTACCTAATTGATTAACGTTGGATATCTTGCAAGTTTAGGAAAAGGGAGGCGAAACTACGCATCTTTTTATCCGCACGTGCTGCGGAGTGCTAGTTAGCTAACCATTGAACCCCGCCTGCCACTCTTCCTCAGACACCGATTAGAACAGAAATGGCATAAACTGCGACACAAGAGATAACAAAATAGCTCACCATTTTGAGAACGAACGGACTCGCCGGTCGTTCTCGTGCCGAACACGTTTAACGCTCCATCCATTAACGACATCTTGGACAAGCTAGAGACAGAAGAAAGGAAACGAAGTAATGAACTATGGGTAAACCGGTGGGGCACGTGGGCTTCTGGGTAAAGATTAAGAAGCGAGAGAATGTTCCAGAAGAAGATTACACTTTAAAACAATAATGGCATCGAAACAAAAATATTTTTAATTACGAAACCAATGTATACGTAAGACTGTATATAGCAATATACATTTATCACTTGTATCACTTTTTATTCAACTGCTATATGATGAAATACATTTCCCAGCATTCAAAGATCCTTGTTCCTTTTTTTGGTCTTACTCATGGTCGGCGTGTGCCCTCTACTGGTTGGCTGTGCATATGATACTCACTTTGGACCACCGATGACACAGATGGTATCAATTTGTAGGACAACTGTCAAGTCTTATTGTAAAAACTGAGGGAGAGCTTGTTAAATTGTCCATTTGGCCAAGGTTTTCACAGCGCACTTTATAGTGTTGGTGGCGAATGCTGTGTAATTGTTATTGTAAATTAAAATAATAGTGATGCTTTGTAATCAGTAGCCTAGAAGTAATGACAGTCTTGTGTTTTTTCTTTTTCTGTAGCAGCTCACTTTGGCAGGTGTTGTAGCACTTGCTTGTAGTCTCAAGCATTTTCCATACCAAAAACAAGTACAGCAAGTCACCAGTAAGTATTCTATATCAGTTAATTCTGATTAACTCCAAGTGGCGCAGCATCTCAGTGCTTGAGGCGTCACTACAGACCCCCTGGTTCGATTCCAGGCTGTATCACAACCGGCCGTGATTGGGAGTCCCATAGGGCGGCGCACAATTGGCCCAGCGTCGTCCGGGTTTGGCCGGTGTAGGCCGTCATTGTAAATAAGAATTTGTTCTTAACTGACTTGCCTAGTTAAATAAAAAAATTCTCTAAAAAATATAGCACTCATCCTAAAACCCTCATGAGGCCCAACATAACCGGCTGTAATTTGTATACAATCTTTATTTCTCTCAGCTAACAGTAGTCTTTCATTACTGACTTCTTTAACTTAGTTACTTACTGTATTGCTTAGGCCTATGTCGATGTCTTTGTGCTAAAATAATGTCAATATCATGGTTCAGTTGATGCTCTGAACAGCTCTCATGCAACCTTGTGTATGAATTTATATTATCCATCAAGTGTTTTTCAGTCATGGGTAGCTCAAGTGTATTTGATCAGTGAATAATTGTTCAACAAGTCACCAAAACCCACATTTTATCTTTTATTTATTGCCTCAAATACATTTGTTTTCTTGAGCAATGCCAACTAGCAGTTAAAAAAATGTACAGTACACTTAAGTTAAACATTAAATCATTATAAAGCAAACCTATGGCATACAATAATAACTCTCCTAAAATGTACATCTTTACAAAGTGTTTACAAATCAAATGTTAAAAAAGAAAGAAAAAGTGCAAGAGTCAATTCAATTTCAATGAAGGTTGACAATCCCCACCAGTGAAACACGAGAAACAAAATATACAATGAACAAAAAACATACTTCATATTTTTAAGTTGTTTTGGATACATTACATTGATTTGAACAGTAGGCCATGATATTGTGCATTCCAACTTTTCATTTATTATTTTGATAAGGAAAATATCAAACAGTGCATAAAATAAAAAACTAAACATTTTTGTAACATTCACAGTAAACAAATGAACCAAATTTTATCCAAAGTGTCCCGAAATTCATCAAGAAGCCAACCTCTTAATAAATAAATGTTTTTCTAATTTACAAACTGGCTGTGGCGTTTCATAATAGCGATGTGTGCGGTCAAGAATAGGGATTTTTTGTAAATAAATAAGACATTGTAAGTTGAAGATGAGATCAAACATGAAACAAATTCTTAATAAGTGTGTATCCGCACTACTGAAACTGTAAAGTGACGTCCGAGTTAAAACAAAAAGTCAACTCAATGTATGTGACAATCTATCCTAATATGACTATTGTGAATATTTTAATGAATCAGGATTATTGGATGATATTCAGGCATAACGTGTTTAGAAAGGGAGTGGGAGGGGTGGGGTGCTGATCAGTAGTGTGAAGGTGGGGGGGTGTCCCATGAAGTAAACAAAAAATCTGACCCGAAGTTCTGTGAGGTTTAAGAGAAATGTACATCAAAACACAGTACTGCACTCATTTAACGCTCTCCTCCATGGTCCCTCTTAGAAACAACATTTTAAAATGAATAAGATAAAATAACATTTTAGGTTTCTCTTATTAAGATGCATTATGCCACTCAACCTACATAGTGTACGCAGAAGACTAATATATACTTATTAACACTTTCAGACCCACAGATTCAAAATAAATAGATAACTCCTATCGCGGCTGCTTATTGAATATCTTTGAAATATCAACACACTTTTCTCTTGATTTTAAGATTTTTCTGTTTAAAGCGCGATCCCCTAGTCATGACCAAGGCGTTTGAGCAGGTTGAGAAAACCCAATCATTATAGAAAGACTGGTACAGGCTATCTACGCTTGACGTCACCATAGCCCAATGTAAAATATACTCAACCTAATGAACAGCAAGGTACTATGTGTGGAGGCTCCATGCTTAAAAAGGGCACGTGGATCCTCTTCCTTATATTATCGCTGATAAGATGTCCATACCTAGCCTATAATCCTGAGCTAATTGCAAATTCATTAAGCTGCTTGTACAGATTGTTAAATTGGTTGACACTGTATTATGCACAGTTAAAACACTACCACTGACAACTAGTCACATAGGATCATCCCTCTGATAAGGGGTAAGCTCAGCTATAGGAAGTTAAATATGCTAAAACAACCTTTAAAAAGGAAGATATTTTCAGAGTAACTCAAACAAAAGGTTAAAAACCTTGATTAGTTGGTTGTTTACTAAAATGATAGTGTTCAGAAGAGGAAATTACAGCAACATAACTCAAATTCAGCCAGTGCCATTTCCTCATCAAGAGATGCTAGCAGACTACAGCAGTCTACCAAATTACATTTTTGGGTTATCAGTGTTTCTGTTGAAGGGGGAACAGTTAGAATTAATGGATCATTTTCTATTTCTTACTATTTATAACAGAAATATCTGTACAGTATATGGAATACTCATTTCCAACATCTCAAAAAGATGACCTGTATGCTTCCCTTTAAACCTTAAGCCCATACACTCTGAGCCCCTTTCCACACTGTGTTGGACTCATCCAGTTTGCTAAAAATGATCATTTTTACAGTTTCATAGTTATTTTTCAACGTATCTAAAATAGATACGGAAGTCAATCTGCTTGACATGGAAGACTGTAAGGAAGTGCTGTGGCGGTGGAGTGCCTTTGTAGTACTAATATGTTCCTGTACATGTATGTTGCCATGACTACTCAGGTGCGGTATTTGGCATGTTGTTTTGTGATATGTGGAAATTTGACCATGTGACTTTGGCAAAGCTGCAGTATTGCATGTTGTGTGTGATGTCGTAACAGTGAATCAGGCAAAAATGCATATTGGCAAAGCTAGAGACCTGTGTTGTGTGTAGTGTTATGTGTACAGTAGTGTGTTGAATTTAGCATTTAGTGTGTCATTCTTTGTCAACAAAACTCCAGCGTGTTGTGGATGGAAGAAAACAATGTCATTTTTTGTCTTTCGTGTGGTGTTATTTGCTGTCATGATGAGACAGGCAAAGCTACAGACCTGCTTAAACTACATGCACTAGTATATTCATATGGTGGTGTGTTATGGGTGGTCATGGCAACTCAGGCGAAGCTACTGGAGCTGAGGCATTGGAACTTCTCTCTGAGTGACTGGACGATGTTGGGCTGGTTCTGCTGCGCCTGCTGCTCCGCCCACAGGTACTCCTGCAGACGCTCCCGGTCCGTCAGCCCACAGGAGGACCTCGACGGGGTGCAGGGCAGACTCTGGGTCTGGCTCTGGGCTGGCCCTCTGGAGCCAACACCACCACCGCTGTTACGCTGCCCAGAGCAGTCCTGGTACCGCTCGCGCTCGCTCTCATCCTCAGAGCGGATCTCTACGTAATCGTCGTCATCGTCGTCTCCATTGTCCTTGAAGTTGACCAGGTAGTTCTGGGTGGCTGTGAGCATGCTCAGTGGGGAGGCACGGTTCAGGACTACCACCTGCTGACCGTCTTGCAGGGTGAGGTCAGAGTGACTGTGACCGCAACTGGACCGCTCCGGGAGGCTGCTCTGCCGACCGGCCCGGCCCAGACTGCTGGGGCCATGGAGTCTTTCTGAGGAACTCTGGACCACAGCCGGGCCACGGTTGGACCTGGTACAGTCATTCTCCTTCTCCTGCTGCCGGTCGCCCAGTGAGCAGATAGACTGGCAGCGGCTGGTAGGTGGTTTAGAGGAGGACGAGGAAGAGGAGGGGGAGTTAAAGGAGGTGTGTCGTTTAATAGAACTGTACACATGCTCCTCCTTCTCGCTGGGGGCGGAGACACAAGAGCTCCACCGCTGGGTGGGTGAGGTCTCTGGGGAGGGAGGTAGGATCTTTAGGGTGGGGACGGAGCAGGCTGCGGTGAGCCTGCACTGGGGGGTGGAGGACCGTATCTCTGACACAAAGCTGGCCAGCTCCCCATTGCTGTAGGTGGAGAGGAGCCAGTCATCCTCCAGCCCTAGGCCCAGGGAGGAGCAGGTCTCAGGCAGGGATGGGGAGGAGGGCAGCCCTGGGTGGGCATGGTGCGAGCCAGGAGGGCCCGGGCTGCTGGAGCCCTGACCTGAAGGGTTTTTAAACATCACCTGGTCATACAGCTGGGAGTACTCGGCTATCCTCGCACCTGAGAGGGAGGGAGAGAGGGAGAGAGGGAGAGAGAGAGAGAGAGAGAGAGAGAGAGAGAGAGAGAGAGAGAGAGAGAGAGAGAGAGAGAGAGAGAGAGAGAGGAGATAAGGAGACAATAAGTGACATTAATAAAATACACAGAATTCATGTTTAGTCATTTTATTAACCAAACACAGTCAGGGCCACCATTATTGGCACCCTTGATAAAGATGAGCAAAAAATACTGTATAAAATAAATACTTTTTTTGGAAATACTATTATTTTATACTAATACAATTGCTCAGAGAAAGAGATGTTGTTTAACAAGTAATTTAAAAAAATCTAAAAAGGCAAATGTTTTCAATACTCTATCACACTCCCCTTACAAGGATAACGACACATCCTTTTTCTACAATGTGTTATGAGATTGGAGAACTCGTTGGGGACGATCTTAGACCATTCCTCCATACAGAATATTTCCAGATCCTTGATATCCTTAGTCTGCTCTTATGGACTGCCCTCTTCAATTCAAACCACAGGTTATCAATGGGGTTCAAGTCCGGAGACTGTGATTGCCATTGCAATATGTTGATGTTGTGGTCAATTAACCATTTTTTTGTGGATTTTGATTAGTGCTTAGAGTTATTTGTCTTGCTGGAAGATCCACTTGCGGCCATTGAAGTGTCAGCTTCCTTGAAGAGGCAACCAGGTTTTTGGCTAAAATTTCCTGGTAGTAAAGTTCATGATGCCGTAGACCTTAACAAGGGCCACAGGACCATTGGAAGCAAATGGCGATCTTGAACCCCATTAATAACCTGTGGTTTGAATTGAAGAGAGCAGTCCATAAGCGCAGACGAAAGATATCAAGGATCTGGAAAATATTATGTGTGGAGGAATGGTCTAAGATCACTCTCAATGTGTTCTCCAATCTCATAAAACATTTTAGAAAATGTCTCAGTGTCGTTATCTTCGCAAGGGGAGGGTGTACTGAAAACAGGGGTGCCAATAAAATGTTGCATGCAATATAGCTCAGTATTTGTATTATTTATTTTATACAGTCTTTTTCGCTCATCATTATCAAAGGTGCCAATAATTATGGACCTGACTGTAGTTAGCTGTACATATCATGACTAGATAAACAACTACTGATTATGTTTGTTACCTATGGCAGCCCCGCCTTGCTTCTTATCCTCCAAAATGGCTGCCAGGTCTTTCTGCTTCTTCTCCAGGTCTTTCTGCTGCTTCTTCTCCTCCCTGTTGTGTCCTCCTGACCCCATGTCGCCGGGGTCCATGCTCTTCATGCGGAGCAGCTGATTGGCCTTCTTGATCTTCTGGCTGTATTGGCGAGCCATCAGGAACACACGGTTCTTGGTCTTGTCCATGAGCTCCTGGGAGAAGCTGTCCACTGAGTCCCCCGGAAGGAGAGAAGAGGCGGCCAGGGGGGAGTCCAGACCCCCCAGCCCGGTCAGCTCCCCAGGGAACAGGTTGTGGAGGTTCCTGATGGAGGGGTCCCTCTGGCTGGGGTCCCGTTGGGGCAGCTCCCCCAGCTCATCATCATCCTCTAGACGGAAGCTGCCACTGCTGAGGCGGGCCAGTCTGTTACGGATGCTCTTGACTGTCCCGGGAGGGGCAGGGTCTGGGATGGCAGGCAAGGGGAGGGACGGGGGAGTGAGGGGAGAGGGGGAGGGGTAATGGTCTTCCTCTTCAAAGGTAGCCTCTCTGAGCAGCTCTGGGAAGATGGGGATGGTGAATTGGTGAGGGGGGGTCACAGTGGGGGGGTTGGGATTGCGGGCTGGGGGGCTCTTGGTAAGGGAGCTGTGTTTTTGGGAGCTGTTCTTTTTGGGGCTGCTCTTGACCGACGAGGTCTTCTTGGGGGCCTCACTGGCACTCACGGGAAACGCGGCAGGAAGGCGGTCCGCTTTCTTCTCGTTCTTCTTGATGTAGTTTTCCAAATCGTTCCAGATCTCGTCCACCTGCTCCGACATCTGGTCACCGGTGTGGGAACGTTGGGAGAACGTTTCCGAGGCAGATGAGGAGGAATAGTCCGGTTCGGAGGTGCCGTGGACTGGGTGGGAGTTATCCTCCGTCCCCTCGTCTTCCCCAAAATGGAGGCTCTCCTCGGACACGAAGCCCCCCAGGCTGTCCCCATCCCTGTCACCCTTGGCTGGGGGTTCCCTAAAGCAGATAGTGTCATAGATGTTCTCCTCCTCCACGATCTTCAGCGCACACGTCCCAAATGGCACCCCCTCCTGGGCGGTGGAGGAGTGGTTACTGTCAGACAAGCAGTCTGGCTCGATGAGAGGCTCTGTAATACCCCCAGTGACCCCAGTGTTTAGAGCCCCAGGCCCCTGTGTGTCTCTAGGGGCCTCTCTTTGGGCCCCACGATCCTCCTGCTCCCTCCTGATAAGCCCCATGCTCTTCAGGTCCTCATAGCTGATGTTGTCGTAAATGTTCTCTATGTCGTCTATCATCAGCTGCTCGGCCGACGACGAACCCGAGATGTCATTGCTGGAGGATTCGGCGTGGATCATCCCTTCCTGGTCGTCATCCTGACCAGGCTGGCTCTGTCGGCCGCCAGTCTGTTTCTCCCCCACGCTGCTGGCTCTCCGCAGCCCTCTGCTGTCCCCGGTGGACGGGGGGTCTATCTGCACCGTGGGCACCTGCTCCATGTGCCAGCTGCAGGGTCGCCCCTGGGTCCTGCTGGGAGACGATGTGACCTCTGACCTAACAGGAAGTGGTTCTGGTTCTGGCCCGCCGAGCTCAGTGGGGACAAACATCTGGTAGATGTCCTCGTCCTCTTCGTCTGGGTTCATGGTGCGCTGACGCGTGGGGAACATGGCTCTGCGGACACGGTGGTCTGCCCAGATGTTCCCCACCGTCTGCGGGTCACCCCCCGGGACCAGCATGGAGGGGACATGGGTGTCCGGGGGTTCCTCTGTCACACGGGGCGTCCTGAGGAGAGGAGGGTGGTGACCTCCCTGAAGAGATTTGTTAGCCCTCTGGAGAGGAGAGATGGAGGGAGGAGAAATTACATTATTTTGTAAATGTGCAAATGTTGATGTAGAACTTTATTAAATTAGAGTTAAGTCCTGTACACAACTATTCCTACTAGTCATTCTCATCACACTGTTCGGGTCAGTCACCTGTAGGTCTGAAGCGCTCATGTTGAAGGTCTTCCATTGGTCGATGCTGCTGTCCATAGATGCCTGTTGGTTCAACTTCTTCCTGCTAGACTTCTCTGGGACTCGCAGCCTCTTTCCCCCACCCTACACACACATTTAGAAAATGTTGTAATGAACATGCCTTTACCTATCTAATCCCTTCATACCTGTAAAGGGGCTAGAGCAAGGGGCTAAGGATCGAAATCAAATCAGGCAAATCTGATAAACTTGAATGAAGAGAAAGAGGTTCAAAAGGTCAAACTGATGCATTGTGGGTAGGTAGGAGAGACTCACCAGGCCACTGTCGTCCTCATCGTCGGCATCCTGCTGGTGTGGCTCCTCCCCATCCTCCCTGTCGCTATGGTCAAAATGGTCGCCAGGGTCCAGGGACTCCTGTGATTGGTTGACCAGGCTGCGGCTGCGACCAATAGTGCCCAGAGCCAGCTGGGACACGGGGGAGAGCAGGGTGGCACCCAGACTCGTCCGCTACAGAGAGAGGGTGATAAGCCAGAGTGTTAAATGTGTGCATGATTGAGGGGTTTAGCAAGCGTTGCAAATAACACCTAAACTATCTGAAACTTTTACTCTATAATGGGAATATAATCATAGAATTAGGAATTATAATACTAAAATGGACATTAACCTTCTTATGACAGTATATAAGGTCAGCAATTTTGGTAAGGGAGTTGGTCAACCATGGTCAGCCAGTGCTGTGATAAGATATAGTGCAAAACAATGAATTTGAAGATTATCTGCACTGTATGTTTGTTAGGTAGCTAGCCAGCCAGTTTAAGTTGAATGATTCCATAAATGTTTCACATTAACTGCCAATATTCCATTCAAAGAACGCAGTCAATACACAGCCATACACTGGCTGAAATCAGTTGATGATAGGACTTAGACAAGTTGTAAATGCAACATGTACTGATATTGTATCATATAATAACACTGCAAAAAACAGCTTTCCAAAAAAACACAAATTTAGTTTTCATATAAATATATGTTTACATATATTTTAGAGGCTATTTATACAGAACTGTATATAAAACCAGTATAAACTATTTATAATTATATGACAATATCTTAGGTTGACAATAATTCTATTACACAATTTCTGATATATCAAGCCTTACATGCTGACCACACCGCTTGCATTTCATGCGCGAGCGTTGCAATATACACTACCAGTCAAAAGTTTGGACACACCTCATGAGGTAGTCACCTGGAATGCATTTCAATTAACAGGTGTGCCTTCTTAAAAGTTAATTTGTGGAATTTCTTTCCCTCTTAATGCGTTTGAGCCAATCAGTTGTGTTGGGACAAGGTAGGGGGGTATACAGAAGATAGCCCTATTTGGTAAAAGACCAAGTCCATATTATGGCAAGAACAGCTCAAATAAGCAAAGAGAAACGACAGTCCATCATTACTTTATGTCACGAATTCAGCCGAGGCTGTCCCTCCTCCTTGCTCGGGAAGGCTTCGGCGTTCGTCGTCACCAGAGTACTAGCTGCTACCGATCCATGTTTCTATGTTCTACTTGTTTTGTCTGTATTGGTCTCACCTGTTTCCCATCATGTAATATTGTCTTCCCTATTTAACCCTCTGGCTCACACTGTGTGTTGTGCATGTTTGTCCATGTTTTGGTTGTCGTATGTGAGCGGGTTTGTTTCCTCCCTGCGTGGAGGTATGTTCATTAAGATACCTACGAGTAAAGTACGTTTTTCGATCAGCTCTGTGTCCTGCGCCTGACTTAGTCCTACCGCATTACACTGACGCCTTGACACTTTAAGACATGAAGGTCAGTCAATACGAAACATTTCAAGAACTTTGAACGTTTCTTCAAGTGCAGTCGCAAGAACCATCAAGCGCTATGATGAAACTGGCTCTCATGAGGACCGCCACAGGAATGGAAGACCCAGAGTTACCTCTGCTGCAGAGGATAAGTTCATTAGAGTTACAAGCCTCAGAAATTGCAGCGCAAATAAATGCTTCACAGAGTTCAAGTCACAGAGACATCTCAACATCAACTGTTCAGAGGGGACTGTGTGAATCAGGCCTTCATGGTCAAATTGCTGCAAAGAAACCACTACTAAAGGACACCAATAAGAAGAAGAGACCTTGCTTGGGCCAAGAAACACGAGCAATGGACATTAGACCGGTGGAATTTGTCCTTTGGTCTGGAGTCCAAATTGGAGATTTATGGTTCCAACTGCTGTGTCTTTGTGAGACGCGGTGTGGGTGAACGGATGATCTCCGCATGTGTATTTCCCACCGTAAAGCATGGAGGAGGAGGTGTTATGGTGTGGGGGTGCTTTGCTGGTGACACTGTCTGTAATCTATTTAGAATTCAAGGCACACTTAACCAGCATGGCTACCCCAGCATTCTGCAGCGATACGCCATCCCATCTGGTTTGGGCTTAGTGGGACTATCATTTGTTTTTCAACAGGACAATGACCCAACACACAATCCCCCGACCTCAACCAAATTGAGATGGTTTGGGATGAGTCGGACGGCAGAGTGAAGGAAAAGCAGCCAACAAGTGCTCAGCATATGTGGGAATTCCTTAAAGACTGTTGGAAAAGCATTCCAGGTGAAGCTGGTTGAGAGAATGCCAAGAGTGTGCAAAGCTGTCATGAAGGCAAAGGGTGCCTATTTGAAAAATCTCAAATATATTTTGATTTGTTTAACACTTTTTTGATTACTACATGATTCCATATGTGTTATTTCATAGTTTAATTAAGGTGCATTACCACCACCAAATGGATCTCAGTTAATTTTTCAATCACCCACGTGGGTATATGCTCCTAAAAACCCATGAGGAGATGGGAGAGGTGGGACTTGCAGCGCATCAAGTGTCACAAATAGAACCAAGTTCTATTTTAGCACCTGGCTACGCAGACGCTTGCGAGCAGTGTGGATGCAATGATTGAATAACATGGATGTGTACATTTAGTGTACATGTTATTCAATCATTTCATCCAAACTGCTCACGAGCGTATGCGTAGCCAGGCGCTAAAATAGAATTTGGTTATATTTTTTTAACGCTAGATGCGCTGCCAGTCCCGCCTTTCCCATCTCCTCATTGGTTTTTAGGAGCATATACCCACGTAGGTGATTGAAAGATGAACTGAGGTCCACACTCCAGTCCAGTTGGTGGTGGTAATGCACCTTAAATGCATTATGGTCCTCTGTAGCTCAGCTGGTAGAGCACAGCGCTTGTAACGCCAAGGTAGTGGGTTCGATCCCCGGGACCACCCATACACAAAAAAAATGTATGCACGCATGACTGTAAGTCGCTTTGGATAAAAGCGTCTGCTAAATGGCATATTATTATTATTTATTAAAGTTGGTTGCCAACCGACATAAAGTCCACAGAAGAAGAAGAAGAAGACTACTACTGAAGGAGGAGAGATTACTAGAAACGATTTTATCATCTGTGGATTAAATGTCAGAGTAGAGAACACACGATTTTGTACCTTGTGCACTTCAGGTAAAATAACAACCCAATGTTTATATCCCAGGACAAATTAGCTAGCAACAGCAAGCTAGCTAGCTAAATGTCCATGTGCCACCAAATTAATATAGTTGGTTCAGAGTTCGTTTTGATATTTCAACCAGCGTGTCTGGATCGCGTCTGGTGTGGATGTACAAAATCAACATGTGCGCTATGGCGCACGCGTGTGCCCGGTCTAGACTGCATGTTAAGACAGGGATTTCTCCCTGACCACAAAAGCAGCCATTATCATACCATTCTGGAACTTTGGGGGTTCATGACATAGCCCCTCTATTAATTTAATAGGATCTCTATGGATATAACACTGTTTCTTTGTGTAACTGTAGCATTGTGTCACCATCCATAAATTACTAATGTGGGTTTAAGCTCACCTTTGAGCCATCTTCCTTTACACCATGTTTAGCGTTCTTCAGTAACTTGGACAAAGGCTCTGAGGAGAGACAGACAGGACAGGACATGTCAGAGAAACTGGCCCCGTCCATTGGCATCAGCACTGATCATTTACAGTACCTTGTTCCTGTCCCTCCTGTTTCTCACCTGACTTCCTGCGGACCCGTCGAGGGTTGGAGCCCTCCTTGGTGTGGGGGCTCCTCTTGTCCCCGTCGGGACTGTAGTGGAACCCTGGGTGGTCTGGAGAGGACAGAGGAGAGAGGGAATGTTACACACACCCAAATAAACTCCAATAAACTTAATGATCTGACAATAGTCAGAAGAGGCTTCAACCAATATCAAATGAATACTTACGCATAGCATCCATCTCCAAAATGGCCTGCTTGGCCTGAAAATCAAGATAAAAAACAAAACACTAAAGTGAGCTCCATATTCCAGAGTTCAGTTAGCCTATAATTGAGGTTGAGGACATGGGGCTACCAGACACTAGATGGCGCCAGACAGTAGTCTTTTCCAACAGAACCTGACCACTTTACAAGCATCAAGTTTAACAAGAGATCCCTTTATTGTAATTACAATGAACCCTCTCAAGGATTTCCTCCAGACAAAAGCATAATTTTCCATATGAACCAGAGCCAAGGAGAGGAGGAGAGAAGAAAGAGAGGGTGATCGAAAAAGAAAGAGGGAGAGTGAGACCATTCCACCTCCTCCCACTCAGGGTTGTGTTTATGTCATTAGTGAGCACACACATTGCTTGCTCCGTGTCTCACCTTGGCTGGGATTTTAGCCGGGTGGTTTTCCAGTATGAGTCTCTTCAGGTGTAGGATCCACATGCGTTTGTCCTGCTGGGACTTAGCCTGGGGGCGGGGCGGAGCACAACAGAGAGGACAGAAGAAGAGAGACATTAAACTAGACTTTACATTTTGAATCCTTAGTTGCTACATCCATTTTGGTACTTATAAATTATTATATATACCCATTGATTCTTGAAGAATATAACTTATAAATGCCTCATGAGCTTAGTTCAACTGTCAGACCCCATTAGAACACAACATATAAGCTTGTTTTATTCCAATGTTTGGAAACAACAAATGTAAACAAAGCCTCAAAACATGGTTAAACTATTCATTTGATATCATGGATGGTCAGTCCTTGCATCCATAGCTCGGTCTATGAATTTGAGAGTTGTTACATTTCTCCAGGCCAATCCCTTAGCTTTTTAGCTAAACAGGAGCGGGGAGAAATTGTTTAAATTAAGGATTCTAACTTTAACAACGTATAATATGATTATGACAAACCCATAACAATAGTGGGATATGCCCTTCGACTCTTTTATCTTGTTACATAAAACAGATTATGGTGGTGTTTGAAGTCCCTTCAAAAACACTCATGTTGAGAAACAACAAGCCCTTCTCATTCACCGTTAACAATTCAACATGTCTGGGCACGTAGGAGTGGTGGGCTTGGCAGAGCACAAGTGGGATAGTACAGGCTACTTTTCCTCTATGCTGTACAATCGACTGTGGAATATGCTAGAATTTGGGTTTGTGGGGTGTAATTTTGCTTTACCTGTACAGTGTGCTGTAGTTTGGGGTTCTTGTAGTGGAACACACTGAAGCTGAGTGGCTCCTTTGGAATGATTTCCACCAACATCAGGTTACAACACTATAATGACAGAGACATGGTTAGTATGATGAATGTCTCACTTTGGGTAGAAGTATAAAGACTGGTACACCTTAGGACGTTTTGGGAGGTATTAGTGTTGTGACTGACCAGGATGTGGGCCTTGTAGGTGAAGGCCTCCTCGCGTTTCTTGGTTACCAGCAACAGTTTGTCGAACAGGAAGAGCGTGCGCTCATTCTTGGCCCGCTGCAGACGGAATGTCCCCTCCAAAACCAGCTCCCCGTAGCCAATCAGATCAGGCCCCTTCCAGTTGGTTAGCAGACTCTGGATCTCCTGAGACAGGGGGAGGGAAGACAGGGAGGAGGAAGAGGAGAGGGGGAGAGTGAGTGAGAGGAGGGAAAGGGAGAGGAGGAAGAGGACAGAGGGAATAATAAGTGAGAGGGAGAGGGAAAGAGAGAGCGGAGGAGGAGAGGGGGGAGAGTGAGGAGAGGGAAAGAGAGAGGAATAGGATGAGAATGAGTTAAGAGAAACAGGTGAGAGAACAAAAGAAGGACAAGAAATGACATGAGAAAGAGGAGAGAAGAGAGGAAGGAAAGGAGCGAGACAAAAAAGGACGGAGAGAATTAGACAGGTCAGCTAAGCACTCTTCCTCAGATCCTGAGTAAATACTTCCGCACACATTTCTTCACTCATCTGATCATCCTCCTCCCCACAGAATAAAGCTACACTTTCTCTTTTATCTGCCGGCTGTGTTATGCAAGGCCATCATTAGCCCTGGAAAACAATGTCTTGCATAACCTAGCGGAGACAGACAGAGTGTGCATCCCAAATGGCACACTATTCCCTATATAGTGCACTACTTTTGACCCATCCATAGGGCTTTTATCAGAAGTAGTGCACTATGTATGAAATAGGGTGCCATTTGGGAAGCAAACTAGACTGGTGAAAGCTAGGGAAACAATGGGAGGATCTGTGGACAGCCACTAATGTCACAAACTAATTCAAACCACTAAGATGCAGACTATTTCAAATGTACTTTGTTGGAGCAGAATAAACGTGTGTGTGTGTTGACCAACTTGTAACATGTCAGGTGTGTGTGTGTATGTGCTTGTACCTGCTTTACATAAGTGAATTGCCATGACCAGACTACAGTAAAAACCGGAGTCCTGACTGCATATGCAGGTATGTGTGAGCATGTGTGCCTATGTGTATATGTGTGTGTGCATGTTAATTTGCAAGTGTAGTCTTACCTGCAGCCTGACAGCGTGTTCGTGTTTCCTCTTCATGTCGTTGATGTGCCAGGCCACTCTCTGCATGGTGTCAATGGCTTCCTGCACCACGTCATATGTCTCTGTGTCCTTCTCCAGGTGGTTGGCTATCTCCTACAGGGGACAGAAAACACACCCAGGGTTAGAGTGGGTAATGTACACGGATAGCTGTACGTTAGACTGGGTACCATCTGTTTCTGCAGTAGCCAGCTATGTTGGCTCGGTATTTCTTGGCAGTAGGGTTAGCTTGTTCAAAAATAGACTGGTGGCTAACTTAATATACAGTACATTACAGATAACTGTACACACACAGTTCTTTCTGGTCTGAGTGTTTGGCTTATGTGGGGTTTTGCTAGTGTGATGTAGGTGTCAGTGTGTGTGTGCTTAGGTGTGTTACTGACGTGCAGCAGTAGGTGGTACTTGAGGATCCTCTGCACTGGCTTGAGCAGGTAGGAGCCCAGAGGCAGGGAGTGTCTCAGAGATTCCTGACGCTCCCGGAAAAACTTGGCCAACACCTTATTCCTCATACACTCAGTCAACACAGCCACTGACCTGCAGAGAGAGAGATGGAGGGAGAGAAGGAAAAAGGAAATCTGATATTAATGACAGATATTGTAGCCCAATTAAAATACAGAATGACAGATCACATACACACACAGTCCTGTCTGAGAGAACAGTGCAAGGTCAGGTAAAGGCCAATGTTAGATCAGTGTTTGTAAGTAGATGTATTTTCTATGACATGATTTACAGAAAAAAAAGGCCATATGAAAGGATTTGAGCATGTGTAATAATAATAATAATAATAATAATAATAATAATATGTATGTATGTATGTACACTACCGTTCAAAAGTTTGGGGTCACTTAGAAATGTCCTTGTTTTCGAAAGAAAAGCAATTTTTATGTCCATTAAAATAACATCAAATTGATCAGAAATACAGTGTAGACATTGTTAATGTTGTAAATGGCTATTGTTGCTGGAAACGGCTGATTGTTAATGGAATATCTACATAGGCGTACAGAGGCCCATTATCAGCAACCATCAGTCCTGTGTTCCAATGGCACGTTGTGTTTGCTAATCCAAGTTTAGCATTTTAAACGGCTAATTGATAATTAGAAAACCCTTTTGCAATTATGTTAGCGCAGCTGAAAACTGTTGTGCTGATTAAAGAAGCAATAAAACTGGCCTTCTTGAGACTAGTTGAGTATCTGGAGCATCAGCAATTGTGGGTTTGATTACAGGATAAAAATGGCCAGAAACAAATAACTTTCTTCTGAAACTCATCAGTCTATTCTTGTTCTGAGAAATGAAGGCTATTCCATGCGAGAAATTGCCAAGAAACTGAAGATCTCGTACAACGCTGTGTACTACTCCCTTCACAGAACAGCGCAAACTGTCTCTAACCAGAATTGAAAGAGGAGTGGGAGGCCCTGATGCACAACTGAGCAAGAGGACAAATACATTAGAGTGTCTAGTTTGAGAAACAGATGCCTCACAGGTCCTCAACTGGCAGCTTCATTAAATAGTACCCACAAAACACCAGTCTCAACGTCAACAATGAAGAGGCGACTCCGGGTTGCTGACCTTCTAGGCAGAGTTGCAAAGAAAATGCCATATCTCAGACTGGCCAATAAAAAGAAAAGATTAAAAGATGGGCAAAAGAACACAGACACTGGACAGAGGAAGATTGGAAAAAAGTGTTATGGACAGACAAATCAAAGTTTGAGGTGTTCGGACCACAAAGAAGAACATTGGTGAGACGCAGACCAAATTAAAAGATGCTGGAGAAGGCAATGTGATGGTCTGTGGGTGCTTTGGTGGTGGTAAAGTGGGAGATTTGTACAGAGTAAAAGGGATCTTGAAGAAGGAAGGCTATCACTCCATTTTGTAACGCCATGCCATACCCTGTGGACGGCGCTTGATTGGAGCCAATTTCCTCCTACAACAGGACAATGACCCAAAGCACAGCTCCAAACTATGCAATAATTATTTTAGGGAAGAAGCAGTCAGCTGGTATTCTGTCTATATTGGAGTGGCCAGCACAGTCACCGGATCTCAACCCTATTGTGCTGTTGTGGGAGCAGCTTGACCGTAAGAAGTGCCCATCAAGCCGATCCAACTTGTGGAAGGTGCTTCAGGAAGCATGGGGTGAAATCTCTTCAGATTACCTCAACAAATTGACAACTAGAATGCCAAAGGTCTGCTATGCTGTAATTGCTGCAAATGGAGGATTCTTTGACGAAAGCAAAGTTTGAAGGACACAATTATTATTTCTATTAAAAATCATTATTTCTAACCTTGTCAATGACTACCTTTCCTATGCATTTTGCTATATTTCCTATTCAAGCTCATTTCATGTATGTTTTCATGGAAAACAAGGAAATCTCTAAGTGACCCCAAACTTTTGAACGGTAATGTATGTATGTATGTATGTATGTATGTATGTATGTATGTATGTACAGTGCATTCGGAAAGTATTCAGACCTCTTGACTTTTTCCACATTTTGTTAAATTACAGCCTTATTCTAAAATGGATTCAATATTTTTTTCCCCTCATCAATCCACACACAATACCCCATAATGACAAAGCGAAAACAGGTTTTTAGACATTTTTGCAAATTTATTTTGCAAAAGTATTCAGACCCTTTGCTATGAGACTCAATTGAGCTCAGGTGCATCCTGTTTCCATTGATCATCCTTCTACAACTTCATTGGAGTCCACCTGTGGTAAATTAAATTGATTGGACATAATTTGGAAAGGCACATACCTGTCTATATAAGATCCCACAGTTGACAGTGCATGTCAGAGCAAAAACCAAGCCATAAGGTCGAAGGAATAGTCTGTAGAGCTCCGAGACAGGATTGTGTCGAGGCACAGATCTGGGGAAGGGTACCAAAACATTTCTGCAGCATTGAAGATCCCCAAGAACACAGTGGCCTCCATCATTCTTAAATGGAAGAAGTTTGGAACCAACAAGACTCTTCCTAGAGCTGGCCGGCCGGCCAAACTGAGCAATCGGGGGAGAAGGGCCTTGGTCAGGGAGTTGACCAAGAACCCGATGGACCAAGAACCCTCTGTGGAGATGGGAGAACCTTCCAGAAGGACAACCATCTCTGCAGCACTCCACCAATCAGGCCTTTACGGTAGAGTGACCAGACAGAAGCCACTCCTCAGTAAAAGAATGGGAGAAACTCCCCAAATACAGGTGTGCCAAGCTTGTAGCGTCATACCCAAGAAGACTCAAGGCTGTAATCGCTGCCAAAGGTGTTTCAACAAAGTACTGAGTAAAGGGTCTGAATACTTGTGTAAATGTGATATTTCCGTATTTTAATTTTTCATAAATGTGCAAAAATGTCTAAAAACCTGTTTTTGCTTTGTCTTTATGGGGTATTGTGTGTAGATTGATGAGGGAAAAAAAATATTTAATCCATTTTAGAACAAGGCAGTAACGTAACAAAATGTGGAAACAGTCAAGGGGTCTGAATACTTTCCGAATGCACTGTTTGTATGTATGTATGTATGTATGTATGTATGTATGTATGTATGTATGTATGTATGTGTGTGTGTGTGTGTGTGTGTGTGTCAACCACCCCCCCACACAGCTGGTGACCCTAGCTAAGGTCACACACGACCGACACACACACACACAATTACAGTAGGAACCGAGGCTGTAGATGTATCTCGGTCATTCTGAGCTCTCGGGTCGGGTTTCTCAGAGACAACAATGTGAGGCCTGTGTGGAGCTGCACTGGAATGTGGACACATGCGCGCGCACACACACAAACACACAATCTCTAACTACTTACATAATCACCATCATCGATAACTACTAAATAATCACTTGTCAGTAGTAGCGGGTAATGTGTGTGTTTCATCACAATGCTAAAATAATACACTTCAGACATGCCGCATCCAAAAGTGTGCTGCTTGTAGTGTGGCACAACCATTGTGAAACACACTGCTCTCATTAGGTTTCATTGTCTCACATTTTTGTCCCCCAGTCACAGGGGCACATGGTTTCCTATTACAAGATGTCGTTCACACAAGGTGAAATAAAACATTAAAGCCAGCCACTGAGTATGATAAGGTGACGGGTATAATACCCATCTGTCAGAGTAGGGGCTGTAACTCTGTCAACAGGCTCCATATCAAATAAAGAAGGAATTAGAGAGGGAGAGACAGACAGACTCCTGTTGGGTTGGGCTGTATATCAGGGCTACCCAGAGAGCGAGGCTGGTGTACTGTAGCTCTATAAAGATATACGACACTCTGGGAATCAAGAACGTGAACGTGAGATTCACCTGTATGCAAATCCAGATCACATTGGATAACAAGGCGAAAGATAATACTAGTATATATGTTCATACTACAGACTGTCAAACACGCACCACAGGAGGCTGGTGGGAAGAGCTATAGGAGGACAGGCTCAGTGTAATGACTGAAGTGGAATGAATGGAACGGAGCCAAACATGTGGTTTCCATAAGTTTGATACCGTTCCATTTATTTCATTCCAGCCATTACAATTAGCCCGTCGTCCTATGGCTCCTCCCACCAGCATCCTCTGATGCACACACAATGAAAGTGGGGCAGACTACACTGAGTATACAAAACATTAAGAACACCTGCTCTTTCCATGACATAGACTGACCAGGTGAATCCAGGTGTAAGCTATGATCCCTTATTGATGTCACTTGTTAAATTAACTTCAAATCATTGTAGATGAAGGGGAGGAGACCGGTTAAAGAATGATTTTTAAGCCTTGAGACAAGACATGGATTGTGTATGTGTGCCATTCAAAGGGTGAATGGGCAAGACAAAATATTTAAGTGCCTTTGAACGGGGTATGGTAGTAGGTGCCAGACGAACGGGTTTGTGTCAAGAGCTACAACACTGCTGGGTTTTTCACACTCCCGTGTGTATCAAGAAATGGTCCACCACCCAAAGGACATCTAGCCAACTTGACACAACTGTGGGAAGCAATGGAGTCAACATGGGCCAGCATCCCTGTGGAACGCTTTCAACACCTTGTAGGAACGCCCCGACGAATTGAGGCTGTTCTGAGGGCAAAAGGCGGGGGGGTACAACTCAATATTAGGAAGGTGTTCCTAATGTTTGGTATACTCAGTGTTTATGAAAAGTGCTATATGCAAAACCGATATCTTGTGTCAGAAGTCATAGTTGGGGTTGCTTACCTTGGGTAGTTGGTGCAGTACTGAGTGTAAATGTGGAACTCTTCACTCTGGGAAAGAAAGACAAAATAATGACATTAATGTTATATTGGCATCAGTCCCTGATCAAATAATTACATTAATGTTGTATTGGCATCAGTCCTTGATCAAATAATTACATTAATGTTGTATTGGCATCAGTCCTTGATCAAATTATTACATTAATGTGGTCCTCTGTAGCTCAGCTGGTAGAGCACGGCGCTTGTAACGCCAGGGTAGTGGGTTCGATCCCCGGGACCACCCATACACAAAAATGTATGCACACATGACTGTAAGTCGCTTTGGATAAAAGCGTCTGCTAAATGGCATATTATATTATTATTATTAATGTTGCATTGGCATCAGTCCCTGAAATCACTCATATGAAATCACTCATACCAGTAACAGCAGAAGAGGATAGTTAGTAGCTAAATACAATATACTTATGCTAGCTAGCCAACGTTTAATTATTGCTGCGTTATGAAAGGAACTAGACACGGACACGAATGATCTGTTTAGTGTGTTAACACACTATTGGTAGTCTGTTGTAACCAAGTATTGGTGCTAAACTGTGTGTTATTGGATGCTAGCATGCTAGTTAGCTATGGTGTCATAGTTAGGCATCGTGGGCTGTTGTGGGTAGTTACTGTAGGTTGGCATTGTCTTCGGTGTAGCACGAAGCTAGCTAGCTAGCCGTTTTTCGAACAGAGTCAACACAGTAGCCATTGTGTGCTGTACTGTGGCAGCTAAATACAATATATTTGTGCTAAGCTAGCCAACGTTTAATTATTGCTGCGTTATGAAAGGAACTAGACACGGACACGAATTATCTGCTTAGTGTGTTAACACACTATTGGTGGTTTGTTGTGACCAAGTGTTGGTGCTAGTCTACTCCTTTAAACATTGAACCGCTGTGGTTCACAACAATTCTGATTTCTAAAGGTGGAAGTTGGGAGAGTTTTTGTTCGGGTGGTTCAGTGAAACAATTATAGTTTCTGAGGTGGAAGTTTTGGTGAGGGAGGCCCTGCTCTCTCTTCTTCCAGATGTTTAGTTCATTTCATTCCGATCTCCTCTGCATTATTGTAGCCATTTGCTACAGCCTGTCAACTATGCCTCTGCCTATCCCTGTTCTCTCCTCTCTGCACAGGCTACACAAACGCCTCACACCGCGTGGCTGCTGCCTCTCTAACCTGGTGGTCCCTGCACGCACCCCACACCTGGAGTTCCAGGTCTCAGGCAGCCTCTGGAACTGCCGTTCTGCTGCCAACAAAGATGACTTCATCCCAGCCTATGCTAACCTCCAGTCCCTCGACTTTCTGGCGCTGACGGAAACATGGATTACCACTGAAAACACTGCTACTCCTACTGCTCTCTCCTCGTCTGACCATGTGTTCTCGCATACCCCGAGAGCATCTGGTCAGAGGGGTGGTGGCACAGGAATCCTCATCTCTCCCAAGTGGACATTCTCAATTTTTCCCCTAACCCACCTGTCTATCTCCTCATTTGAATTCCATGCTGTCACAGTCACTAGCCCATTTAAGCTTAATATCCTTGTCATCTATCGCCCTCCAGGTTCCCTTGGAGAGTTCATCAATGAGCTTGACGCCTTGATAAGTTCCTTTCCTGAGGATGGCTCACCCCTCACAGTTTTGGGGGATTTCAACCTCCCTATGTCCACATTTGACTCATTTCTCTCTGCCTCCTTCTTTCCACTCCTCTCCTCTTTTGACCTCACCCTCTCACCGTCCCCCCCTACTCACAAGGCAGGCAATACGCTTGACCTTATCTTTACTAGATGCTGCTCTTCTACTAATCTCACTGCAACTCCCCTCCATGTCTCCGACCACTACTTTGTTTCCTTTTCTCTCTCGCTCTCCTCCAACACTACTCACTCTGCCCCTACACAGATGGTAATGCGCCGCCGCAACCTTCGCTCTCTCTCTCCCACTACTCTCTCCTCTTCCATCCTATCATCTCTTCCCTCTGCTCAATCCTTCTCCCTCCAATCTCCTGATTCTGCCTCCTCAACCCTCCTCTCCTCCCTTTCTGCATCCTTTGACTCTCTGTGTCCCCTATCCTCCCGGCCGGCTCGGTCCTCCCCTCCAGCTCCGTGGCTTGATGACTCATTGCGAGCTCACAGAACAGAGCTCCGGGCAGCGGAGCGGAAATGGAAGAAAACTAAACTCCCTGCCGACCTGGCATCTTTTCACTCCCTCCTCTCTACATTTTCTTCATCTGTTTCTGCTGCTAAGGCCACTTTCTACCACTCTAAATTCCAAGCATCTGCCTCTAACCCTAGGAAGCTCTTTGCCACATTTTCCTCCCTCCTGAATCCTCCCCCCCTCCCCCCCCCCCCTCCTCTCTCTCTGTGGATGACTTCGTCAACCACTTTGAAAAGAAGGTTGACGACATCCGATCCTCGTTTGTTAAGTCTAATGACACTGCTGGTCCTACTCACACTGCCCTACCCTATGCTTTGACTTCTTTCTCCCCTCTCTCTCCAGATAAAATCCTGCGACTTGTGACTGCAGGCCGCCCAACAACCTGCCCGCTTGACCCCATCCCCTCCTCTCTTCTCCAGACCATCTCCGGTGACCTTCTCCCCTACCTCACCTCGCTGATCAACTCATCCTTGACCGCTGGCCATGTCCCTTCCGTCTTCAAGAGAGCGAGAGTTGCTCCCCTTCTCAAAAAACCAACACTCGATCCCACTGATGTCAACAACTACAGACCAGTATCCCTTCTTTCTTTTCTTTCCAAAACTATTGAGCGTGCCGTCTTTAGCCAACTCTCTTGCTATCTCTCTCAGAATGACCTTCTTGATCCAAACCAGTCAGGTTTCAGGACTGGTCATTCAACTGAGACTGCTCTTCTCTGTGTCACGGAGGCTCTCCGCACTGCTAAAGCTAACTCTCTCTCCTCTGCTCTTGTCCTTCTAGACCTGTCTGCTGCCTTTGATACTGTGAACCATCAGATCCTCCTCTCCACCCTCTCCGAGCTGGGCATCTCCGGCGCGGCTCACTCCTGGATTGCGTCCTACCTGACCGGTCGCTCCTACCAAGTGGCGTGGCGAGAAGCTGTCTCCGCACCACGTGCTCTCACCACTGGTGTCCCCCAGGGCTCAGTTCTAGGCCCTCTCCTTTTCTCCCTATACACCAAGTCACTTGGCTCTGTCATATCCTCACATGGCCTCTCCTATCATTGCTACGCTGACGATACACAACTAATCTTCTCCTTTCCCCCTTCTGATAACCAGGTGGCGAATCGCATCTCTGCATGTCTGGCAGACATATCAGTATGGATGACGGATCACCACCTCAAGCTGAACCCTGGCAAGACGGAACTGCTCTTCCTCCCGGGGAAGGACTGCCCGTTCCATGATCTCGCCATCACGGTTGACAACTCCGTTGTGTCCTCCTCCCAGAGTGCGAAGAGCCTTGGCGTGACCCTGGACAACACCCTGTCGTTCTCCGCTAACATCAAGGCGGTGACCCGCTCCTGCAGGTTCATGCTCTACAACATTCGGAGAGTACGACCCTGCCTTACACAGGAAGCGGCACAGGTCCTAATCCAGGCACTTGTCATCTCCCGTCTGGATTACTGCAACTCGCTGTTGGCTGGCCTCCCTGCCTGTGCCATTAAACCCCTACAACTCATCCAGAACGCCGCAGCCCGTCTGGTGTTCAACCTTCCCAAGTTCTCTCACGTCACCCCCCTCCTCCGCACACTCCACTGGCTTCCAGTTGAAGCTCGCATCCGTTACAAGACCATGGTGCTTGCCTATGGAGCAGTGAGGGGAACGGCACCTCTGTACCTTCGGGCTCTGATCAGTCCCTACACCCAAACGAGGGCATTGCGTTCATCCACCTCTGGCCTGCTGGCTCCCCTTCCTCTGCGGAAGCATAGTTCCCGCTCAGCCCAGTCAAAACTGTTCGCTGCTCTGGCACCCCAATGGTGGAACAAGCTCCCTCACGACGCCAGGACAGCGGAGTCACTCACCACCTTCCGGAGACATTTGAAACCCCACCTCTTTAAGGAATACCTGGGATAGGATAAAGTAATCCTTCTACCCCCCCCCCCCCCCCCCCCCCAAAAAAAAATTTTTGTAAAGTGGTTATCCCACTGGCTATAGGGTGAATGCACCAATTTGTGAGTCGCTCTGGATAAGAGCGTCTGCTAAATGACGTAAATGTGCCCTTGAGCAAGGCACTTAACCCTAATTGCTCCTGTAAGTCGCTCTGGATAAGAGCGTCTGCTAAATGACTAAAATGTAAATGTAAAATGATACAAACTATCCTCCCTAAATTCCTCTCTTGACTTGAGAACTTTCAAAACCTTGTAAAATGTGTGCCAAAAGGGAAGACAGAGTGAGTTTACATTTACAGTAAATGGATGAGTGTGTGTTTGTATCAAGGGGAAGGGGGGAGGTTGCACTGGGTGAGTCAGTGGTCAAGCATTCCTGAGCTATGCTCACTGATCTAGAAACAGGGAATAAGGAGGCCTCTCAACTCAGTTTAAAGGCAGAGAATGAAAGTGAACCTTGATGACCAGTATCCATGTCTTAAAGCTTCAATCAGCAGTTGAAACAATAACAAAGGCTACTCACCGCCCGTTTCGGTAAAAAGCTGAGGGACGGGGTTGGAGAAATGTAACCAGTCTCAAATTCATAGACAGAGCTATCCATGATATCAAATGAATAGTTTAACCATGTTTTGAGGCTATACCGTGTTTGTTTACATTTTATTTATGAACAAACATTGGAGTAAAACAAGCTTATATTTTGATTTCTGATGGGGTACGACAGTTTAACTACTCATGAGGAATTTATAAGTTATATTCTTCAAGAATCAAATGTATACGTTTTTTATTAGTACCAAAATGTATGTAGCAACTGCTTATTGACCGTTAAAGGCAATGTGGGGCGCTATGCTGTAGACACTGATTAAATGCCCTCTTATTCCCATACCCACCCCTTTAATTTGCCGTTTCCACCTCTCATGCCTCCCTGTACTTCAAAGACATCAGAGGCAGCATGACTTATCAAAGCTGGAATGAACCTCGCTCTCTTCCTCATCCCTTTTTCTCTACCTCCATCTCGCTGAATGTCTTGGTTTCTTCTGTTCACGCTCTTTCGCTCTTGATCACAGTCTCTCACTACTTATGCCATTACATATCTCCTACCATCTTTCCATACTTCCCCCTCTCATGTTCCGTCTATAGCCCTCTAGCTTTCTTATCCCTCTCCTCACCTAATGTCCATCTCTCCATACCCTCCTTCCTTTCTCAAATTAAAGGGAACACTTAAACAACACAATGTAACTCCAAGTCAATCACACTTCTGTGAAATCAAACTGTCCACTTAGGAAGCAACACTGATTGACAATAAATTTCACATGCTGTTGTGCAAATGGAATAGACAACAGGAGGAAATTATAGGCAATTAGCAAGACACCCCCAATAAAGGAGTGGTTTTGCATGTGGTGACCACAGACCACTTCTCAGTTCCTATTATTCCAAATTATGGTGGAAAATAAGTATTTGGTCAATAACAAAAGTTTCTCAATACTTTGTTATATACCCTTTGTTGGCAATGACACAGGTCAAACGTTTTCTGTAAGTCTTCACAAGGTTTTCACACACTGTTGCTGGTATTTTGGCCCATTCCTCCATGCAGATCTCCTCTAGAGCAGTGATGTTTTGGGGCTGTCGCTGGGCAACACGGACTTTCAACTCCCTCCAAAGATTTTCTATGGGGTTGAGATCTGGAGACTGGCTAGGCCACTCCAGGACCTTGAAATGCTTCTTACGAAGCCACTCCTTCGTTGCCCGGGCGGTGTGTTTGGGATCATTGTCATGCTGAAAGACCCAGCCACGTTTAATCTTCAATGCCCTTGCTGATGGAAGGAGGTTTTCACTCAAAATCTCACGATACATGGCCCCATTCATTCTTTCCTTTACACGGATCAGTCGTCCTGGTCCCTTTGCAGAAAAACAGCCCCAAAGCATGATGTTTCCACCCCCATGCTTCACAGTAGGTATGTTGTTCTTTGGATGCAACTCAGCATTCTTTGTCCTCCAAACACGACGAGTTGAGTTTTTACCAAAAAGTTCTATTTTGGTTTCATCTGACCATATGACATTCTCCCAATCCTCTTCTGGATCATCCAAATGCACTCTAGCAAACTTCAGACGTGCCTGGACATGTACTGGCTTAAGCAGGGGGACACGTCTGGCACTGCAGGATTTGAGTCCCTGGCGGCGTAGTGTGTTACTGATGGTAGGCTTTGTTACTTTGGTCCCAGCTCTCTGCAGGTCATTCACTAGGTCCCCCCGTGTGGTTCTGGGATTTTTGCTCACCGTTCTTGTGATCATTTTGACCCCACGGGGTGAGATCTTGCGTGGAGTCCCAGATCAAGGGAGATTATCAGTGGTCTTGTATGTCTTCCATTTCCTAATAATTGCTCCCACGGTTTATTTCTTCAAACCAAGCTGCTTACCTATTGCAGATTCAGTCTTCCCAGCCTGGTGCAGGTCTACAATTTTGTCCTTTGACAGCTCTTTGGTCTTGTCCATAGTGGAGTTTGGAGTGTGACTGTTTGAGGTTGTGGACAGGTGTCTTTTATACTGATAACAAGTTCAAACAAGTGCCATTAATACAGGTAACGAGTGGAGGACAGAGGAGCCTCTAAAAGAAGAAGTTACAGGTCTGTGAGAGCCAGAAATCTTGCTTGTTTGTAGGTGACCAAATACTTATTTTCCACCATAATTTGCAAATAAATTCATTAAAAATCCTACAATGTGATTTTCTGGATTTTTTTTCTCAATTTGTCTTTCATAGTTGACGTGCACCTATGATGAAAATTACAGGCCTCTCTCATCTTTTTAAATGGGAGAACTTGCACAATTGGTGGCTGACTATATACTTTTTTTCCCCACTGTATATATATATATATATATATATGCATGCCATTTAGCAGACACTTTTATCCAAAGCGACTTACAGTCATGCGTGCATATATTTTACGTATTGGGTAGTCCCGGGAATCGAACCTACTACCCTGGCATTTCAAGTGCCATGCTCTACCAACTGAGCTAGAAAGGACTACAGTAGAAACCCTGACATCATACAGCAAGGCAGAGATGGAATCTGTGGATTTCTGCTCAGCTTTGATCAGTGAGGACATTTTCTAAATGACATGATCAATCACTTCTGATATAACATAGATATAGATTAATAGTAGTGTGAGTATTCATTTTTAGAGAATTTTTGTATGTCCTATTTTAACACTGAAAAGGCCTTTTCTAACTTAGATTAAAATGTCCATGTGACGTTGTTACAGTGAGGGAAAAAAGTATTTGATCCCCTGCTGATTTTGTACGTTTGCCCACTGACAAAGACATGATCAGTCTATAATTTTAATGGTAGGTTTATTTGAACAGTGAGAGACAGAATAACAAACAAAAAAATCCAGAAAAACACATGTCAAAAATGTTATAAATTGATTTGCATTTTAATGAGGGAAATAAGTATTTCACCCATCTGCAAAACATTACTTAGTACTTGGTGGCAAAAACCTTGTTGGCAATCACAGAGGTCAGACGTTTCTTGTAGTTGGCCACCAGGTTTGCACACATCTCAGGAGGGATTTTGTCCCACTCCTCTTTGCAGATCTTCTCTAAGTCATTAAGGTTTCAAGGCTGACATTTGGCAACTCGATTTTTCATCTCCCTCCACAGATTTTCTATGGGATTAAGGTCTGGAGACTGGCTAGACTACTCCAGGACCTTAATGTGCTTCTTCTTGAGCCACTCCTTTGTTGCCTTGGCCGTGTGTTTTGGGTCATTGTCATGCTGGAATATCCATCCACGACCCATTTTCAATGCCCTGGCTGAGGGAAGGAGGTTCTCACCCAAGATTTGACGGTACATGGCCCCGTCCATCGTCCCTTTGATGCAGTGAAGTTATCCTGTCCCCTTAGCAGAAAAACACCCCCAAAGCATAATGTTTCCACCTCCATGTTTGACGGTGGGGATGGTGTTCTTGGGGTCATAGGCAGCATTCCTCCTCCTCCAAACACGGCGAGTAGAGTTGATGCCAAAGAGCTCCATTTTGGTCTCATCTGACCACAACACTTTCACCCAGTTCTCCTCTGAATCATTCAGATGTTCATTGGCAAACTTCAGACGGGCCTGTATATGTGCTTTCTTGAGCAGGGGGACCTTGCGGGCGCTGCAGGATTTCAGTCCTTCACGGCGTAGTGTGTTACCAATTGTTTTCTTGGTGACTATGGTCCCAGCTGCCTTGAGATCATTGACAAGATCCTCCTGTGTAGTTCTGGGCTGATTCCTCACCGTTCTTATGATCATTGCAACTCCATGAGGTGAGATCTTGCATGGAGCCCCAGGCCGAGGGAGATTGACAGTTATTTTGTGTTTCTTCCATTTGCGAATAATTGCACCAACTGTTGTCACCTTCTCACCAATCTGCTTGGCGATGGTCTTGTAGCCCATTCCAGCCTTGTGTAGGTCTACAATCTTGTCCCTGACATCCTTGGAGAGCTATTTGGTCTTGGCCATGGTGGAGAGTTTGGAATCTGATTGATTGATTGCTTCTGTGGACAGGTGTCTTTTAATTAGGTAACAAGCTGAGATTAGGAGCACTCCCTTTAAGAGTGTGCTCCTAATCTCAGCACGTTACCTTTATAAAATACACCTGGGAGCCAGAGATCTTTCTGATTGAGAGGGAGTCAAATACTTATTTCCCTCATTAAAATGCAAATCAATTTATAACATTTTATAACATAATTTTTTCTCGATTTATTTGTTGTTATTCTGTCTCTCACTGTTCAAATAAACCTACCACTAAAATTATAGACTGATCATTTCTTTGTCAGTGGGCAAACGTACAAAATCAGCAGGGGATCAAATACTTTTTTCCCTCACTGTACATACAAGGATATACCATGACATTTCTAATGATTATGTCAATAAAACAAAAATCTTTCCAATGTAGTTATGACATGCATGGTGCGCCCCATAAAAAAAGGTAGCCTTCAGGTGCGTAGGTTGTTGTGTATGTTGTGCATTTGTCAAAGCGGCATAGAGGCTCAATGTGTAGCAAGTGGAGTGAGAGTTCACTAATGCACTGCAAGATGGAATCAAATTACGGTATTAAAAGTTTGCGAAATGAGAAGGAGTAGGCTATAATAAGCAACCAACCGTTACGGCTGTTGTTTTATCTGAATGAGGTTGGGGAGAAAGCGCAGCATGTGGCCTCAATTAGCCTAGCTAGCTATAGCTGGCTGGCTTAGCTAGTTAGCTTCTCTCAGCTACTCCAGTCAAGACAGGCACTGTTATATGGGATGATAAATAACATTGTGGCTGCTACAAGTTAGCTATTCTTGGCTGTAGCCGAGTTGCCTTGGCATCTCTCTCGCTCCGTCTATTCGCTACATACAACGCCACCTCTGCAGCTGCAGCAATATAGCGCCAGCCACTCCCCCCTTTTGCAGCAGTGCTCAGGTTAAAAACTTCTGTTTAAAAAAACAAACATGTATTTCGAATATGTGGATATGCGACGACAATTCAGCATACTATTCAAACAGTGAAATTATTTTTTAAAAAAAACATCCTTAATTAATAGATAGTGAAGTTTAGATCATCTCAGAACAGCAAGGCAGAGACTGGACCTGAGGATTTCTGCTGAGCTACCATAGATTTAGATTTATAGATAGTACATCTCCAGACTGTGCTGCTCATCATCATCATCATCATGATAGGACTAAAGCATTATGGGATGTTATATAGTAATTGGTTTTGCTTCTGTATTGACCGGCTGGCAGGCTGAGAGGTCTAGACTGGCTTGAGGAGCTAGGGGTTAGGAGATCAGCTAAACGCTGAAGAGGAGAGATTTCTTTCTACCAGATGATAAAACTTTATGATCTTGTTTTAATTGTGCAACAGTGGTGCAGTCAGCATGTAGGGACCCATAAAGACTAGGCTGCTTACTCAACACATTTCACTGAAAGCAGGGTAAGGAACATCAGGACAGATAGACGATTAACCTCCAAGAGAAGGAGGGAGGGATGGATTTATGGTCTGTTTTTTCACTCCTTCAAACGCTTTGCCGAGTTGTGACTAAGTCGGGGGGGGGGCAACAAAATATGGAATCAGTCAAGGGGTATGAATACTTTCTGAAGTGCATTATTAATGGTATGGGGATAATGAATATGTGTAGCATGGACTGGGTAACTATAAAACTTGTGTTTCAACAAGAGCTACTATCGTACACACTGGCACAGACCATGGTGAAATGACTAGTGTGTTTGTGCATGTCCAGACTGATAAACTCTTGTTACAGACAGATTACTGTGTACTTATTGTGGTATTGATAGAGATACGTCTGTTGAGTAAGTGTTGGTATGCAGTTATCATGAAATAGAATGATTTAATGTGGAAAAGGAATGGAAAGAAGACCAAACACAGTTATAGACCCACACACACAGAGCTAAGAGAAACGAGAGGAGCAGAGTTTTTTTGCTCAGTTGTTGTTGAAGTATTACTATTAGCCCTCACCAGTAAATGGTGGTTATACATTTGGCCGTCCCTTACATTTTGTCAGAAATTCTCCTTCTCTGTCAGTATGACGAAGTATGATTACGATTTTGGTTAGTTTGTAACCTAAATAATGTTTTGGTTGAGTGTGTGTACGTACATGCTTGGAGTGTTTTTTTGTTCCGAATCAGCTGTTCAGACAGGCTTCGACAAGAAAGAAAGAAAGAAGTGACTTACCTTGGCTACGAAGCACTCTGCGATGGCCACAGGGTCCGAATTACACTTTTCCAGGTCATGAAGCAGATCTCTGTAAACAAAAATGTTTATCACATCAGGGTATCAGTACTTTAACCACTCACACTCCACACACTTAATTCAATCATTGGAATACAAACTGCTCCCCATTGCTCTTTGTAATAAACAACAAAAATGTTCAGGAACAAATGTACTTGGGACACAGTATTAGGTCCTAGGGTGCTCTGCTTACAACAAAAAGTAACTTCCGTTAATTGAAATAGTTTCTGTGTGCGTGTGTCCGTAATTCTTCTTGGTTGATGGAAACATGGTCAACTGGTGTAGCCATTGTTACATGTCTAGGGAATGAGGTCATTGGGACTGTTTGTAAGGAGTTTGTGTCAAACCAAACTCCCCCACTATGTGAATTCTCTCTCTAGGTTTTTCTCTCTGTCCCTGTGTTGCTGTGTGTCTTTATGTGACAGCTGACAGTCTGAGTGACTAGGCTTGCAGCAGGCCTGGTGGTCTTGAACACACACACACACACACACACACTCCTCAGATGGACAAAACATAATGGACACACAATGTCCATTGGTCACTGGCCCCCCACATATCGACAGGTGAGACAAACTATCCTCATTCTGTAGATTATTTGGAGAACGCACTCTGTATTTGTTTTAGGGGTGTGTGTGTGTGTATGTGTGCGTTTACCTCTTTGAAGTGGTACAGTAGGTGAGTGTGCTTACCTGTTGAAGTGGTAGATGTCTCGTATGTTCCCGAATAGAGAGCCTCTCTCCTCTGAGCTCAGTGCCAGGCAAGACTGGTTACTGATACACTCCAGGTAATCCTACAGAGAGAGAGAAAAATATATGTTTTCTGAGAAACAATGTACGTGTCTTTATGCAATTGTACTTTCGACTTCTAAATGTATCGTTTTATACATTGGCAATGACAGAATATATTTCATGCCAAAAAACCATATTGAATTGAGTGAAAGTGAGAGCAAGAGACAGCCAGAGAGACAGCCAGAGACCGAGAGAGAGAGAGAGAGAGACGGAGAGAGCAAGAGAGAGAGCAAGAGAGAGAGAGAGAGAGAGAGAGAGAGAGAGACGGAGAGAGCAAGAGAGAGAGCAAGAGAGAGAGACGGAGAGAGTGATGGGGAGAGAGAGGTCAGTTATGACACCCACAACAAAGTGTTTTGAGGAATATCCCATCAACAGCCATGCGAGAGGGACAGTATGCCTGACATGCTCCCTGGCATCACTCTGCCAACCCCCCACCAACACACACTCTGAACACACACACACTATGAAAACATACTCTCCACTTATAGATACACACAGCATCGTAAACTCTTTGAGACCACACACACTTCTCACACTTATTCAGCACACATTCAATCTGCTTTAGATAAAGAGAGTTCCTGTCTAGTAAAACAACTGGGCCCACAGCCCACTTCTCCCTGACTTCAGTCCAGTCTTAATCCGCCTACTTAACTAGAGACTATTCAGTCGGTACTCCTCTTTGTCCAGATGGCTGTTTGACCAGCACAGCAAAATGTCTTAGGGCCTACAGTAGCTAATAGGATAGGATACACTGGTGAGAGGCTTGTAGAGAAGTGTTTAAGGAACTGAAGCTGTGTCTGTTCAGACAGTCTCTTATCCCACCATCTCAGCCATGACATGTTCAGCTACCAATAGTGATTATACGCCTCAGCTTTCTCTCCACGTGTACACAGACACGGTCCGGCACGCGCATACACACTTTCAGTCTCTCCCTCATCCTGTTTCTCCTCTCGTCTCCGTCTCGTTGACAGATGGGATAAGTACATTCTCTCACACTGATACCATCTATATCTGCAGGCTACACAAAGTAGCCAACCTGCGTCTCACCCCAAACACACACTGCGTCAACACCCCCCTCCCCCTCTCTAACACACACAACACTCTTAGATTGTTTGGTGAGGTCATCCTCTCCCAGAGGGGGAACTCTGACTGAACCATTGTGTAAAAGAGAAGCATGGGTCAAGGTTCTGAGGTAAGAGGAGACAGTTTGGATTTACATTTTAGTCATTTAGCAGACGCTCTTATCCAGAGCGACTTACAGTTAGTGAGTGCATACATTTTCATACTGACCCCCCGTGGGAATCGAACCCACAACCCTGGCATTGCAAACGCCATGCTCTACCAACTGAGCTACACGGGGTGAATAGGCAGATATGGGCGTTTCGGGGTAATGGTTTAGGGTCAGGTTGGGAGGTAAGAGTTGGGTTGCAGCTAGGATAATGGTGGTTGGTGGAGTCACGGTAGGGGACCAGGGTCATGTTGAGGGTTGGGGTTGTTGGCCATGGTTAAGGTGTAAGGTGAGACTTTATTAGCCATGTGACCTGCCCTGACCCAGTCAATCAACACAGCCTAGTCTGAGCCTGATCACACACACACAAAGTGTTAAACCCCACCCCTTCTGGTCCGCACAAGGATAGCAAAACCATACACACATCTTAAAACACACACAATTCCAAAACAAACGCACACACACCCCCAGCTAAGCTTCTCAAACGTTTGAGACTAAATATAAACTGCATTTGACGATTCCCCACGTTACACATTAAGACACACACACTTTCTCTCTATTTCTCTGAATCTAACATACACCGACACCGTCTCCTCACTCCATACGCCCATGTGAAAGCCAGTTCACTAGGACATGCTAACTCCAAAACATCCATATTCCATTTCTGGAACCCCACAAGCCTCTGCTGAGAATGCCCAGAGGTGCTGTGATTTTTCCTGGTCAACATCAAACAGCCTTCCGATGTGTTCCAGGTCTGGGGCTGGAGCAGGGGGAACGGGATAACATTTGTGTTCCAGGTCTGGGAGTGGAGCAGGGGGAATGGGATAAAATATGTGTTCCAGGTCTGGGAGTGGAGCAGGCAAAATGGGATAAAAGCCGTTCTCCAGGTTTCTTTGTGAGTTTGTTTGGAGAAGCCTGATAGGTTCATTAAAACACAGTTATTCAGCCAGGGAAGGACAATTACAGTGTACAGACAGACACCATACATAGGGTGCATCTACCATGCACTAATCACATACAGTTACAGTGCATTTGGAAAGTATTCAGACCCCTTGACTTTTTCCACATTTTTTTTAACATTACTGCCTTATTCTAAAATTGATTGAATTGTTTTTTCCCCCCTCATCAATCTACACACAATACCCCATAATGACAAAGCAAAAAACCGTTTTTTTTATACATTTTTGCTAATGTATTAAAAATTAAAAACGGAAATAATACATTTACATAAGTATTCAGACCCTTTACCCAGTACTTTGTTGAAGCACCTTTGGCAGTAATTACAGCCGAGTCTTCTTGGGTATGACGCTACAAGCTTGGCACACCTGTATTTGGGGAGTTTCTCCAATTCTTCTCTGCAGATCCTCTCAAGCTCTGTCAGGTTGGATGGAGAGCGTCGCAGCACAGCTATTTTCAGGTCTCTCCAGAGATGTTAGATCGGGTTCAAGTCCGGGCTCTGGCTGGTCCTCTGTAGCTCAATTGGTAGAGCATGGCGCTTGTAACGCCAGGGTAGTAGGTTCAATCCCCGGGACCACCCATACGTAAAAATTTATGCACACATGACTGTAAGTCGCTTTGGATAAAAGCGTCTGCTAAATGGCATATTATTATTATTATTATTATTATTATTATTCAGAGACTTGTCCTGAAGCCACTTCTGCGTTGTCTTGGCTGTGCGCTTATGGTCGATGTCCTGTTGGAAGGTAAACCGTCGCCCCAGTCTGAGGTCCTGAGCTCTCTGGAGCAGGTTTTCATCAAGGATCTCTCTGTACTTTGCTTCCGTTCATCTTTCCCTTGATCCTGACTAGTCTCCCAGTCCCTGCCGCTGAAAAACATGGTTCCCCGTAGGGATGGTGCCAGGTTTCCTCCAGACGTGACGCTTGGCATTCAGGCCAAAGAGTTCAATCTTGGTTTCATCAGACCAGAGAATCTAGTTTCTCATGGTCTGAGAGTCCATTACGTGCCTTTTGGCAAACTCCAAGCGGGCTGTCATGTGCCTTTTACTGAGGAGTGGCTTCCGTCTGGCCACTCTACCATAAAGGCCTGATTGGTGAAGTGCTGCAGAGATGGTTGCCCTTCTGGAAGGTTCTTCCATCTCCACAGAGGAACACTGGAGCTCTGTCAGAGGGACCTCCCTGACCAAGGCCCTTCTCCCCCAATTGCTCAGTTTGGCTGGGCGGCCAGCTCTAGGAAGAGTCTTGGTGGTTCCAAACTTCAATGCTGCAGAAATGTTTTGGTACCCTTCCCCAGATCTGTGCCTTGACACAATCCTGTCTCGGAGCTCTACGGACAATTCCTTTGACCTCATGGCTTGGTTTTTACTCTGACATGCACTGTCAACTGTGGGACCTTTTATAGACAGGTGTGTGCCTTTCCAAATCTTGTCCAATCAATTGAATTTACCACAGGTGGACTCCAATCAAGTTGTAGAAACATCTCAAGGATGATCAATGGGAACAGGATGCACCTGCGCTCAATTTCGAGTCCCATAGCAAAGGGTCTGAATACTTATGTAAATAAGGTATTTCTGTTTATGTTTTTCATAAATGTGCAAACATTTCTAAAAACCTGTTTTTGCTTTGTCATTCTGGGGTAATGTGTGTAGATTGATGAGGAAAAATAAAAATTTCTAAAATTTTAGAATAAGGCTGTAACGTAACAAAATGTGGAAAAAGTCAAAGGGTCTGAATACTTTCCTAATGCACTGAATACATACCTATACATCACATACATGTGCATGTGCTGCAAGCACAACCACCATATACATGCATATACATGCATCATGTGACACACACACAAACCACTACACACATCAATGCACATACCAATACAAACACACTGCTTGTGCAGGCCACATCACCGTCAGTCATTTACAGGTGGAGCACAGGTGACCCCACAGGAGTCTGGTTAAATATTTGTGTTTGGGCCGTCACCCCCTCTAACCCTGCGGAAAGCGCCACGCAAGTGATTCTGGGTAATGGGGGGAGGGTGAAAGCTATACTGTACATTGGTGGTGGTGGTGAATATGGTGGTGAATGAGTGCGATGTGTTACACCCACTCAATGTAAAGTGATATGGGACCTGCTGATAAGTGCTAGATATAGAAGGGCAATCTGCTCTGAATGTAATCCAATGGTGATGAATAGCATTAAGTGAGATTGACATTAATAAGGGTGGAGAAAGGGGTACATTATGGTCCTGTCTAAAAGTGTAGTGGAAGAGAGGGTGTCCTGCCCCATAGATCTGATAAGGGGGGTCTTGTTGAGTAAGGGGGGTCCAGGTCTAAGTAAGGGGAGTATACATCTTTAAAGTGAGCTCTGCTCAGTGTTTAGCTAACCTACTTTAGACATTGTTATTGCAGCTCTAAATCCTCTTCCTACAGCACCGCTCTCCTTTTCCTCTTTTCCTCACCCTGAACAGAGCGAGGAGGGATGGGGGGGAACATCAATCTTGGTCCCTCTGACAGGGCGGGAGGGAGGAAACAGACTATTTCCCCGACAACAAACTCACACACCACCCCCACCATCCCCTGCCCCCCCCACCCCTATCCCTCTCTTTCTGAAAGGTCCAGTTTCCTGCTGGTTGGGACCTCTGACGACAACCCTTCCACCCGAATCAACTTCTCCTGTATATGGGTGTTGTCTATGGGCACTCTATGGACACGGTCAGTGACACTCATCTTGACCCCTGTTCTTTCTGACTAGTATGATGCTGTTCAGTAATATGCTTCTATATTCTACTATCTGTCCTATACCAGTCTTATACTGCAGTGTTTCATCGCCAGTCCTCCAGCAGTCCCAACAGTGTTTCATCGCCAGTCCTCCAGCAGTCCCAACAGTGTTTCATCGCCAGTCCTCCAGCAGTCCCAACAGTGTTTCATCGCCAGTCCTCCAGCAGTCCCAACAGTGTTTCATCGCCAGTCCTCCAGCAGTCCCAACAGTGTTTCATCGCCAGTCCTCCAGCAGTCCCAACAGTGTTTCATCGCCAGTCCCCCCAGCAGTCCCCAACAGTGTTTCATCCCAGTCCTCCAGCAGTCCCAACAGTGTTTCATCGCCAGTCCCCCAGCAGTCCCAACAGTGTTTCATCGCCAGTCCTCCAGCAGTCCCAACAGTGTTTCATCGCCAGTCCTCCAGCAGTCCCAACAGAACACATTGTTATTGTAGCCCCAGACAAACTCACCTGATTCAACTCACTGAGGGACTTGATGGTTAGTTGACAAGTTGAATCAGGTGTGCTTGTCTGGGGCTACAACAACAATATGTACTGTTGGGGGTACTGGAGGACTGGAGTTGGGAAACACTTATACTTAATGTGCTGTCCTACTGTTTGCATCTCACCTAACGGTCTGAAAATGTAGTCCTGTGCTGTATGTAGGTGCAGTGATGCATGGTGTCTCCCCAGTGGTGTTGTGTGGTACCATGTTCCTTACCTGTACGATGCTGTGCAGGTCCTGTACGTAGGTCCTCTCAGTGTCCAGTATCTCCTGAACCACCCTGTCCACATACTGCACCCTGGGCCCCGGGGAGCTTCTCTCCCCAGCCTTGGTGTCTGACTGGGGGGTCTGGGCAGATACCTGTCTAACGGTCTCTCTTCCTGCCTCTGTCCCTCCATCATTCCTCTCCTCCTCATCCCCACATCCCAGCTGCCTGGCTGGAACCAGCTCCAATTGGATCGCCCCCGGAGTCCCGGTCGCGGTCCGGAGCGGGATGACAGTGAGGGGAGGGGCCTAAGGTGGAGCGGCTGCCCAGTGAGCAGTGGCTGTCCCGGGAGGAGGCGGAGGAAGAGGTGGAGCCGTAGCTAATTGGGCGCTCAGCACTGTCTGGGGAGGAGTCCATGCTGTGGGCGGAGCAGTAGCGTAGGGGGGAGTGGCGGAAGCGGCCCGGAACGCCCACTGAGCTCAGGACCGAGCCGGCGTCCGGAATCTCCGGGAGAGGAGGGAGGGCATCCGTGTAATCGTCTGAAAGGAGGAGGTGAGAGAGGGAGAGAAAAGGAAGAGTGAGAACTGAGACCTTTATCCTTGTCCTCTCATCAAGTTCAGAGCAATCAATGTTAATACTCACAAAACAGGAAAATGCTTAGAAGGCCTCAACCATCCTAAAAAGTTTTTAAAATGTGAACCCCCAAGTGGCAAGCTTGTCAGGCCACAGCCTAACTGGACACTGGAAGCCTCTCTCTCCATCTCTCCTCAACTGAACAAATCCTCAGTCGTTTTACAAAATCTAAACCTCAGTTACAGTTAATCATTTAATATGGGAGGTATTTCATATTTTACATAAACAAATGCACGTGTCATATAATTAGGCACTCCTCTCCATTATTTTGTGTGAAATTGCGCAAACTCAATAATAACGAGGTGCCTTATGGGATTCCACTTCACCATGAAGCCGGCAGCGTTGCAGGCTCAGTTGAAGTAACTACCGGAGGGGCTAATTAGCCAGTACAGCCTAGATAATTTTCACTCCCTCAGCTTTGGGACACTTGTGCAAATGGCTGAGGAGCGTGAACGCACAAATGGAGGGCTGAGGGGCGAGGGGGTGATTTGGGATTCAGTCTGAAAGAGAGGGAGAGAGCGTAAGTGAGTGAAAGAGGGACATAGTGTGCTTGAGTGAAAGAGAGGGAGAGTGTGAAAGATGGAGCCAGTCCAGAGACAGACAGAGGTGGTTTAATGACCAGATTAACAGACCTATTTCTGCAGAAGAGAGGGGGCTGTGTGTGAGTATGTGCGTGTGTTTGTCTGAGGTGGTCAATTTAGTGTGGGGGGGTGAAACCACACAGGCAGGGTCTCTCTGCTACTGGCACTGTACTGGAGTCTCTCCCCTCAGAAGAAAGAAAGCTTTGAGTGAGGGGAGAAGGAAGGAAGGGGGTGAGAGAGAGAGAGCGAGAGAGAGATTCTATATCCCAGGTACAGTAGACGGTGACAGGGCAATGCTACGGTAACAGAATTACATCATGGGTCCCTGATCTGTACTACACAGAAATGCATAATTATGGATATAAATGTCATTCTCTTCATGGTGATGTATCCTGAATAGGTAGAAATATGTGGTACACAAAATGTAGAAATATGCAATATCCTCCTTTGCATATTTGGCCATTCTACACACTGGCTATTATTGTAATGAGCTCCGCCCCCACATTTGGTTGGTCCGGACCAGACCAAATCTGAAACAATCATACGTCTATGTTTCACAAGTTTAGACAGCACAGTACAGCACAGTAGAGTATAGTACAGTACTCTAGTGTGCTCTACTGAACTCTACTGTACAGTACTCTAATGTACTTTTCTGTACTGTTCTCTACTGTGCTCTACTGTACTGTCCATCAAACAAACGTCTATGATTGGTTCAGATTGGGTCTTGCCAGGGCAGACTGACCAAATTTCAACTACTTTTCAACGTCCATGGACGTCCGCTGGTGCTCAGTGGGTGAGGATGATTGTTACAGTAAATGGAAAGAGGTTAGGTGGTAGGTGTCATGGTAGTGGTCAGTAAGAGCCGGGGGAGGTGAAATTAACTGGAGAGAAAAGAGCGAGAGAGCGGCAGAGAGAGAGAGAAAGATGGAATGATTGTCCAGACTGTGAAACAGTCTTGTTTTGACCACTAGACGACTGAAAGAGAAGGGGAAAAAAAACGTATGAGCTGAACATAACAGTATGCTAGTGGAAGGGAGGACAGTAACAGGTGACCCAACTATGGTTTGTGACTACTATGATCTCCCATTGTAGCCAATTCAATTGCAGTAATTCTGATTTGGTAACAAAATTACAAGTTTTAATCAAACTTGATATCAGTAATATATATATATATATATATATATATATATATATATATATATATATATATATATATATATATATATATATATATATATATATATATATATATACACATACAGTACCAGTCAAAAGTTTGGACACAACTACTCATTCAAGGGTTTATTTATTTTTTACTATTTATTACATTGTAGAATAATAGTGAAGACTTCAAAACTATGAAATAACACATATGGAATCATATAGTAACCGAAAAAGTGTTAAACAAATCAAAATATATTTTATATTTGAGATTCTTCAAATGGCTACCCTTTGCCTTGATGACAGCTTTGCACGCTCTTGGCATTCTCTCAACCAGCTTCACCTGGAATGCTTTTCCAACAGTCTTGAAGGAGTTCCCACATATGCTTAGCACTTGTTGGCTGCTTTTCTTTCACTCTGCCGTCCGACTCATCTCAAACCATCTAAATTGGGTTGAGGTCGGGGGATGGTGGAGGCCAGGTCATCTGATGCAGCACTCCATCACTCTCCTTCTTGGTAAAATAGCCCTTACACAGCCTGGAGGTGTGTTGGGTCATTGTCCTGTTGAAAATAAAATGATAGTCCCACTAAGCCCAAACCAGATGGGATTGTGTATCGCTGCAGAATGCTGTGGTAGCCATGCTGGTTAAGTGTGCCTTGAATTCTAAGTAAATCACAGACAGTGTCACCAGCAAAGCACCCCCACACAATCACACCTCCTCCTCCATGCTTCACAGTGGGAACCACACATGCGGAGATCATCCGTTCACCTACTCTGCGTCTCACAAAGACACTGCGGTTGGAACCAAAAATCTCAAATTTGGACTCATCAGACCAAAGGACAGATTTCCACCGGTCTAATGTCCATTGCTCGTGTTTCTTGGCCCAAGCAAGTCTCTTCTTCTTATTGGTGTCCTTTAGTAGTGGTTTCTTTGCAGCAATTTGACCATGAAGGCCTGATTCACGCAGTCTCCTCTGAACAGTTGATGTTGAGATGTGTCTGTTACTTGAACTCTGTGATGCATTTATTTTGGCTGCAATTTCTGAGGCAAGTAACTATAATGAACTTATCCACTGCAGCAGAGGTAACTCTGGGTCTTCCTTTCCTGTGGCGGTCCACATGAGAGCCAGTTTCATCATAGCGCTTGATGGTTTTTGAGACTGCCCTTGAAGAAACTTTCAAAGTTCTTGAAATTTTCCGGATTGACTGACCTTCATGTCTTAAAGTAATGACGGACTGTCGTTTCTCTTTGCTTATTTGAGCTGTTCTTGCCATAATATGGACTTGGTCTTTTACCAAATAGGACTATCTTCTGTATACCAACCCTACCTTGTCACAACACAACTGATTGGCTCAAACATTAAGAAGGAAATAAATTCCACAAATTAACTTTTAACAAGGCACACCTGTTAATTGAAATGCATTCCAGGTGACTACCTCATGAAGCTGGTTGAGAGAATGCCAAGAGTGTGCAAAGCTGTCATCAAGGCAAAGTGTGGCTATTTGAAGAATCTCAAATATAAAATATAATTTGATTCGTTTAACACTTTGTTGGTTACTACATGATTCCATATGTGTTATTTCATAGTTTTGATGTCTTCACTATTATTCTACAATGTAGAAAATAGTAAAAATAAAGAAACACCCTTGAATGAGTAGGTTGAAGTTATCTAAGACCCCTTTTCCATCTGTTTTCCATCTTATTCAAAAAGAGATGGAAAATGGTTGAACAATTTATATATGCCTTAATTTTCTTAGCTTTCATGTAACACCCAATTTGACATGCTCCTATGAACTTCACATGTTGGTGCTCATGGGTCCTTTTAGATGGAAATGCCCGACACCAATCTTTGTTACTATGGGAAATCTTGCTACCCAGCAACATTGATGTTTTACTAACATGAAGATCAACTCCCTGATATAAAGATGCCTGTGTGTATATGTATTCATGTCTCTACCTAGGCAGGTAGTTAGACCATCTGACATCAAAACACGTGATCATGTGGGATCAGAAGCAGTTCAAGGCACACGATCAGAAACATTAAATGTGAAACCGTGAACACACTCAAAGAATGCCACCCCCGTATATCTGGTATCTCATCCTGACTAAGAGGCCTTAGAGCAGTGGTCACCAACCGGTCGATCGCCAAGGCATTCCTAGTTGATCACCAAACATTTCTTTAAAAAACATAACGATAAAGCCTTGCGTTCCATTTTTTAAAAAATGTGTTTCGCGCCGGGAAGGCAGTGTTCCCATTTTCAACCATTTCATGTGTCTTTAGGTAGAACTCTGCCTACCAGGCAGTCCCAGATAGCAAATCAAGTGCACCTATAGGCCTACCTCTGGCCAATCAGATAGCTGAGATCACCGTGTCTGCACAGTTTCCCCGAGCCATAGACTATAAAAAGAAACCTTAAAACGCACAGCAAAGTTGATAATGTGAGATTTAAAAACGTTTAAAACCATGACTAGAGAGACTCAACGAATACAGCAAAGAGCTGCTGTTTTTATGAGTAAATTCATGTTTAAGTTGCTATTCAGTGCTGTCAACTTTGTTCAAGACTTTTATAAGCCATAAAATGTGCATTCTCCCTACTTCTACTCATGCTACAACCAGCACTGCAGCTGCAATGAATGAGTATAGCAAAGTGTTTCGATAAGCTTGTGTTGTTATTATTAGCAGCTTGTGTCTTTAATATTGAGGAATATTTCACTTTCTCTGGTCATAGGAGTAACAACATGAATTGGTGCATGAGGCAGAAATAATGCAGTGCGACTTGAGTTTCGCCATCAGCTGGAAGACTGTGTCCCCTTTTCTCAGCGGAGGGAGGGAGAATGGAGGGACAGTGAGTCAGGTGAGAGAGAGCCTCAACGCTGCTCCACTCCACGGTACTTACTCACATGAGATTGGAAGAACTCGCTGTGTGTTTCGTGTGTGTGTTTCTTACATGCATTTGGTTTATCACCCCTGAGATAAGGCTAACTGAGCTAATGGCTTTAGTGGGACTCCTTTTAGCCATTAGAGCTATTAGACAAGGGCCAGCAACATCCACACAAAGAAACCATTTGTGTTTCCACTCCTAGTGAAAACCAAACAACAGACGAAGACTTACTAACTTTTGTTTACCCAGCCCTTCCCCTGCACCTCCCAGACCCCCTGTTTGGGACACACTTAACCTGTTACACGCGCACTCGCACACCCAAACTCTGTGTGAGTGACATAGTGGTAAAATGGGACTAGAACAAGTAGAGAGAGAGTGAGGTGGGCAGGGGGGAGTTTGGGGTTACCTTCAGCACAGATAATGTTCAACCTGATCTGTGTAAATAATATCTAATTATGGGCCTAAAGCCTCCGGGTTGGTACTGTTGCGTGTGCATGTCTATGTGTCTATGTCTGAGTGTCTGTGTCTGTGTGTGTCTGTGTGTGCGTGCCTGTGTGTGCCTGTGTGTGCCTGTGTGTGCCTGTGTGTGTGTTCAGGGATTAGACTGGTATTAGTGCTGTGAGCTCTACCTTTCCTGCCAGAACAGCAACACAGTGAACCAGTGGCTCTCAGAATCTGGCCTACATTCAGGCTAACTCAATAAGGACACAAAGACCAGGCCTACATTTTTTTTGCAAGTTTATTGAAAATTAAATAGAGAAATATTTCATTTACATAAGTATTCACACCCCTTAGTCAATACATGTTATAATAATAATAATAATAATAATAATAATAATAATAATAATATGCCATTTAGCAGACGCTTTTATCCAAAGCGACTTACAGTCATGCGTGCATACATTTTTGTGTATGGGTGGTCCCGGGGATCGAACCCACTACCTTGGCGTTTCAAGCGCCGTGCTCTACCAGCTGAGCTACAGAGGACCACAAGGACCATAATCACCTTTGGCAGCGATTACAGCTGTGAGTCTTTCTGGGTAAGTCTCTAAGAGCTTTGCACACCTGAATTGTACAATATTTGCATATTATTATTTTTTTAATTATTCATTATCTGTCAAGTTGGTTGTTCATCAAGATGATTTAAGTCAAAACTGTAACTAGGCCACTCATTGAACATTCAATGTCTTGGTAAGCAACTCCAGTGTATATTTGGCCTTGTGTTTTAGGTTACTGTCCTGCTGAAAGGTGAATTTGTCTCTCAGTGTCTGTTGGAAAGCAGACTGAACCAGGTTTTCCTCTAGGATTTTGCCTGTGCTTAGCTCTATTCAATTTCTTTTTATCCTAATAAACAACATAGTCCTTGCCGATGACAAGCACACCCATAACCTGATGCAGCCACCAACATGCTTGAAAATATGAAGAGTGGTACTCAGTGATGTGATGTGTTGGATTTGCCCGAAACATAACACTTTGTATTCAGGACATAAAGTTCATTTCTCTACAGTTTTACTTTAGTGCCTTATTGCAAACAGGATGCATGTTTTGGAATAGTTTTATTCTGTACAGGCTTCCTTCTTTTCACTCTGTCATTTAGGTTAGTATTGTGGAGTATCTACAATGTTGTTGATCCATCCTCAGTTTTCTCCTATCACAGCCATTAAACTCTGTAACTGTTTTAAAATCACCATTGGCCTCATGGTGAAATCCCTGAGCGGTTTCCTTCCTCTCAGGCAACTGAGTTAGGCAGGATGCCTGTATCTTTGTAGTGACTGGGTGTATTGATACACCATCCAAAATGTAATTAATAACTTTACCATGCTCAAAGGGATATTCAATGTCTGCTTTTTTTTATTTTAACCCATCTACCAATAGGTGCCCTTTTTTGGGAGGCATTTGAAAACCTCCCTGGTCTTCGTGGTTGAATCTGTGTTTGAAATTCACTGCTCGACTGAGGGACGTTACAGATAATTGTGTGTGTGTGGGGTACAGAGATGAGGTAGTCGTTCAAAAATCATTGCACACCGTTAGTCCATATTATGTGACTTATTAAGCAAATGTTTACTCCTGAACTTATTTAGGCTTGACATAACAAAGTGGTTGAATAATTATTGACTCAAGACATTTCAGCTTTTCTTTTGTTATTAACTTGTTAAAATGTCTAAAAACATAATTCCACTTTAACATTATGGGGTATTGTGTGTAGGCCAGCGACACAACATCTCACTTTAATCCATTTTAAATTCAGGCTGTAACACAACAAAATGTGGACAAAGTCAATTGGTGTGAATACTTTCTGAAGGCACTGTAACAAGTCTACTTCAGTCGCACACTCTATGGCCAGCTGAAGTGCACTTCACCAGGGAGAGGTCAACAAACAACCATGGGATCCGTGGTTCACCGTTCTTCACAACCTTCACAGCCTCATGTGCTCCATCTATTCCATCTACAAGTACTGAAGCTTGTCACGCCCTGGCTCTGGGGACACTTGTATGTTGAGCCAGGGTGTGAGTTTCTATGTTGTGTTCTAGTTTGGTATTTCTATGTTGGCCAGGGTGGTTCCCAATCAGAGACGGCTGTAGCTCGTTGTCTCTGATTGGGAGCCATACTTAGGTAGCCGTTTGGCATTGTTTTGGTGTGGCATCTTGTTCCGTGTATGGTTTGTGTCTGTAAACCAAGGACTTCACGTATCGTTTTGTTGTTTTGTTTCGTGGTGAATAATAATTAAAGTATGTTCACTCATCACGCTGCGCATTGGTCCACTTCTATCGACGAACGTGACAAAGCTTCATAACAGATTATCAACACTTATATGAATGTGGTAAGAGTTACAGGAGCACAATGAAGCTTCATATGTTATAGCATAATATACATTTAGTTTATCCTAATAGACCCTTTATACAGTATATTTATTCTATTGCACATCCTGTAAATTGCCTCATTTATACATACTGTATATACAGGCACAATTCATAACGTAGCTTATTGCGTTTATAGTGTAGTCTGTAGTTTTTAGCTTGGTGTTCATTGTGTACATACTGTATGTGGATTTTGTAGAGTCTCTCTCTATATATCTTGTCAGTATATTCTGTTTATTGTCTGTCCGTATATTCTGTTTATTGTCTGTCCGTATATTCGGTTTACTGTCTGTCCGTATATTCGGTTTACTGTCTGTCCGTATATTCGGTTTACTGTCTGTCCGTATATTCTGTTTAGTGGCAGCACCATTTCACGAGCCAAATTCCTGTACATTCAAATGTATTTTGGCGAATAAAGGTGATTCTGAAGGATGAATGACAGTCAGATGTCCTATGGATGCTGTATGAGCCTTCGTAGTCAGCAGATGACACAGATAGAAACAGGTCTGTATAGGGTGTATAGAGCAGCTGCTGTCCTCTCTTTCTCTCTCTTTTCTATCTCTCTTTTCTCTCCCCCCTCTGTCACAATACAGCCCGAGTCAGCTTTCATCCGTCAGATCTCTCACTACACAAAGGACACCCACCCCCCCACCCTCCATGCACACCTCGTCCTTTCTACCTACCCTCATGATCCCACCCACCTCAACCCGCCAAAATAGAAAACATCCACAAGCAGCTCCCGCATTCATATCTAATCTATCAACTCTGTCTAAACCCAAGGAAAGGAGAGAGAGAAAGAAAGTTAAGATGGATAGAGAAGAAAGAGGGGAAGGATAAAAAAAGGAGCGAGGGAGAAATGGAGGGAGCCCTTCCCCCTTTCCCTAACGCCCTTGTTGAGTGCTACTGCTGAGAGACTCACTCTAAAACATGACGGAATTTAATTCAGCTCCACTCAGGACAATGGTCTGGCCTGTGAGCTCTAGGCCTCCCCTACCCCTCCCTCATTTTCTTTCTCCCTGTGTCCCTCTCCTCTTTTCTTCCTCACTTTTCTCGGCCGCTTCCTTTCTCCATCTGACTTATTTCCCTTCTCTCCCTCCTTCCATTCCTTTCTTCCTTCCTTCCTACCTCCTTTCCCCCAACTCATAAATATAACTGCCACCTCTTCAGATCTTCTATGTCAGTGACATCCATAGAGACATGATGTTTAGGAAGTCATATAATGGCCCTCACAGCTTTGCCAAGTCCACCATTCCCTATAAGTCGCCCGGGAGATTCCAGAGGGTTTCTGAGAGTCATTCCGAACCGCTCCAAGCATATACTTTACCATATTAAAATATACACACATGGCAGAGCATATATATACACTTACAGACCAGGGCACATAGAATACAGAGAACATGTGTGGGCCAAGTCTAGTTCACTTTCTCAAATCTCACACTAAGAGTTCTCTTATACTGCTTAACAACATGTCAATTACAACTGTCACTTGAAATCTTCAGTCCATAAACTTTAAAGAAGCTATATGACAGATAAACATTTATGATATTGATATGAAGTGCTAATGGAGTGGTGTGGGAGCCGTAAGAGTGCCATGGACTCCTCTCCTCTCATAGCTTGGTCATCAGACGTTAAAGGGGATTTCACCCGGATCTTATCAAGTTGAATCAATGATGTGCTGTCCTGTCATACCAAGGAGTCAGGTGCCAGTCTATACATAGAGATACTATATACAGTGGGGGAAAAAAGTATTTAGTCAGCCACCAATTGTGCAAGTTCTCCCACTTAAAAAGATGAGAGAGGCCTGTAATTTTTATCATAGGTACACGTCAACTATGACATACAAAATGAGAAAAAAAAATCCAGAATGGCCCCATTCATTCTTTCCTTTACATGGATCAGTCGTCCTGGTCCCTTTGCAGAAAAACAGCCCCAAAGCATGATGTTTCCACCCCCATGCTTCACAGTAGGTATGGTGTTCTTTGGATGCAACTCAGCATTCTTTGTCCTCCAAACACGCGAGTTGAGTTTTTACCAAAAAGTTCTATTTTGGTTTCATCTGACCATATGACATTCTCCCAGTCCTCTTCTGGATCATCCAAATGCACTCTAGCAAACTTCAGACGGGCCTGGACATGTACTGGCTTAAGCAGGGGGACACGTCTTGCACTGCAGGATTTGAGTCCCTGGCGGCGTAGTGTGTTACTGATGGTAGGCTTTGTTACTTTGGTCCCAACTCTCTGCAGGTCATTCACTGGGTCCCCCCGTGTGGTTCTGGGATTTTTGCTCACCGTTCTTGTGATCATTTTGACCCCACGGGGTGAGATCTTGCGTGGAGCCCCAGATCGAGGGAGATTATCAGTGGTCTTGTATGTCTTCCATTTCCTAATAATTGCTCCCACAGTTGATTTCTTCAAACCAAGCTGCTTACCTATTGCAGATTCAGTCTTCCCAGCCTGGTGCAGGTCTACAATTTTGTTTCTGGTGTCCTTTGACAGCTCTTTGGTCTTGGCCATTGTGGAGTTTGGAGTGTGACTGTTTGAGGTTGTGGACAGGTGTCTTTTATACTGATAACAAGTTCAAACAGGTGCCATTAATACAGGTAACGAGTGGAGGACAGAGGAGCCTCTTAAAGAAGAAGTTACAGGTCTGTGAGAGCCAGAAATCTTGCTTGTTTGTAGGTGACCAAATACTTATTTTCCACCATAATTTGCAAATAAATTCATTAAAAATCCTACAATGTGATTTTCTGGATTTTTTCTCCTCAATTTGTCTGTCATAGTTGACGTGTACCTATGATGAAAATTACAGGCCTCTCTCATCTTTTTAAGTGGGAGAACTTGCACAATTGGTGGCTGACTAAATACTTTTTTCCCCCTTCTGTATATACTTATTATGGAGACAGTATGCTTTACATTAGTTATCTTGTTGTTATTAGTTGTTGTTATTAGTCCCATCCTTCAGCTCCATTCAACACCTCCCATCTATCTCTTAACACCATCCATATTGGATTTCTATTTGCAAAATATTTTTCAACTGTACTGTGATGTTTTACAGAAGTTCTGACGTTTTCCCCACTGTATAGAGAGGGACAACAGAGAAAGAAGTAGAGAGAATCTGGGACTGGGTTCTTAATCAAGTCAGACTGAATTCCAACCCTTCTCTCACCAAGGGGCCAAATGTGGTTTCTTCACCCCAGAGAGGAACACCTCTGACTGGGCAGGGTCTGACCACAAACACTCCACTTCCATCAACCTTGTGTGTTCTTGTTTGCCGCATGGACAATAGAGAAGAACAACAATGCCAACTGGTAGCAATGTCTATGCCACACAATTGTTTATTGCCCTCTACTCATTGCGCTAAATCTATGGTGACAGTCAATCATTATGGATGGTGTCTGACATGTCTGCAATAAGAGAGTTGAACACAGACAAAAACAAGTAACAACAACATCCAAGTACAAATTGTGCCAGATGTGGGGTGTGTATTGGGTCTGGGAGGAGGGGCGGAGGACACTCATGGGGACATGAGTAGCTGTAATAGGCCAAAGGCGTTGCCGTGAGTTACGGCCGTCTCTCCGGCTCAGCAACGTCATGGTAACGGTTTCAACTGTGATTAAATCAGATAAGGACTAACCCAAGAGGGAGAGAACATGAGTGACTGAGGGAAAAAAAAGAGGAGAGAAAGAGTCAGTCAAACACCACCCTTCCTTCATTCCCTCCTTCTCCCACCCTTTCTTCCCATCACTCGGAATCCTCCCTTGAAAGTTTCACTTAGTCTGAAAAAGCTCTCTTGCACTATTAGACTTACCTCCAACCTATTAGGATATTTAGGCTAGTATCCATCTAATAAACACCTCTGAGTGGATCTCAATCATCTCTCCTCTCTGTGGCTCTGAAATATCATCCTCCCAAGTATCTCTCTCTCTCTGATAGAGATGCAGGGCTGATCTCCACCGACGTTTAACAACTTAAAGTGTCACTCAGGATTTCACACTGCAGCCCAATGAATCCAAAAGGAACAGAAGGAATAGAGAGAGGAGGAGAGGAGAGAAGGGGAGAGAATACCTGACACACACAGACCTGCCATGACTGGGCCATACATTACAGAACAATGACTGGGCAATTCATTACAGAACAGACGTTAGACACAGAAAGAGAGAGACAGAGGAGAGAATCATAGTGAACTACAGAGATTGCATGTGTGTGCATGCACACTCGCATGCGTGTGTGTCAGAGTGGATAAAGAAAAAAACATTCCATACTTAATGCTTCGGCTCTGCATAAGCATGCTGCTGCAACAACATCTGCACGATAGTATTTCAACCTGAAGAGGGCCTGTCATGACTAAACACTGGAGATGATACTGATCATAAACCACATCACTGTCTCTCTGGCACAGACACAACAAGGTAAACTCATTAGATCTCTATACAGGCAGCCAAGCAAGCCACGCACGGGCACACACAGGGCTAAATCCTCAATCTGGCCCTCATACCATCACGGCCACCTAATCATCCCCAGCTTCCAATTGGCTCATTCATCCCCCCTCCTCTCCCCTGTAACTATTCCCAGGTCGTTGCTGTAAATGAGAATGTTCGGAAAGTATTCAGACCCCTTGACTTTTTCCACTTTGTTACGTTACAGCCTTATTCTAAAATGGATTCAATCGTTTTTTTCCCCTCATCAATCTACACACAATACCCCATAATGAAAAAGCAAAAACTGGTTTTAAGAAACCTTTGCAAATGTATAAAAAAAAAAAAAAACTGAAATATCACATTTGCAGAAGTATTCAGACCCTTTCCTCAGTACCTTGTTGAAGCACCTTTGGCAAAGATTACAGCCTTGAGTCTTCTTGGGTATGATGCTACAAGCTTGGCACACCTGTATTTGGGGAGTTTCTCCCATTCTTCTCTGCAGATCCTCTCAAGGTCTGTCAGGTTGGATGGGGAGCGTCGCTGCACAGCTATTTTCTGGTCTTTCCAGAGATGTTTGATCGGGTTCAAGTCTGGGCTCTGGCTGGGCCACTCAAGGACATTCAGAGACTTGTTCCGAAGCCACTCCTACGTTGTCTTGGCTGTGTGCTTAGGATCGTTGTCCTGTTGGAAGGTGAACCTTCCCCCAGTCTGAGGTCCTGAGTCTCCCAGTCCCTGCCACTGAAAAACATCCCCACAGCATGATGCTGCCATCACCATGCTTCACCGTAGGGATGGTGCCAGGTTTCCTCCAGACGAGACGCTTGGCTTTCAGGCCAAAGAGTTCAATCTTCATTTCATCAGACCAGAGAATCTAGGTTTCTCATGGTCTGAGAGTCCTTTAGGTGCCTTTTGGCAAATTCCAAGCGGGCTGTCATGTGCCTTTTACTGAGGAGTGGCTTCCATCTGGCCACTCTACCATAAAGGCCTTATTGGTGGAGTGCTGCAACTGTGGGACCTTATATAGACAGGTGTGTGCCTTTCCAAATCATGTCCAATCAATTGAATTGACCACAGGTGGACTCCAATCAAGTTGTAGAAACATCAAGGATGATCAATGGAAACAGGACGCACCTGAGCTCAATTTTGAGTCTCATAGCAAAGGGTCTGAATACTAATGTAAATAAGGTATTTCTGTTTTATTTTATACATTTGCAAACATTTCTACAAACCTGTTTTCGCTTTGTCATTATGGGGTATTGTGTGTAGATTGATGAGGGAAAACATTTATTTAATACATTTTAGAATAAGGCTGTAACGTAACAAATTGGGGAAAAAGTCAAGGGGACTGAATACTTTCCGAATGCACTGTATAGAGTGTATAACAACACCACCTACCAAAGAGATGAACACCTCAGATATCTTAGTAGTGTTTTTAACATGAAAATAACAGTATGGACACATTAGTATTGTGTTAATTGTGTGTTATTAAAACTGGGGGACAGGGCTCAGAGGGGGGGGGGGGGTGTGGCATAGCTGAAAGCGGAGAGAGCGAGAGAGAGTCGCTGTGGGGAAAAGTCCAATCACACCCCCTTTTTTCAGACACACACACACCCACCTTTGGGACACCAACAAGCCCCCTGGCACACACTCTCGCCCTTCCTATGAGTATGTGACATGCTGGGCTTATTCTCAAAAGTGATTGGATCTCACCACACCACAGAAATCCATACCATAGGAACTGAAATAGTTGTGTTCCTATCCTATCCCTCCCTCTCATCAAGCCTGACAACATAGATTTCCACTTCTCTCTCTCACTAGTATCCCTTACAACTTCTCACATTTTGAATGTCTGCATCTGTCCCACTAGCCTGTGCTTGCCGTCCACAGCCTTCCACAGCCTTCCTCAGTCTCCCTACCTCTCCTCTAACAATACACACACCAATAGACATGAGAGCTTTTGAGGGTGAAAGGGGAAGATATTGATTTGTTTTGTTTGAGAGATTTCACCCAAATTGACCGCCCACCCTCCCACCATGCTCCCTCCCCCGTCCCCACCCCAGCAGGGCTAGCTAAGTATGGGGGCAGATGTCCTACTGAGCTGGGGTAGGGTGGTGGTAGGAGGGGGGTGTATTGTCCACTAAGCCTCTCAATAGTAATTATGCCCCCCTCTAGCCCCCCCGCCTCAACCCCTCGCCCCCCTCCTGCCACCCCTGAGGGCTCTAATTTGGGTCATGGGCTGCAGAATGGCATCTCAGCACTAGCCAAACAGCTACTCTGTCAAACAGACAGACATACAGGCAGGCAGGGAGAGGAAACCAACATACACCAACTAACAAATGGCCCTCTGAGATACTAGGAGTGCAGAGATGGAGAAATTAAATAAGACACAATTTAAAGAGAGTCAACATAGTCCAGTGGTGTAGTGGAGGGTATACACAGGTATACGGCATTGCATTGCGTATACTCACTTCTTAATCCCCACGATGCGTATCAAAGTAGTGTAGTGGAGGTATACGCATATCAATGAATACGGCTGATGGAACAGATCAGAACGTTTAGCTTAAAATGTTGATAAAATGTAAAGATATATAATAGTTTAAGAGCAACAATATGCACACGCGCAAAATGTTCCAAAATGCAATTGCGGAAAAACACCATTCTAAAATGCGCACCGCACATGCAAGCGGTTGCAAGCAGTTTCATGGACAAAGATGGAAATATCCGTTAGAAATTTTGAAAGAGGAAAGATCTAAAGATGCAACAACTATTATGGGTTGCTATATGACTAGGAAAATGTATTTGGCTGCTAGACAATGAAAGAACAGGACAGCGTATACAAGAAAGTCTTTATAAAATAATTGCCACCACGCTATAGGCTACTTTGAAGCAAGGTAAGACATGCCTCATATTCTGAAGTAAAATGTCCAGGTTTCAAACAATGAAGTAACAGGTAAAATATAGAGATGCTAATGATAGGCCTAACCATCTTCTGGTAGATGGAAAGGCTTTCCCAAAAACCTTCTAAATTAAATGTTAACTAGCTACAAAGTAGCCTATGCCTACCTGGCAGAATGATATCATGATTATTTGCATCAATCCACTGGCCATTTGTTTAGCAAACTCCATCTCATGTGCGCTACAGAAACAATGCTAACCAAACAACAGTGCTAGGTGCCTGCAGCACAGTTAATGAAAGGGTAACTACATGCCAAAATTAAAATGTCTTAGATTTTTCCAAGACCTCAAAAGTGGTCCCCTAATGTGGTTTAAGCTTTGTCGTGGACTTAGAACACCCAATTATGTTGTTTTTCTATTAAAAAAGGACATCTGAAACCTCTGAATTTCTGACAGCCTCATTGAGCTATTTCAATACTATTAGCCCACTTGCACAGTACAGCTTGAGTTGGCCTGACTGTGAAAGACCAATATGTGATTTATCATTTTAGGTCATTCAGAGTGTGTCACTGTTTGTCATAGAAGTTTTCACACAAGGGCGCCTTAACTTCGCCGGGCGAGCCGTTTTTGATTTTTATTGCAAAATTAGAGTACCCACTTCTCCAGGCACTACTAAACCACTGACATAGCCCATTCATGGCCCATGTGAAAAATAAACTCTACATAGCAACGTTGCATGGAAATAACTCCATGTCCATTTAGCCCAGACACTTTTACACATAAAAAAATATTTGAGTATAAACTTCTCTGTCAACAGCCTCAGTGAGAAGCTTCCTCCATTGACTAACAGGAAAGTATCTATACCGGATATATCTCTACCTCTCAATCAGTGAGAATAGGCTCTACCTATGAACAACGACTGTGGGGGACAAGTTACAGGAGAGGAACTAAGGATGATCTAAATTTAAAATCGCTCGTAATCAGCAATAGAATAGCAGCAATATCAAGAACCAACAACCCTGCGAGAAAGCAAACATGTTCCATTCAACTGCCACAGCAGGAAAACAACTAGAAAACACTTCACACAGCACAGGAGAGAGAACCATTCGACAAAGAGGTCACACATCCTTCACACAACAGTGTCAGCAGGGAGAAGACCACAACTGACAGCAATAAGAGGGCTAGATACAACACACAACTAACCAACAAACAAGGACGATAACAGCACACAACACAAGTTTCATTCAAATGACCTTTACCAGACGCAGGAAATACATGTTGAACTAAAACAGAGCCAGCTCTTACATCCATGTGAATAAAAACATGAACAGGAGTACTCATTCATACCAGACACACCATCAAGGCATTCACTTTCAAAGACGAGGTCTAGGACAGTTATGAAAAGGCCCCCAGTTTACCACAAAAAAACAAAATGATATGAAAGATAAAGAAATCTAAACTCTGATGCACCTTTTGACTGCAGATTAAAAATAAAAATAAAAAATAAAATAAACTGATGATGTTAAACCTTTACTGTTGAAAGAGCTCTCAAATAGCCTAGGACATAAAACAGTCTACAGTAGAAATACCTTAAATAAATTCTGCTTACCAGTTGGCATAATGGCTATGACTTTCCTTCAGCAAAAATAACAGATTTGTTCAAACCCCTGAAGATGAGTGAATGGTTTGAAAGAAAACAACAGTCCAGAAAAATTCAAATATCCACAGGGAGCAGACTACTCTGATCGCAGTATTCCCAGTTCACGCAGCCAGCAGAATTACCATAGCACACCTCACATTCTCTCAGTCAGCCCAATACATTTCCTTCTTCAGGGAGCAAGCGTGCCATCCGCTGCTCCCAACACACTCACAAACACACTCACTCTGCCACCTATCACACACACAGACTTCTCACTGGTGCAGCAGCTGACCACTTTTGCTATCCTTTTCTTTCTCTCTGATGCTCTCTCTATAGCTTTCTCTCTCTTTCTCCTTTGCTGGCTTGCTAAAACTGTCTCATTGGGCTCTCGGTCTCGCTCTCCTTCAGACAGCCTACATTTCTCTCTCTCTCTCTCTCTGGTGGTAGCACATTCACTGTGTATGTGTGTATATCTCTCTGTGTGTGTGTGTGTGTGTGTGTGTGTGTGTGTATCAGACTGAATGGCCTTTGCGCTCCCCTGTTCCCTCCCCACTGGGCTTTCCCCTCCCCCTGACTCCTCCCCCCTCTCCCACAGCAAATTACAAGGACCTGAGTTCCACAGTAAGTGCCCTCTCCAGGGCCGGCACCAGGTATAAGTGACATAAATGGTCGCTTAGGGCCCCGGCCGCTAGGGGGCCCTCCGACCCCCAAAATGTTTTTGGGAACTCAGTCGGTGTCTCAATTGTCTCTGTTGAGAGTTAGAAAAGTAGAATATACAAGGTGCAATTTCGAAATGTGGTTGTACATTAGCAGTTTCTCTCTCGTTATGTCAGTCACTGACACTGACTCAATTAGCCCATGTCAGCAAAATAATCTGAGACTGGTTAAATTAGTCTAGCCAGCTATATAAACTTGTAGTAATCATGGTTGAATTATCAACCGGGCATGTAGGGCACGTGCCAGTGGTGTAGTGGGGGCTATTTATTTTTATTTTCAGTAGGCATTGCGTATACTCACTTCTTAATCCCGACTGATGCGTATCAAAGTAGAACAGTGAACAACATCGGTACCCGGTAGGATTGGAAAGACGTTTCAATTTATATCTACCAGTAAATGCCAACTAAGGCAACAATGGGTATGCAGGCCAGGCATTGAAAAAGTTTGGTCCGAAGTCTTGGTTGAATCGTTGCGATGCGCAATGCAGTCATCATACGATGTTTGAATGAACATTTCTTTCCCAACAAACCTTCCCAATAAATGTTGACTGCAAAGTAGACCTACCCGGCAGAATGATATCATGATGATTTGTATCAATCGGGAGGGCATTTGTTTCGTAAACTCTGCCATCACATGTAGCCTGTACTGTAGGCCTACATTGTACAGCACAGAACACCGCTAGCCCTACGGAGCGATTTCAGTGCCAACAGAAATTGTATTTGAATTCCATAATTTAGAATTTGTATTAGGATTACATTTGAATGTAATATTGTTTTATTTGTAATGAAAAAATTGAATCCAGAAATGTTACTTGTATTTCATGATTTGAAACTGAATTGAATGAATATTGCATTCAGTTTTAAAATTCAATTTTGGTAGATATTGCATTAATTCTAAAGCCAATGTGGCATGTTGAATTTATTTTCTTACACTGATTTTGACTCTAGCATTTGAACAATTTTGGCTATGAGCTATTATGACCCCATTCCTGAAACCTAAGACTCTCTGGAGCATGGACGTGCCTTCTGGTCCCCTCTATGATCATCACAGGCCAAGTTAGAAAGGAATTTCACAAAACAAAAAATTGGCCCCAAAAGAATATAGATGAAATGCCCCGTCACAGCCCTTCTAAGGATAGCCTTTCCACTCCAGATTGAATCTTGCTCGTGACTGACTGGGTTCAAAACAGGTCTCATGCATATCACAAGACTGTGTTAGCCCATTTAGCTAAAGCCTATAGAGATAAGTTCAGGAAGTTCATGTAAAGGACGACACGCTGCTTGCTTAACGAGTACAGCTCAAACTCGCAAACACACGTGACCGCCCTCCTGAAGTGTTCCACCCCATCGTGCTATTAAAAAAGGCCTTCTTCAATTGCGCAAGGGGCAACACTTCAGAGTTCACAGATTCCCATCTGCTACACTAATACAAGTCTTCAAGATCCAGCAAGGTTACTCGCGTGGTTTGGTGACCCATGCTTATGTGATGAGAACCTTGCCTGAGACCTGAAGACATGTTAGTTTGACATGTTATTTTGTGTTAAACATAGTCTAGTTTCAAGTCTCCGGCAAGGGTAGTCATTATAAGGTTAACATGTGACTGACTGGGTTAAGACTGTGTTAGCCTGTTGAGCTAAAGCCTAGGCATTGGTCCTGTGACTTGGATGGGTCTCTTCAAGGAGGAGGTCAAAGGGGGGTGAAATGTAACAGGTGGTTCAGTGACCACACTCATATGATGAGTAACTGTTGGAGCTCGGAGCTTAGGAATTTCACTGTACCCTGCAATTACATCTGTGACGCTGTGCATGTGACTAATAAACTCATCTAATCTAACTTGTCTGAGACCTGAAAAGTTGCATTGTCTGGTGCACAGGAGACCTGAGGTAGAACCCCATCAGTCAAACTAACACGTCTTCATGTCTCAGCCAAGGATGCTCATCACATAGCCTCGTGAGCGGCCTGATCCCGCGAGCTTACATGAATGGTTCGCTACACACGGTAATCAGTCTGGTAATTACGAGGCTACTCATCATATGGATGGATCACCAAACCACCTGTTGCACTCATTAAATGGGGTGCACAGATCCTTCTGCTTCTGTCTGCCACAGAAAGTGTTGTTGTGCTGTAGACCTGATTTCGAACCCAGTCAGTTATATTGGTGCCGTGATCTCTGAGTATGAAATCAAAGGGGGGTGAAATGTAACCAAGGTGGTTTGAGGAACCTTGCTGGAGACTTGAAGACTTGTGTTAGCTTCCTGATCTAATCCCTATGGGCTTTATCTAAGTGGGCTAACACAGTCTTGTGACATGCAGGAGACCTGATTCGAACCCAGTCAAATCACAAGAGCAAGATTAAATCTGGAGTGGAAATGCTATCCTTAGAAGGGCTATTCAACTATATTCTTATTAGAGCTGTCCCCGACTAAATCTTGGTCGACCTAGAGTAGTCTGTCCTTTCGACCAATCGATAGGTAAAAAAATGTTTACGTGTATTTTTCCCTATATAGACACACCCTATCTGTTAATAAAATAAACTATATGTAGGCTACTGAGCATGTCTGATGCTTTAAGCACACTGTGATTAAATAATGAAGACACACAAACGACTGAAGAGGGAGCAAGAGATCAAGATAGCCTAACCAGAAGTAAAAAAAAAAAAAGAAACTGTTTCCGATCCTCTTCCTCCCGCTGCTGCTGGCCTTTGCAGATTCTGCTGTTACGCTCCTGAAGTTGCAGGTAGATAATAGGCTACCCAGGTATCTCAAAATCATTATCATGTGACTAACTGTAAGTCGCTCTGGATAAGAGCGTCTGCTAAATGACTAAAATGTAAATGTTAATCAAAATTCTAAAAATAGCCTACATAAAGCCAACAAATAAAAGCATTGCAGCCTGCAGGTAGACAATATCCTGCTAAAAATAAATATCCTATAAATCACATTGGCTACGCATGGATGTCTGCAGGGAACTTGAAACATTGTATCAACTATTAACTTTGGTCCAGCCTGATGCTGGCACTAGCAAACTTGCAACATTGTATAAAATATTCTGGGCCCTCAAAGTTTCCTGCAGCAGTGAGCTCCGGACAGACATAGCTGTAGGCAATTTGTGCAAGGGATAAGAAGTAACCGGGTAGGCCTATTTTATGAAGTTTTCACTGGATCAGAGCATTATATTTTTTTCCCCTTTCACGCCAAGTGGTTATCAAAAGAGAGCTGGAAAGATTTTTCAAATAGGCTACGTGAGGAACTCCTGTCATTCTCAATGGATGTAAAAACAGACTGTTTACTTGCTGTTTGAGGTGGGGGAAAAAACGACTGAGAAGCTCCACAGTGGTGGTAAGTTAAGACAATCAGAAATACTATCAGATCCCCAAATGGGCACATTTATAGGCCTACATTTGCACGCGGGCCAGGTGGCCTAGACCTACTTCTATGTATAATCAGGTGCGCGTCCTTACTCAACATTGACAGGAGCACTACAAACAAAAGACAGTGAATGAATTGACAACTCAAAAATGGAATGAAATAAACCAAAACTTGTTCCTCACAAGTGTAGCCTAGGTTGTGCGGTCCGCAAACAACGTGTCCACTCTGACAATGAGAACGGTAAAAGACGAATAATATATTGAATGCATTAACAGAAATTACCGTAACCAAACACTGTAGATTAGAAATTATGGGAATTAACGGTAAAATGTACTAATGGTGATACTGGTATGCCATCACCGTGGCCTCCGCAATGGATTCGTCCACTGAGACAGGCGTGAATCAGACAGGTGTCTCGTGTGCCATAAAAAAATATATATATAAGATATATTTGCGACTGCTAGACTAAAAAAAAAATCTTGGTCGACCAACATCCTATTGACCAAACAATCGACTAAAATGGGGTCAGCCCTCATTCTTATGGGGGACAAATTGCGTTATTTTGTGACACTCCCTTCTAACTTGGCTTGTGATCATCATAGAGGGAAACAGAATGCACATCCATGCTCCAACGAGTCTTAGCTTTCTGGAATGGGGTCATAATAGCTCATAGCCAAAGCGTTTCAAACACTAGAGCCAAATTCATAAGAAGAAAATAAATTAAACATGCCACATTGGCTTCAGAAACCACCAGAAGCTTCTGTTTACCACAGAGTGTGTTTGATTCTATCTTTTCTCCTCTACCTTTCCTGGCTGGCAAAGTACCAGTATGAGAAGTTTAAATTATGGTTTGTAAACTTGATAGACAATGAATGCAATATCTACCATTTTGAAAGTGAATATATAAATATTGAATTTGAATATTCAATTACATTTACATTAGATTTTAAAACTGAACGCAATATTCATTCAATTCAGTTTAAAATCATGAAAAACAAGTTCAATGTATGAATTCAATGATTCAATTTGAGCAGTAAACATTCAAAAATATTAAATACAAATTCAATATCCTAATACCAATTCATTGCATCCAACATTGTGCAAAATGTTTCTGTGTGGCCACCTCAAACGCTGACTGGACATTCTAAATAAGTGTTCTAATCACAGCGGTTTGAGCATACACTGCAGGGACCACTGTAGAATGATCATACCCATGTGTTCATATGTGTCAAATGGTTAACATGGCATAAGCATTGGCAAAATGTGTATAATTGCAGGAAATTAGCTGTAAAACTTCAAATTGTTATCTCCGCCCCATGGCAAAATGAGTAGAATTGCATGAAATTAGTTAAATTGCCAAATCTTTTCTCCACTCCATGGCAAAAGTTGTATAATTCCAGCAAACTTGCTTTAAAACTGCAACATTTTCTCTGCGACCCATTGACAAATGTGTAGAATTGCAGGAAATGTACTCTAAAACTGAATTAACTCTCAAACTTCACAAATACACACACACACACACACACACACACACACACACTCTTTACAAGGGGGGTTAGCCCTGATCAATAGCTGGGAGCCGTCCCAAACAAAATACAAAAAATGACCCCTTCCCCCCAGCCCACTACTTGTGTTTAGTGTTCAGTTTTCCACCCTATACACACATTCTCTCACAGGCAGAATGGGTTTGTAATGGGACAAGTGTGAGAGAGTGTACGTATGCACACATGCAGGTACACTGTGCATCAAACAAGAATGGAATGCAACAGGAAGTACATTTCTATCATTAGCCAAGGTAATCGCCACATGTTCCAAATGAACACCATTTGTTTATTACAAACGGTTACAAATATTTAATTTCAATATATTCTCTTGAGTGATCACCTAGTCTGTGGACAGTTCAGCTCACGTCAGGACAGACACCAGCTAATGACCACACGTTTTAGACAATAGCTGCTGCTGCCGCACATACATACACACACGAGTATGTCGGCTATTTGTCCCCCTTCTCCAGAGGAGAGGTACTGGTCCCAGCAGCAGGGCGTCCCCTAAACCCTCCCCCTTTTACTGACCAAACAATAATACTGACCCCCCATCCCCTACCCCCTACTGGTCAGTGCAGCTTACTGGTCACTGGTCAGTAGGTTACCGTACAACGCCAGTGAACCATCTCAGTGGGAACTCTAACTAGAGACCCCACCCCATCCCACCCCAACAGGTCTCAGGCAGCCTCCAGTAACTAGTCCATCTCCAGCAGCATGACCCCTCTCTGGCACTAAGGGAACCCACTGACCCATGAAGGCCTCTGCCCCCACCCTCTCCCCCTAACCCCAAACCCCAAACATCGACCGCTCTCTCCCCTTGTCACATAATGAGAACCCCCAGCTAAGCAAATAGACAACACCATTGACCAGAGCTCCTGCTCCCAAGTCTGGACAGTTCATTAAGGACAAATCCCTACAGTCAGTCACAGCCTATCCTATCTGACAACCTTACAGCACAGCTGCTCTTAGGTCTCTTACCCCCGTTTCCTCCTAACTAATATAACTTTTTATAACCTCCCCTTTTCCTCTGGCTCTTCAGAAGCAAAACGATTATTCTGAAGGCCTGTAATAGAAAACAGCTCATCACAAGGCCTCTCTCCACTTCAGGGCTAACACAGGGCGCGCACACACACACACACACACACACACACACACACACACACACACTTAGGGTTCGAGGGTTTGTGTGGTTGCCAGGATGATCGAGGCTATAGCGCTGTGGTCACCATGGCAACAGTCATGCGCTCAGCTCACCCCCGAGTCGGAGGAAAAGAGGAAGGGAGTGAAAAGTGGCTCCGAGAGCGTAGCGTCAAATAAAGCGCTCTATTCCTCATTACACTCAGACAGACAAACACTTGGAGTGGGGTAAGGGTTCGATCACACACACACACACACACACACACACACAATCAGAGAGCTTGAACACAAGAGACAAACAAAACTTTGTGAAAAAGTTCTGCGCCCAAGGAAAAAAGTGGTATGTACTCCACATGACTACAAGAACAGAGCATCTGTCCCAAGAGGAGGGGGGCTACAGAGGGGAAAGGGGGTGGTTGTTATTGCAGTCGGCACAGAGTGCGTGTGTGCGCTTCCTCAGATGACCTGACAGCTCCTTCGTTTTCCCAGCTGTGCCAGTCACAATGAGGCCAGTGTGTTTCTACAGTAAACCAGTTTGGGGTGCAGAGGAGGGGGGGGGGGGGGGGGGGGGGTGTTCAGATCCCTTCATGTACAAAGGGCTAGATAGAGTGGGAGGGTTCATTTATTTACAGATACCCTCCTCTCCTCCTTCTGTGACCCTGTTACACTCTGTCAATCCAGAGATGGATCACCTGTAGATCTGAGGGACGCTCCATTCTTCTCGTCCACATTCCCCAAATGTCACTGTAGGAAAGCCAACATAACAATCATTCATTCTGCATACCTCAACTCTTGCATTCTCTCTGAGATTTGACTGTACTGTTTGATACAGTATATCAACTTTCACTTCAACTTCCTCACTTAAGCCTAACAGTGCAACAAGAGTTTCATATGGGTTTTCAGAACAATTCAACAAGTCCATATGAATAGCAGTGAATAAAATAATTACTACACTGAAACAGACCAATTAAAAAGCAGTATCCTCCACCTGGTGGCCTCCATAATGTGTCTAATTTATTTTCCTAAGATTCCTGCCTTATGAGCTTCCCATATTCCCTGAGCAGCGTGCAGCAGTCTGGCCACGGTGCCGGGACAAGTCCAGGAATGTGAGTCCAGGGGCCAGAATTCCGTCTCTGCGAATAAAACTCCTATAAGAGCATGGATCCCTCGGAATGACCAGAGGAACCGGAAAACCGACACGGGAAAACAAGGAGCAGCTTCTCCCTTACAGCAGACTAAACAACAGCAACAACAAACAGCATTGCCACTGAAACAACAGCAGCAGCAGCCCTTTGACCACAATAGAAACTACAACATCCAATACTATAAAAGGTAGTAATTAGTATAGTGTTTAGTATTCACATAAACGGCTTAATGAGTAAACAAATCACTACAGGCGGAAGAGGAGTGGAAATGAGGGAGGGAGAGAGGAAAAGCTTACGAAAATCAAAATGTAAACAAAAACAATACTGTTTTATTATTATGAAAGAAGTTAAAATAAATCAAGGCTAAATATGATCCAAAGACAAAGTACTTTTCAAGTTGTTCTCTCCTCCTCCGTGTGTGACGCAGTTAGGCTGGTTGTCCCAGTTAGCCCTCTCACAATAAGGACCCGCGCGCACACACACACACAACCACAAACAAACACACACTAGTGTTCAAAAGGTGAGATACTAGAGTCTGGGATTGACAGACAACAACAACAACCTCAACATGACGAAAATAGCCCAAACCCCTATCAATCCATCATCATCCTCAAAATCAACAATTTCAAACAACTCACTCACATTTCTTTCATAGAGGGCTTAGAACGTGTAGAAGACCCAGAACCACATCTTCATTCCATTTCAATAAAACAAGACAGAAAACCCACTAACATCTCATTATATTATCCTACGACAACCCTCCATCACACACACACATCCTGGCACTCTAAACATAGGATACTGTACCTGCCAAACTGCAGCCCCGCGTGATCAAAACACAAACATGAAGCTTCAGAGAACCAGAAGGATGTATACACTGTTGGAAACTAGTAGACACTAGACAGTGATACACAAACACACACACCTTCACCTTATCTGCAGAAGAGAGGATAGCGTCTATCATCGCTATAAGACCAATGGACTGCCATCTAATTAAAGGGGGATCCAAGACTACCATTAGCTCCAGGCTAAATTAAAACCTTGGACAGAGTCATTTCAGATCAGTGCAGCCCAGGCACATCAACCACCATAATGATGAATAAATGAACACAGAGACTCTGGAAGGGGAAAACCATGTCTAGAGTTAATGTACAGGAGAGTCATGTTGAGATCAGCTTCAGCACAGAAGCTGCATCACATATTTCAGCCTTACAAATTCACTACTTTAAAACTGCTACACAGTATCAAAAATACCTCTGCTGTGAATCTCTCTGACAAAGTCTGATTCATAGTCACACAGCATAAGTGTACAGTATATAGCAATATTACAAAACAACAGCGTTAGGAAGTCCCTCCTCACCTTTGAGACTGTTCCAACGGCTAGTCTTTCCTCTAGGCAGCCAGCCGCTGATTATATCCCAGTATCCTTTAACTGTTTAGTTCCATCTCCATGCATCGGGAAGTTTTGCCTCACACACACACACTAAAACACGTCCACGCTCTAAAGCGGAGAGCTATTCTGTATATTGGGATGGTCAGTGGAAAGACAGGTCTCCACCTCTATGAGGTCAGTCAGCTCAGAGAGAGAGAAGTGAGCAGAAAGGAGTGGACTGGGAGGGAAGAGAAAAGGGAGCGCGTGTCCAGCCAGCCCACATCCTGACCAATTACTGCTGCAAGAGAGAGCTCTCGCTCTCTCTCCCCATCACACACTCTCTCCCCATCACACACTCTCTCCCCATCACACACTCTCTCCCCATCACACACTCTCTCCCCATCACACACTCTCTCCCCATCACACACTCTCTCCCCATCACACACTCTCTCCCCATCACACACTCTCTCCCCATCTCACACTCTCTCTCCATCACACACTCTCAAATTTCAACTCAATGGGCTTTATTGGCATGGGAAACATATGTTTGCCAAAGCAAGTGAAATAGATAATAAACAAAAGTGAAATAAACAATAACAAATGAACAGTAAACATCACACTCACAAAAGTTCCAAAAGAATAGACACCCTCCCTCTCTCTCACCCTCTCTCTCACACTTACCCTCACCCTCTCTCACACTCACCCTCTCTCACACACTCCTTCTCTCACACACTCCTTCTCTCACACACTCCCCCTCCCTCACTAACACACACACTCCTTCTCGCACTCACACTCCCCCTCTCTCACTCACCCCCCCCCCCCCCCCCCTCTCTGTCTTTCTCGCTGCCCTCTCTGTTCGTAACACACACACACACACACACACACACACACACACACACACGCTAAGGGATTCATTATCATTGGGAGAACTGGAGAACAGCCAACACTGCAGGCGGCACAAATGATATAAATTACAGTGAGAGAGAAAGAGGTTGTCAATGAAAGCACAAGGAGAGAGGGATTGAAGGATTTCAAATGAGTTATAAGAGTTAAAAAGTCAGGGATGAGAGAGTGGATAGCAAAAAAATAAAAAATGGAGATCGGTAGTGAGAAAGGGTGAGAGGGTGAGAGATATCGAGGACAGCCCCAGGACGAGCAGCAGCAGTCTCTTCCTCCCCTAAAAATAAAGACCACAACTGGGTCACATTACCCAGAACCCTGAGACACGGCACCAGATCAGTCTAATCCCTCCCTCTCTCTACCATTGTTTCTGTCCCAATATCGGTCTCTACCACTCCCAAACACTATCTCTCTACCACCATTGCTCCCAATTCCTGACTCAGTTTTGGAGTGCAGGGTTAGAAAATAAAGATTACATTAGACAGTTGGACTTGAACAGTTGAACTTGCAGAGTTAGGAGCAAACTGTTCAGATCCATTACAACTTGATGAGTGAGTGAATATGAATAAGTGTGTGTAAGTACGCATACCTGCATATCTGAATGAATTGAGTGTGAGTAGTAGGGACTCATTGTTCTGGATCCTCAGTGCAGTGTGCACAGCCAGGCCAGAGGAAAGTCCCCTCACTGAGAGCCAATGGCGTTCCTCACTCCTGACTTCAACCAGGCTGCCTGGGATTCAGATACCTCACAGCCCTGTCAGTTCCCAACACCAGTTCACTTCCTCATTTCCATGTCCTCTCTGTGAAGGATTTTCATTTTCTAGGAATATGAAACTGTCCTTGGAATGGACAATGTTATCCTTCTGGGGAAATCACTCATGCACTGTATGTACGCACATGCGTGTGTCTCACACACACACACTCACTACAGTAAGTAATGTTAACCATTGACTATGACATATAGTCTGTGGTGCCCGACCATGGCCATCCATACTCTGTGGGCAGGTCGGATATGGGTCACCAGCTGTTATCTTAACCTGTATAATCACCAGGCTGCCACACCCAGAGAGCAGGGAATAACACTCACAATACACCCTACACTCACAATACACAACACCCTACACTCACAATACACAACACCCTACACTCACATAGTACAAACACTGTCTTTAAAAACACATATACCTATATGTGTACGACACTAATGCTGTGACGTTCATGGAATTTTGGATGACTGTTATTGGTCAGCCAGATGACCGCGGTCAAGTTATAAATCGTTTGAATACCACGCACATTTTCTCCTCTCCTCCACTCCTGACTCCACTCCTGACTGCAGGGAGGGGGCAGTGCCTAGGCAACCAAAGACTTGTTTGCTACAATACCTTGCTTGTTTGAGCAAGGAGCAACAAAGCTTCATCACGTTGTAAAGAATCCATGTTAACGCGGAAAAGGACTCAACCGCACGAATACCGGGCCGTCCCGTCTACAGTCAGCTGTAAGCCCCCCCAAAAAATGACTGTTATGACTGTTATTTTACTCCATAATCAACGGTTACCCGATGATACGGTAATTGTGCCAGGCCTATACGACACACAATACCCCAGAGCTACTAGAGATGAGGAGGATGATAGAGATTAGCTGCTCCGTATGACATCCTTGGGCAATGTCCTTGGTTGGGCTACAGAATAATGTATTAGCACAACACAGGATGCCAAAGATGGGGAGTGATTATATAACCTAAACAATACAATAAGGACTGCTCCTGGGGGGGTGGAATGGAGATGCCCCAAGGGTCCTATTATGAGGGGAATACTAGAATGACCTACAGAGAGGCAGATAGTGCATTCATTTACACAATATTTTGACTACTTATTTCATACGATCTACCTTACACATGCACCATCCGGGAATATAGATGCATTGGGAGAGGCATTTACCATGTAAAGTAGGTTAGGAGTGTAGGAGTAAAAGGCACCCACCGTCATTGGCTGCGCACATGTGTTTGTCACAGAGAGGCGGGACATTGCAGCACACTAGAGGTGGTATTGGTGGAAAATCAGTGGCCAGTCAAAATAAACCCCTAATGTAGATGTAATGAGGAGCGAATAACAGCCTCGAACTCGCCCCAACCTTCCACAGGAAACGCCTCCCCAACCCTTCCTGTCCCGCTCCGGATGTTTGGAGATTAAGGAGTCAAACAGGAAGTGATGTCATCCACCTGGGACATGAATCATCTCCGTTTAGTAGCAGTTTCCCTCCGGAGGAGTCAGTCGAAACCCCACTCCTTTATCTGTCTAATCTGGGATTTTCCATTCTCATGCTGTGTTCTGATGATGGTGTCGTTTAACACGTCTCATTGTTTACTTCCTGGTTCTGCTGAATGAGCTCATGTCAGATTATGATGAACTTTGGAATTAGACTGTGTGTGATAGCAGTATAAAGAGATAACGTCATTGAATGAGTAAGCAAAGTTTAAAGTGAAGTGGTCGACCATTTCAGGCCAAGCATGCACGCTCGAAAATCACAGAGCACCAGTTTGGGGACATTTTCTTTTTTTAAACCACTACTAACTAGGGAGTACTAAGTCCCTCTCAAATCCACCACACTATAGATGTGTAATTGGGCATTGGAGGGAACCCATGTGTTTGCTATTAAAATTAAAAACCTTAAGTCTATATTACAGTGTAGAACAGAGAGAAGGCCACAATGCTACCACAGAGCTGTTCTCATGAAAACAGCCTTCTACTCAGAAATCCTGTCCAAAACGAGTTTTAGGGAGGTGGGGTGAAGCTTCCTCCATTTGCTGGTGGTGAAGAGGGGGTAAAGCTAAAACCGTATGTATGTGTGCTACTGTTTGATAGCGTGTGTGCGCCCATGTATTTATGCATGTATGCGCATGCCTCAGATCAAGAAGCCGGGGAATGTTGTCAGTTTGCTTTTCACCTACAGTATTGGGGGGGGCCCTCTGCTGCCCTCCCCTCCAGGCCTTCAGGGAACCTAAGATGTCATTGTGAACAAAAGGAGCCCTGAAAGCTGTCCAACTCAAACAGGGGCTATTATTTACAGTACCAAAAGAAACTTGCTCTCCCTCTCTCTCTTTAGCGTTCCCTCCCGCTCTCATTCTTCCTCTCCCTCTCCCAAATGAGGGGGAAACGGTGGATTTTCTGACCAGAACAGGCCACAGAGGGAGCAAGCCCTTCTCTGCAGTAGCAATATACCCCAAAGTTATTCACAGCACAGAGACATGCTTATGCTGATGTGTGGACTTTGTTAGCCATGATTCAGAGTAGGGGAGAGTGAGATAAATTGAGTCAAAGGGGTAAGTTGAGCCACCCTTGCTTCTAGGAAACCATACACAAAATTGATCATTTGACCAAATAATATCCTGAAATATACTGAGTGGACAAAACATTAGGAATACTTGCTCTTTCCATGACATAGACTGACCGGGTGAATGCAGGTGAAAGCTACACTTTATATATAAAAGTGTGTGGACACCCTTTCAAATTAGTGGATTCGGCTATTTCAGCCACACCCTTTGCTGACAGGTGTATAAAATCGAGTACACAGCCATGCAATCTCCATAGACAAACATTGGCAGTAGAATGGCCTTACTGAAGAGCTCAGTGACTTTCAACGTGGTACCGTCATAGGATGCCACCTTTCCAACAAGTCAGTTCGTCAAATTTCTATCCTGCTAGAGCTGCCCCAGTCAACTGTAAGTGCTGTTATTGTGAAGTGGTAGGCCACACAAGCTCACAGAACGGGACAGCAGAGTGCTGAAGTGCGTAGCGCGTAAAAATAGTCTGTCCTCGGTTGCAACACTCACTACCGAGTTCCAAACTACCTCGAAGCAACGTCAGCACAAGAACTGTTTGTTGGGAGCTTCATGAAATGGGTTTTCATGGCAGAGCAGCCGCACACAAGCCTAAGATCACAATTCCAAGCGTCAGCTGGAGTGGTGTTAAGCTCGCCGCCATTGGACTCTGGAGCAGTGGAAATGCGTTCTCTGGAGTGATGAATCATCCTTCACCATCTGGTAGTCCGACAGACAAATCTGGGTTTGGCGGATACAAGGAGAACGCTACCTGCCCGAATGCATAGTGCCAACTGTAAAGTTTGGTGGAGGAGGAATAATGGTCTGGGGCTCTTTTCATGGTTCGGGCTAGGCCCCTTAGTTCCAGTGAAGGGAAATCTTAATGCTACAGCATACAATAACATTCTAGACGATTCTGTGCTTCCCCAAACTGTTGCCACAAAGTTGGAAGGCCCTTTCCTGTTTCAGTATGACAATGCCCCAGTTCACAAAGCGAGGTCCATACAGAAATGGTTTGTTGAGATCGGTGTGGAAGCACTTGACTGGCCTGCACAGAGCCCTGACCTCAAACCCATCGAACACCTTTGGGATGAATTTGAATGCAGACTGCGAGCCAGGCCTAATCGGCCAACGACAGTGCCCGACCTCACTAATGCTTGTGGCTGAATGGAAGCAAGTCCCCGCAGCAATGTTTCAACATCTAGTGGAAAGCCTTCCCAGAAAAGTGGAGGCTGTTATAGCAGCAAAGGGGGGACCAACTCCGTATTAATGCCCATGATTTTGGAATGAGATATTTGACGAGCAGGTGTCCACATACTTTTGGTCATGTAGCGTATGATCCTTTATTGATGTCACTTGTTAAATCCACTTCAGTCAGTGTAGATGAAGGGGAGGAGACAGGTTATAGAATGATTTTTAAGCCTTGAGAAAATTGAGACATGGATTGTGTATGTGTGCCATTCACAGGGTGAATGGGCAAGACAAAAGATTTAAGTGCCTTTGAACGGGTTATGGTGATCGATGCCAGGCGCACCGGTTTGAGTGTGTCAAGAACTGCAACGTTAAGGTGTTCCTAATATGTTGTACACTCAGTGTTATATGTAGATAACTTTGTTAGAAATAATACTATATTTCCCTTGACGGAGTGATGCGCAATGTAAATAATTGCTCAACTTACCCCACAAGTAGAATGTCACTTTTTTGTCCACCCAAATATAGACAATAGCCTTTGGTTTTACCACACAAGTACCATAAAATAATCTCATCACACATCATCCATTGTGACAGTATGATCAACAGCGGGCCATTCAAAAAAGAGAAACCAACACCATTAGAGAGACAGACCCTCTATGAAACAGCCTGGCCTTTGAGAGACCTAATGACTATACAGTATATGAGAGGCTATAGAGTAGGCCCATCGGTCTCAGTATTCCAGTAGACTAGCAGTACTTTATGTCTAGTTGATGGGCTTACATCAGTGTGTTGGCTGGGCGACCAGACCAAACCACTGAGTGTGAGGTCACACGTCTATTTAATGAGAGGTTATCTACACAGACGGCCAGACTGCTCTTAAAGATCCACTTTTAGACTTTTACACACACACACAAACTGCACGCGCGCAAATAAAAACTATGACACACATGCATAACACACATACAAAGACACACCCCATGCAAGCACATATACTCACTGACATTGACAGACACACACACAGGCATGCATACACATAAAAACACACATACGCACTAGGGCCGGGACGATATCAGTATCGCGATACTTGTTAGTATTGTGGCAAGGAAACAAAAACACAAAGCAGATTTCACTTCTTTAGGACAACAGCCTTAACGTTGGAAACAAACATCATGTTGTCATCCAGTCTCCCATGTATTTATTTTCCAAGCTATAGCACACAATATTTTACATACAGCAGGTTTTTAAAGGACCAAAGAGTTTGGTCTGCTTCGTGTTTACATTTTTGACATGGAAGAAATATTGCGATACTGGTATTGTCCCGGCACTAATATGAACACACATAAGTGAACACACAAAAAACAAGAGAAAAACCAGAGTAATACCTACTTAAACCCACACACACACACAGATGAAGTAACACATAACCAAATCCAGATGAAGTAACACATAACCAAATCCAGATGAAGTAACACATAACCAAATCCAGATGAAGTAACACATAACCAAATCCAGATGAAGTAACACATAACCAAATCCAGATGAAGTAACACATAACCAAATCCAGATGAAGTAACACATAACCAAATCCAGTAAATAGGTCTAAGCGAGGAAGGGCATCCAAACACTTCAACATGGGGAGATATCCTGACACAGCACTTCCTAAACCAAATGGACCATAGAGGGGAGGGATTGGGGGATTGAGAATAATCTAGCCCAAATCCTCAGACACAGAACGTCAATGCAGCAGCCAGGTCACCCGTGATACAAGTCAGTATTCGACATCCATCCATGTCTGAGGACGTCGGGAGATGAATTGGAAACCGGCCACAAGGGGCAACAGTGAGCGCTGTTACCTTCAAGTAGGTTTCGGTTTTGAAAAGGAGTTGTGGACGGGGATGGCGGATGGGTGTAAGCATCTGCCTTTAAACCAAAAGGTTGCATGTTTGAATCCAGTGATGAAACGTTTTTGTTGTGTTTTTTAAGCCTATCCCAAACCTTAACCATTTGAAGTTAATGCCTAACCTTAAGATTTCGGAGTTAATGCCTAAACTTAGCCTTAAATACTTTGAAATTTGACGTTTGGAACAACTTCGAAATGTGATGTTTGAGAAACATGGATGAACGTCTAATTCTGAAGTGAGTCAGAGCTTAATGCAATGCAGACCCTTAATTTCCTACAGGCATCATGTGATAGACTGCTCCTCTCCTAGGAGCCCAGCACTGAACTCAAAACCCCTTTGACAGTTACTGTGTGAGCAGGTCAAGGGTAAGATTAACTAGGCAGCACTGTGGCCAGGGTGGATAGTGTGTGTGTGCATGTGCATGTGTTAATTGGATCAAGTCCTAGAGGTAACGAATGGGAACAGGAGCTCTCGCACTGCATCACATCAAACCTCACTCTGAAGCACACACAGATATGGGGGAACACAGTCAAAGGCTTTATTCACTATCACACCAGTGGTCACGATTTAATAGAAGGACATACAGTAGTTAGTACGTATATACAGACACCACTCCAACCTATAACCCACACTTCTCTCTCTCTCTTCCCCCTCATTCTCTCCATAACTATTTATTAAACTGATCTGCAGCCTTGGCTACCTGTATTATGTTTCAGCCGAAGTGTGTCGCTAATACAGGACAACTGTGACTTCAATGACAACACCCAGTTCTCCCAGCCCAAACCCACCCCTCCTCGCCTGGCTCCCTAAGGTGCTGTAACAGAACTCAGGATCTAGGACACCCAGTGCTAAGAAAGAGAGAGAGAGAGGGAGGGCGAGCGAGAGAGAGGGCAAGCAACAGAGAGAGGGCGAGCAAGAGAGAGAAAAAGAGAACGAGAGCCAAATCACAGAGCAGGCGTTGGACAGCTATTGGGAAAAATATTCTGGATCAGAGCTGTGCTTCCGCTTAGCGTACACCGATCTTATATTATGCAACTGTAACCATGGAAATGTTTTCTTAATTTAATAGTAAGTAAGCAAGAGGAAAACCCCAGACTTAATAACATGGTCCACACACCCCCTCGGTGCGGCCCCTCAAAAAGTTATACCGTTGCACCATCGGGAGCATCTTGACTGGCTGCATCACCGCTAGGTATGGCAAATGCACCGCCCTTGACCACAAAGCGCTACACAGAGTATGGTGCGGACAGCCTAGTACAGGACTGGGCCTCTATATCAGGCAGTGTCAGAGGAAGGCCCGAAGAAAAATTGGCAAAGACTCCAGCCACCCAAGCCATAGACTGTTCACTCTGCTACAGCAAACGGTACCGGAGCATCGGATCTCGGACCAACAGGCTCCGAGACAGCTTCTACCCGCAAGACATAAGACTGCTAAATAGCCAGACTGCTAAATAGTCAATTAATAGCCAGACTGCTAAATAGCCAGACTGCTAAATAGTCAATTAATAGCCAGACTGCTAAATAGACCATCTTGCACTGACCTTACGCACACTCGCTATATACAGTTTAAGTCGGAAGTTTATATACACCTTATACAAATACAGTGAGGGAAAAAAGTATTTGATCCCCTGCTGATTTTGTATGTTTGCCCACTGACAAAGACATGATCAGTCTATAATTGTAATGGTAGGTTTATTTGAACAATGAGAGACAGAATAACAACAACAAAATCCAGAAAAACGCATGTCAAAAATGTTATAAATTGATTTGCATTTTAATGAGGGAAATAAGTATTTGACCCCTCTGCAAAACATGACTTAGTACTTGGTGGCAAAACCCTTGTTGGCAATCACAGAGGTCAGACGTTTCTTGTAGTTGGCCACCAGGTTTGCACACATCTCAGGAGGGATTTTGTCCCACTCCTCTTTGCAGATCTTCTCCAAGTCATTAAGGTTTCGAGGCTGACGTTTGGCAACTTGAACCTTCAGCTCCCTCTATAGATTTTCTGTGGGATTAAGGTCTGGAGACTGGCTAGGCCACTCCAGGACCTTAATGTGCTTCTTCTTGATGAGCAACTCCTTTGTTGCCTTGGCTGTGTGTTTTGGGTCATTGTCATGCTGGAATACCCATCCACGACCCATTTTCAATGCCCTGGCTGAGGGAAGGAGGTTCTCACTCAAGATTTGACGGTACATGGCCCCGTCCATCGTCCCTTTGATGCGGTGAAGTTGTCCTGTCCCCTTAGCAGAAAAACAACCCCAAGCATAATGTTTCCAACTCCATGTTTGACGGTGGGGATGGTGTTCTTGGGGTCATAGGCAGCATTCCTCCTCCTCCAAACACGGCGAGTTGAGTTGATGGCAAAGAGCTCCATTTTGGTCTCATCGGACCACAACACTTTCACCCAGTTCTCCTCTGAATCATTCAAATGTTCATTGGCAAACTTCAGACGGGCCTGTATATGTGCTTTCTCGAGCAGGGGGACCTTGCGGGCGCTGCAGGATTTCAGTCCTTCACGGCGTAGTGTGTTACCAATTGTTTTCTTGGTGACTATGGTCCCAGCTACCTTGAGATCATTGACAAGATCCTCCTGTGTAGTTCTGGGCTGATTCCTCACCGTTCTCATGATCATTGCAACTCCACGAGGTGAGATTTGGCATGGAGCCCAAGGCCAAGGGAGATTGACAATTATTTTGTGTTTCTTTCATTTGCGAATAATCGCACCAACTGTTGTCACCTTCTCACCAAGCTGCTTGGCGATGGCCTTGTAGCCCATTCCAGCCTTGTGTAGGTCTACAGTCTTGTCCCGACATCCTTGGAGAGCTCTTTGATCTTGGCCATGGTGGAGAGTTTGGAATCTGATTGATTGATTGATTCTGTGGACAGGCGTCTTTTATACAGGTAACAAGCTGAGATTTAAGAGTGTGCTCCTAATCTCAGCTCGTTACCTGTATAAAAGACACCTGGGAGCCAGAAATCTTTCTGATTGAGAGGGGGTCAAATACTTATTTCCCTCATTAAAATGCTAATCAATTTATAACATTTTTTACATGCGTTTCTCTGGATTTTTTTGTTGTTATTCTGTCTCTCCACTGTCAAATAACCTACATTAAAATATAGACTGATCAGTCTTTGTCAGTGGGCCCAAACGTACAAAATCAGCAGGGGATCAAATACTTTTTCCTCACTGTACATTTAAACTCAGTTTTCACAATTCCGGGCATTATCATAGTAAATTCCCTGTCTTAGGTCAGTTAGGATCACCACTTTTTAAGAATGTGAAATGTCAGAATAATAGTAGAGAGAGATGATTATTTAGCTTTTATTATTCAGCACCATTCCCGTGGGTCAAAGTTACATACACTCAATAGTATTTGTAGCATTGCCTTAAATGTTAACTTGGGTCAAACGTTTTGGGGCCTTCACAAGCTTCCCACAATAAGTTGGGTGGGAATTTTTGGCCCATTCCTCCTGACAGAGCTGGTAGAACCTGAGTCAGGTTTGTCGGCCTCCTTGCTCGCAAGCTTTTGTTCTGCCCCAAATATTCTATAGGATTGAGGTCAGGGTTGTGATGGCCACTCCAATACCTTGACTTTGTTGTCCTTAAGCCATATTGCCACAACTTTGGAAGTATGCCAGGTCCTCAACTGGCAGCTTCATTAAATAGTACCCGGAAAAACACCAGTCTCAATGTCAACAGTGAAGAGGCGACTCTGGGATGCTGACCTTCAGAGTTGCAAAGAAAAAGCCATATCTCAGACTGGCCAATAAAAATAAAAGATGGGCAAAAGAACACAGAGACTGGACTTTTTCTTTGCAACTCTGCCTAGAAGGTCAGCATCCCGGAGTCGCCTCTTCACTGTTGACATTGAGACTGGTGTTTTGCGGGTACTATTTAATGAAGCTGCCAGTTGAGGACCTGTGAGGCGTCTGTTTCTCAAAACTAGACACTAATATATTTGTCCTCTTGCTCAGTTGTGCACCGGGGCCTCCCACTCCTCTTTCTATTCTGGTTAGAGCCAGTTTACGCTGTTCTGTGAAGGGAGTAGTACACAGCGTTGTACGAGATCTTCAGTTTCTTGGCAATTTCTCGCATGGAATAGCCTTCATTTCTCAGAACAAGAATAGACTGATGAGTTTCAGAAGAAAGTTATTTGTTTCTGGCCATTTTGAGCCTGTAATCGAACCCACAATTGCTGATTCTCCAGATACTCAACTAGTCTCAATAAGGCCAGTTTTATTGCTTCTTTAATCAGCACAACGGTTTTCAGCTGTGCTAACATAAATTGCAAAAGGGTTTTCTAATGATCAATTAGCTTTTTAAAATGATCAGCTTGGATTAGCAAACACAGCATGCCATTGGAACACAGGACTGATGGTTGCTGATAATGGGCCTCTGTACGCCTATGTAGATAATCCATTTTTTTTTTAAATCAGCCATTTCCAGCTACAATAGCCATTTACAACATTAACAATGTATTTCTGATCAATTTGATGTTATTTTAAGACTATTTTATTTTATTTAGAAAACAAGGACATTTCTAAGTGACCCCAAACTTTTGAATGGTAGTATATACACTGCTCAAAAAAATAAAGGGAACACTAAAATAACACATCCTAGATCTGAATGAATGAAATAATCTTATTAAATACTTTTTTCTTTACATAGTTGAATGTGCTGACAACAAAATCACACAAAAATTATCAATGGAAATCAAATGTATCAACTCATGGAGGTCTGGATTTGGAGTCACCCTCAAAATTAAAGTGGAAAACCACACTACAGGCTGATCCAACTTTGATGTAATGTCCTTAAAACAAGTCAAAATGAGGCTCAGTAGTGTGTGTGGCCTCCACGTGCCTGTATGACCTCCCTACAACGCCTGGGCATGCTCCTGATGAGGTGGCGGATGGTCTCCTGAGGGATCTCCTCCAAGACCTGGACTAAAGCATCCGCCAACTCCTGGACAGTCTGTGGTGCAACGTGGCGTTGGTGGATGGAGCGAGACATGATGTCCCAGATGTGCTCAATTGGATTCAGGTCTGGGGAACGGGCGGGCCAGTCCATAGCATCAATGCCTTCCTCTTGCAGGAACTGCTGACACACTCCAGCCACATGAGGTCTAGCATTGTCTTGCATTAGGAGGAACCCAGGGCCAACCGCACCAGCATATGGTCTCACAAGGGGTCTGAGGATCTCATCTCGGTACCGAATGGCAGTCAGGCTACCTCTGGCGAGCACATGGAGGGCTGTGCGGCCCCCCAAAGAAATGCCACCCCACACCATGACTGACCCACCGCCAAACCGGTCATGCTGGAGGATGTTGCAGGCAGCAGAACGTTCTCCACGGCGTCTCCAGACTCTGTCACGTCTGTCATATGTGCTCAGTGTGAACCTGCTTTCATCTGTGAAGAGCACAGGGCGCCAGTGGCGAATTTGCCAATCTTGGTGTTCTCTGGCAAATGCCAAACGTCCTGCACAGTGTTGGGCTGTAAGCACAACCCCCACCTGTGGACGTCGGGCCCTCATACCACCCTCATGGAGTCTGTTTCTGACTGTTTGAGCAGACACATGCACATTTGTGGCCTGCTGGAGGTCATTTTGCAGGGCTCTGGCAGTGCTCCTCCTGCTCCTCCTTGCACAAAGGCGGAGGTAGCAGTCCTGCTGCTGGGTTGTTGCCCTCCTACGGCCTCCTCCACGTCTCCTGATGTACTGGCCTGTCTCCTGGTAGCGCCTCCATGCTCTGGACACTACGCTGACAGAGACAGCAAACCTTATTGCCACAGCTCGCATTGATGTGCCATCCTGGATGAGCTGCACTACCTGAGCCACTTGTGTGGGTTGTAGACTCCGTCTCATGCTACCACTAGAGTGAAAGCACCGCCAGCATTCAAAAGTGACCAAAACATCAGCCAGGAAGCATAGGAACTGAGAAGTGGTCTGTGGTCACCACCTGCAAAACCAGTCCTTTATTGGGGGTGTCTTGCTAATTGCCTATAATTTCCACCTGTTGTCTATTCCATTTGCACAACAGCATGTGAAATGTATTGTCAATCAGTGTTGCTTCCTAAGTGGACAGTTTGATTTCACAGAAGTGTGATTGACTTGGAGTTACATTGTGTTGTTTAAGTGTTCCCTTTATTTTTTTGAGCAGTGTATATGTCATATATATATATATATATATACACATACATACATATACACACACACACACACACACACACACACACACATATACATACATACATACAGTGGGGAGAACAAGTATTTGATACACTGCCGATTTTGCAGGTTTTCCTACTTACAAAGCATGTAGAGGTCTGTAATTTTTATCATAGGTACACTTCAACTGTGAGAGACAAAAATCTAGAAAATCACATTGTATGATTTTTAAGTAATTAATTTGCATTTTATTGCATGACATAAGTATTTGATCACCTACCAACCGGCTCTCACAGACCTGTTAGTTTTTCTTTAAGAAGCCCTCCTGTTCTCCACTCATTACCTGTATTAACTGCACCTGTTTGAACTCGTTACCTGTATAAAAGACACCTGTCCACACACTCAATCAAACAGACTCCAACCTCTCCACAATGGCCAAGACCAGAGAGCTGTGTAAGGACATCAGGGATAAAATTGTAGACCTGCACAAGGCTGGGATGGGCTACAGGACAATAGGCAAGCAGCTTGGTGAGAAGGCAACAACTGTTGGCGCAATTATTAGAAAATGGAAGAAGTTCAAGATGACGGTCAATCACCCTCGGTCTGGGGCTCCATGCAAGATCTCACTTCGTGGGGCATCAATGATCATGAGGAAGGTGAGGGATCAGCCCAGAACTACACGGCAGGACCTGGTCAATGACCTGAAGAGAGCTGGGACCACAGTCTCAAAGAAAACCATTAGTAACACACTACGCCGTCATGGATTAAAATCCTGCAGCGCACGCAAGGTCCCCCTGCTCAAGCCAGCGCATGTCCAGGCCCATCTGAAGTTTGCCAATGACCATCTGGATGATCCAGAGGAGGAATGGGAGAAGGTCATGTGGTCTGATGAGACAAAAATAGAGCTTTTTGGTATAAACTCCACTCGCCGTGTTTGGAGGAAGAAGAAGGTTGAGTACAACCCCAAGAACACCATCCCAACCGTGAAGCATGGAGGTGGAAACATCATTCTTTGGGGATGCTTTTCTGCAAAGGGGAGAGGATGACTGCACCGTATTGAGGGGAGGATGGATGGGGCCATGTATCGCGAGATCTTGGCCAACAACCTCCTTCCCTCAGTAAGAGCATTGAAGATGGGTCGTGGCTGGGTCTTCCAGCATGACAACGACCCGAAACACACAGCCAGGGCAACTAAGGAGTGGCTCCGTAAGAAGCATATCAAGGTCCTGGAGTGGCCTAGCCAGTCTCCAGACCTGAACCCAATAGAAAATCTTTGGAGGGAGCTGAAAGTCCGTATTGCCCAGCGACAGCCCCGAAACCTGAAGGATCTGGAGAAGGTCTGTATGGAGGAGTGGGCCAAAATCCCTGCTGCAGTGTGTGCAAACCTGGTCAAGACCTACAGGAAACGTATGATCTCTGTAATTGCAAACAAAGGTTTCTGTACCAAATATTAAGTTCTGCTTTTCTGATGTATCAAATACTTATGTCATGCAATAAAATGCAAATTAATTACTTAAAAATCATACAATGTGATTTTCTGGATTTTTGTTTTAGATTCCGTCTCTCACAGTTGAAGTGTACCTATGATAAAAATTACAGACCTCTACATGCTTTGTAAGTAGGAAAACCTGCAAAATCGGCAGTGTATCAAATACTTGTTCTCCCCACTGTGTGTGTATATATATACATACATATATACACATGTATGTATGTATGTATGTATGTATGTATGTATGTATGTATGTACAGTGGGGAAAAAAAGTATTTAGTCAGCCACCAATTGTGCAAGTTCTCCCACTTAAAAAGATGAGAGAGGCCTGTAATTTTCATCATAGGTACACGTCAACTATGACAGACAAAATGAGAAAAAAAAATCCAAAAAATCACATTGTAGGATTTTTAATGAACTTATTTGCAAATTATGGTGGAAAATAAGTATTTGGTCAATAACAAAAGTTTTTCAATACTTTGTTATATACCTGTTGTTGGCAATGACACAGGTCAAACGTTTTCTGTAAGTCTTCACAAGGTTTTCACACACTGTTGCTGGTATTTTGGCCCATTCCTCCATGCAGATCTCCTCTAGAGCAGTGATGTTTTGGGGCTGTCACTGGGCAACACGGACTTTCAACTCCCTCCAAAGATTTTCTATGGGGTTGAGATCTGGAGACTGGCTAGGCCACTCCAGGACCTTGAAATGCTTCTTACGAAGCCACTCCTTCGTTGCCCAGGCGGTGTGTTTGGGATCATTGTCATACTGAAAGACCCAGCCACGTTTCATCTTCAATGCCCTTGCTGATGGAAGGAGGTTTTCACTCAAAATCTCACGATACATGGCCCCATTCATTCTTTCCTTTACACGGATCAGTCGTCCTGGTCCCTTTGCAGAAAAACAGCTCCAAAGCATGATGTTTCCACCCCCATGCTTCACAGTAGGTATGGTGTTCTTTGGATGCAACTCAGCATTCATTGTCCTCCAAACACGACGAGTTGAGTTTTTACCAAAAAGTTCTATTTTGGTTTCATCTGACCATATGACATTCTCCCAATCCTCTTCTGGATCATCCAAATGCACTCTATCAAACTTCAGACGGGCCTGGACATGTACTGCCTTAAGCAGGGGGACACGTCTGGCACTGCAGGATTTGAGTCCCTGGCGGCGTAGTGTGTTACTGATGGTAGGCTTTGTTACTTTGGTCCCAGCTCTCTGCAGGTCATTCACTAGGTCCCCCCGTGTGGTTCTGGGATTTTTGCTCACCGTTCTTGTGATCATTTTGACCCCACGGGGTGAGATCTTGCGTGGAGCCCCAGATCGAGGGAGATTATCAGTGGTCTTGTATGTCTTCCATTTCCTAATAATTGCTCCCACAGTTGATTTCTTCAAACCAAGCTGCTTACCTATTGCAGATTCAGTCTTCCCAGCCTGGTGCAGGTCTACAATTTTGTTTCTGGTGTCCTTTGACAGCTCTTTGGTCTTGGCCATAGTGGAGTTTGGAGTGTGACTGTTTGAGGTTGTGGACAGGTGTCTTTTATACTGATAACAAGTTCAAACAGGTGCTATTAATACAGGTAACAAGTGGAGGACAGAGGAGCCTCGTAAAGAAGAAGTTACAGGTCTGTGAGAGCCAGAAATCTTGCTTGTTTGTAGGTGACCAAATACTTATTTTCCACCATCATTTGCAAATAAATTCATAAAAAATCCTACAATGTGATTTTCTGGATTTTTTTTGCTCAATTTGTCTGTCATAGTTGACGTGTACCTATGATGAAAAATACAGGCCTCTCTCATCTTTTTAAGTGGGAGAACTTGCACAATTGGTGGCTGACTAAATACTTTTTTTCCCCACTGTATGTATGTATGTATGTATGTATGTATATATATATATATATATATATATATATATATATATATATATACATACATACATACATACATACATACATACATACATACATACATACATACATACATACATACATACATACATACATACATACATACACACACTTTCACACTTATCATTTGCTGCTGCTACTCTGTTCTATATTTTACTCTTATTATTATGTATCCTGATGCCTAGTCACTTTACCCCACCTTCATGTACACATCTACCTCAAATACCTCGTACCTCTGCACATTGATCTGGTACTGGTACTCCCTGTATATAGCTATTACCTCTGCACATTGATCTGGTACTGGTACTCCCTGTATATAGCTATTACCTCTGCACATTGATCTGGTACTGGTACTCCCTGTATATAGCTATTACCTCTGCACATTGATCTGGTACTGGTACTCCCTGTATATAGCTATTACCTCTGCACATTGATCTGGTACTGGTACTCTCTGTATATAGCTATTACCTCTGCACATTGATCTGGTACTGGTACTCCCTGTATATAACTATTACCCCTGCACAATGATCTGGTACTGGTACTCCCTGTATATAGCTTTTGCCTCTGCACATTGATCTGGTACTCCCTGTATATAGCTATTACCCCTGCACATACCCCAAACCCTCTCCTAACCTGGATGACGCTGGGCCAAATTGTGCGCCCCCCCCATGGGTCTCCCGGTCGCGGCCGGCTGCGACAGAGCCTGGACCCGAACCAGGATCTCTAGTGGCACAGCTAGCACAGCGATGCAGTGCCTTAGACCACTGCGCCACTCGGGAGGCCCTGTAAGCAAGAATTTCACTGTCAAGTCTACATCAGTTGTATTCGGCGCATGTGTCAAATAAAATTTGATTTGAGTACTACATGGTTGTTTGTTTTCATGTAGAACCTAGATAGTTTGATGCACCAGTTTTCTTCAAGGGCCTGTATTTCTCCAGGTCACATTGACTGTTCTCCCTTCTCTCCCCCACTATCGTCCAGATCTGTATGACCTCATTTAAACCACTTCTCCTAGAGATCAATCATAGATGTGTCCTGGTCTGAGAGAGCAGGTCGTTTATGATACATCGAGATGACTCATATCTCTTTAGAACTACAAAAGACTGTATGGTTTAGCAGTAGCACTAATGGTTGAAGCCATATAACCTTATCCATTTGTCAAGGGTGTCTGTGTGTGGCTGTTTGTGTGTGAGGTGTGTGTGTGCGCGTGAGGTGTGTGTCCACCCCGTCAACATCTCGAGATAGTGGGTGAAATTCGTTCACGGCCTCAGAAATGCATCTGTTCGGCAACAAAGACCTTCTATCACTACAATCTGCAACTTCCCTGCAGAGAGAAAGGAAGACAGACAGAACGGGAGAGAGAAAGGGCAAGAGAGATCCAGAGGAAATGCATAGCCAGGATTAATGAGGGATATATAGGGATGCAGAAAGGAGAGTGTGTGAGTGTGTGTGTGTTAGTATGGGTGTATGGGTTTGCGGTAACAGCTGCAATTAAATGCTCATTAGGACTTGGGAGCTCGTTTGTCACCATCCCACTGGGATCCACTTAGTATTTACCACAATTAGAGAGAGTGCGAGAGAGGGGGGAGAGAGAGAGATCCACCTCATTGTCTCTTATAGATGAACATAATATAATACAATACCGTACCATCATCATGTCTGCACTGGCCATTGGTGGATGTTGGCAGGCTGAGGCTTGGCTAGTTCAGCCCCAGATAGAAGCTCCCCGACTGGGGCAGGCCAGCTCAAGAGGTGGCCTAGAAAACTGAGTAGGTGTGGGTGAGTGTGTATGGCACTATATATGGCCTGGATACAGGAGGCGCAGAGAGATGACCAGGGGACGAAGGGAAGGAGAGAAGGAGGGACAGAGGGAAGGAGAGAAGGAGAGAAGGAGGGACAGAGGGAAGGAGAGAAGGAGGGACAGAGGGAAGGAGAGAAGGAGAGAAGGAGGGACAGAGGGAAGGAGAGAAGGAGGGACAGAGGGAAGGAGAGAAGGAGAGAAGGAGGGACAGAGGGAAGGAGAGAAGGAGGGACAGAGGGAAGGAGAGAAGGAGGGACAGAGGGAAGGAGAGAAGGAGGGACAGAGGGAAGGGGAGAAGGAGGGACAGAGAGAAGGAGAGAAGGAGGGACAGAGGGAAGGAGAGAAGGGGGGACAGAGGGAAGGAGAGAAGGAGGGACAGAGGGAAGGAGAGAAGGAGGGACAGAGGGAAGGAGAGACAGAGGGAAGGAGAGAAGGAGGGACAGAGGGAAGGAGAGAAGGAGGGACAGAGGGAAGGAGAGAAGGAGGGACAGAGGGAAGGAGAGAAGGAGGGACAGAGGGAAGGAGAGAAGGAGGGACAGAGGGAAGGAGAGAAGGAGGGACAGAGGGAAGGAGAGAAGGAGGGACAGAGGGAAGGAGAGAAGGAGGGACAGAGGGAAGGAGAGAAGGGGGGGTGAGGAGTATTTTTAGCCGTGTGCCCTAGCACACTTATAACCAGGATGTGATTTAGGACCAGGCTCCTAACATGGCTTTAATCACTGCTCATAAATAGGCCTCTTACACTACAACACTTAGCTACTGTAGAAAATATTATACTAGGCCTATTCATACAGTCACAGGTCAGAATGTGAGTGTTGCCCAAAAGACACGGTTGTAAATCACACACACACAAAAATATTTTTTTTGCTTTCTGAAATGTATTTAGTTGACCTGTGTCTGTGAAACCAGCCCTAAGTGTCATCCTCCTGAGGGGTTAGAAATCTGACCTTGGCTGAGAAAGCAAAACCAACACCTCTGACTACCGCTCAGTGTGTCCACCTTTGGATCCAGAGAGGGAGAGAAAGAACAGGACAGGAAGGAGAGACCTGCAGGGCATCATAAAAATGGTACATATTTGCCTGACTCTAGCTTAGAATGCTGCAGCTAGAGAACACTCATTGCCAGGGAACTTCCAGAACACATTCATTCATATCACACACAAACTATACACACAAACTCCAACCATGCAGACGTAAGAGGCTATTTATACACCACTTCCTTTTATTGACCCAGTTCATTGTTCAGGCCACATCTGGTGAGGGCTGAGGGCACAATGGACAGGCCACAGCACTGGCCACACCCACACTTCTCCATCATTTCTCTGTCTTACGCTCTCCATTGCTCCCTCCCTCTCTCTCTCTACCACACACACCACACACACATCTGTTGGGTTCCTGCTGCACAAAGAGCCAGACAAGCCAGCATTCACAGATATCCCCAGCTATTTGTCTCGGCTGCACTGACAAACTCCAAAAGCGGATGCCACCTGTTACATACTGACACTGACCATTCACTGTCGTTCCCCTTCTCTCGCTCCGTCTATCTCTGTCTCTCCCTGACACAGACATACACACCACACACAGCTAAGCAGTGGCTAGTATTAGTACAGTAGGATACCTAGCTAAGTGCCACAGATAACAGTTGTTTATACCCCCAGTCTGTTTCATATCAGTGAATATTACAGGATGTCAGTTTAAGCCTTTAAAAAGCCTCCCGCAGCTTAGCCTTCACCTAGGGGGTCACACACATTTACTACAGGGTACACAGTCACTATGCAAATACATACGTGTACAGCCGGGCACACGCACAGATGTAAAGCACAGTGAATGTGGAAACACCAGCCATTAGCAAAAAAATGGCATCCACCCCGGTTCACCCCCCACTCTGTGTCATTTCCTTTGAGAGGGCAACTGCCCCAAAGTGGCCCATGTGGGGTAAACACCAGGGTCATTATGACTGCCAGGGGTGGGACATGGTCTGAGTACAGATTTTTAAAATCTCTGAACTCACCACCAACCAAGCACCTACCCACCTCAGTAAATGAGTGCTGTCTTTAGGCATGTCACAATGCTTCCGATACCCTCTAAGGCAGTGTTTCTCAATCCTGTTCCTGGGGACGCAAAAGGTCGCACATGATTCAACTGATAAACTCATCATCAAGACTTTGATTTGAATCAGGTGTGTGAGTGCTAGGGCTAAAACTAAAATGTGCACCCCTTTGTGTCCCCAGGAACAGGACTGAGAAACACTGCACTAGGGACCTTAACACCAGATTTAGGATCAGCTCTGCCAACTTCAACATCAGCTCTCTTCATTGCAAACTTAACCTCAACGACTATGAGCAGAACAAGTCAAACAGGCCCTAGATCAGCTGTTGAGGGAATACTGTACGTACACACCACCCTTGGGAACCTTCCCATCTAGCACCACAGACACCATTAGTGTTTCATGGTGATACTTTGCTAGGCTGGCAATGCAGGAAGGGCTGCTGTTTTTGGCACCATAAATGTTTCTGCCTCCCCCGTACAGGAAATGGTCGTTCGTATACGCAACAAATAAACGCTGGGTGTGTCTGAAATGGCACCCTATTCCCTATGTAGTGCACTATACTTTGACCAGGACCCATAGACGGGTCTCTGGTCAAAAGTAGTGCACTATGTATGGAATAGGGTGTCATTTCGGATGAAGCCGCTGTGTATTTCCTGTCCTCAACTGAGAGTGTTTTTCGGTCCATTGTTTTTTTTGTAGTGAATATTTCAATGACAACAATGTGTTTGAGTCTGAGGCATGAAAAGTGATGTGATACATTCAGGGATATGCTACATCTTTCCTCTTCAAAGTTGTACTAAAAAACATTGAGTTTGAGTTGATATTTAGGCATAATGTGTAACAGTCTTATCAGTTGAGCCAATCCACTATAATAGTTCCAATTTAGGCACTGACTAGCGGAACTCATGAGTCCCTTTTTCCATAAACAACACTGAAACAACCACAGAGCTGGGTGTCAAACACTAACATCTAGTCAACATCAGGGTTGTGTTCAGTAGGCTCATATTGGACAAGTTGGATAGTAGGCTACCTCCCCGTTTCAAACAGCTTTTTCTGGATACGGCCCAGGGCCATACATTTAAAACACGTTCATTTGACATGTTTCAACTGACATTTCTGGTGCACAAATGTAACCGGAAATTCAAGTTTGAACAAAAACGCAATAAAACAATATCATGAATCCAGCTATGAAAGTATAAAGCAGGTGTTTAGCCAAAGAGGGGTTACATGCAACAGCTCCAACACCACAGAGACGCCAAACCTCCATCTCTGTGCTAATCCTCTGCTTATCTCTTCATAAACACCGTTACAGACCAGCTACAGCCCAGTGTTCTGAGGGTTACTGGACCCCTGTGCCGTAGTGAGGGGGTTTCCAGCCAAACACACAAAGCCATCAGGCAGGGGGGAGAGAGGGGGTGAGGGAGGGATTTAGGGAAGGGGGTTGGCGGGGGCAAAAGAAAGTGAGAGAAACAGCTGCTGAGTGGTAGAGGGGGGTGAAGGGGAAGCCAAAGGAAAAAAGGAAAACAAGAGAGGGGGGGGGGGGGGGGGGGTTCCTCTCTTTCTTTTCTCTGTGAAATAAATTACTTTTATGTTTGTGTCCCGTCTAGGATACTTTAGTAAGGGTGACCAACCCCCTCTTGGAACACTCTAGCCCCCAGCATACTGTCACAAACACATTCAATACAATCACATGTTCTGAGAAGCACAAGTGCAACTCATAGCTAAGTATCCTCTCCAGAACATACTGAAAACAGCATCTTGAAAATTAAATTAAATTGTTTACTTTTTTAAAATCCAGACGACAGTGCACATTTCATATTATCACATTCCCAGCTCTCAAAGATACACTACATGTCTACATTGAATCCCCCCTCCCATTAAGTATATTCTATTCCCTTCTCTGTGGAATGTTCCTTATTAGAATGCTGGTGTCACTCCAGAGTCGGGACACGCACAGCGCTGACAGATCTGCTTAACACGGAGATGGTGATGACAACCCTACACTGCCTTTTAACATGAAACCAGGAGGAGGAGGAGGTACAGGTGGGACCCTCACCTTTACCCCCGTCTAAACCTGGAATGTTCCTTTACATGTATGGTACACCACAACAGGGCCTTCAGGGATTCCATATTAGTAGTAGAATGCACATTTATTACTTCGAAGGGGCCGGTCGAAACTTACGCAATTGTTACCCGAAGAAAATGGGAGAGGGTCATGCTTTTTCAATTTCAGTCAGGGGCAGGTTTTTTTTTTAGGCGAGGATCATGTAATTTGTAAGCGATTAAATGTCAGTATTTGTCAACTTTTTGGAATTTACGTATTGAATAAAAAAATACAAACCGAAATTAGCCTACATCTCTGCAGTTTACAGCCCTAGACAATAATTGTGCACTCACTTGATAACAATAATACTTTCCTCATTGCACTGTGTTGTTGTAGCCTAGGTAGAATAATGTTTTTGTCTAAAAACATAGGCCTTTGCATGCCCGACTGCTGCAGAGCGCAGCCTGGAGGAATGCACAGCTCTACCATTTCATAACCTAACTTTTTTTCTTACACTTTCACAGGTAAATATTTATAGCCCTAATATTTAACTAATTAGTGGCCTAATATCTAGCTAATATTTTGCTTATTCGGCTACACAACTCTCGCCTCGCTCTTCTAGGCTATAGGCTACAAACACAAGCATCCGCTATTCCTCTTCTCCTGAAGTCCCAGGAAAAGCTATAGGCTACAAAAGCTATATGCTACAAAAGCTATAGGACATTAACTTTTTTGCCATTTTTATACTAGGCCTACTAGGCTTTTCGTAGAGAAGCAGGCTGCTCTTACTAATAGCTGAATGTAAAATAGGCCAAATGAACTGCCGGGGAAAGTTGCGGAGAGAGAGTGCATCACTGGCCAGTGATAATAACATTGTTGCACTTGTGTAGCCTATTGAAATGGTTGCACATGACAGACTGAGGAGCACAGTGAAAAATATCCAAACGAATTGATGGAAATCGCTTGCAAACCACTTGAGCAACATGTAAAAGATGCGCAGGCTATACCGCGTTTGTTGTTGAATTTCTACATTTAATTTAAATACGAGTTTCTATATAATTTTTTTCATTAGGCTACATGTAGCCTACATTGAAGTATTATTTGCAGTTGTCACTATGACAATGACCACACCCTGAAGCACTAAATGATCTGTGTTACCACCTTATTAATAGGCCTACAGTGTGAAGTAGGATCAGTTGATCAGTTGATTGACAGTGTAGGCTACTGTAGAACGATACATTTTCCTCTAGTGTGTATGCTCGCCATTGTTTTATACTCATGTATAATTTATCGTTATAGTTATCGTCCTTGGTGTGGATTGGCCCTTAAAGCTTAAATTGGTAAATGCCGCCTTCTAGCGGATAACATAAATATGGTATGAATACAGCAGTGGTTCTCAACCACGGGTTGATTTGATAGAAATCACGACTGCAACATTGATAGCCTACTAAAAACGGATTTAATATTCCCTGCTATTTTGTTTTAATTATCATTTTGGAGGGGGAGGGTTACACATTTGTTTTTTCAAACGCTCGGGGAGGGCCAGGTAAAAATATATTTTCCTCAGGGGGAGGGCCAGGTAAAAATATATTTTCCTCAGGGGGAGGGCCAGCTAAAAATATATTTTCCTCAGGGGGAGGGCCATCCATTTTCATTTCTTAGAGGTCAGATTACCTCCAAATATCCCTCAATATAAATAACATCCAGTCCCTAAGAACCGGTATAAAATGTTTAGGTAATATAGTAGGTGTTACGTATTGTACGCGTGTTAAAACGAGTGTGCGACGGGTAAAACAAGTGTGTGTGCTAAAAAAGTGTGTGCGTTAGGTAGGCCTAGTCTAAACCCCTATCCATCTAGCAGACAGACAGCTGGTGTGACCTGGGGGGTGACAGGCCTGGTCTTTTTGTTTGGTACTGTAGCCCTGAGCACTGTCCAAATACAGCTGCATGGATCCCACTAACCAAACCAAGCATCGCCACAAAACACTCAGCAAAAAAAAGTACAGGAAAACAGAGGGGAAAACAGGCTTGCAACAGGAGAGCCAAACAGCAAACCTCCACACCCCACTTTGTTTAAGAGGCTACTCTCCCCCTTTCTCTCCCCTCACCCTCTCCCCTTCGCTTTCCCCCTCTCTCCTGGCAGGGTACTTCAAATTTATATTAAAATGACAGGTTGCCAAAAATAGTGCAGTATGTGTAGACATAACAGGAGTGATGGAAAGAGGCCAGACAAATACAGGCCTTATGGACAGCAATGTGGGGGGAGATAGCGAGAGAGAGAGAGCCCGAGGACCTTCACATACTGTAGGCCAGAGCTTTTAATCAGATACCTGGGCCCCCTACATCCTGTGGTGTCAGTTAGATTTCTCAAATGATTTTTGTACCAGGGACCAGCAAGCTATGGTTCCTGCTTGGGGACAGAGCAGACTAAACTATATAGGTTTGAACCATAAATTGATGGCTTGGGGGGAACATGACAAGTGGGTTTATTATGTCTGGTCAGTTCCAGCTTATGCGTAATAACATGAAAACAATCAAAACAAGACTTTCCATTGGATCAAACCAGCTTGTGATGGTCAAGATCCCTGATAACCCCATCTCCGCAGTCCACTCTACCACTAACCGCTTCATCCCACGGTCTGTTCAGGTCTGGGTTAATATTATTGAGACAAAGGAATGTGTTCTCCCCACAACATTAAAACACACATAGTTTCCCAGTTTGACTTCAGCTACAACTGATAAACTTAGAACGCTGGAATCTGCTCTACTTGCATAAAAATAACACTAGTCGTATGGGGCGATTCCACGCCAGGGTATTTTTTATTTTTTGCCCCATCTCAGATTGTTCTGGCAATTCTAACATAGAAACCTCATTGGGAGGAAGGATGTTTGACATGCTTTTTACATTTGTATCACAAACAATGAGGAAATAATGCTGAAAGTAGCCATTTAAGGCCCTTAGACCTATACATGCCTCTTATAAGACCCTATGAACCGTGAACCGTACATGATACAGACAACATCTTGGTGTCATTATGCTCCTTAGAGTGTGCTCTAAAATAAGGAGTATGTCTAGATTCTGAAATACAATATTTCACATTCACTTATTCAACATAAAACATAATATCTCAAAAGTACCTTTTTTATTTATTTTTTATTTTAAGACATTGTTTGGAACAACAAGTACATCCATTTTTTAGAGTGGGCTCTCTACTAATTTTGAAGTTATGATAAATGTTATGAGCACAACCAACACAGTGAATGGGAAAATGGATTCAAAGGGACCTCCCTCTGCTGGTGATTTGCTGAATGTGCAATGCTAAAGGAGGGCTGTGATTGGTTATTGACCTATATTGTCAATATCTATGTATAAAATGGGTCATATCTTCAAAAGTACCAGAAAGCCCACTCTGGAAATTTTACGTGCTTGAAGTCTTCTTCCCGATGAAGTTTCTATGTGGGAATTGCCAGAACAATCTGAGTTACCGAAAACACTTTTGGGCTATGCTGGCATGGAATCGCACCATGGGAACATTCTCCAACTGACAGTCCTGTCCAGTGGGGCGGTGACCCCTCTCTCTAGGTCAGATCTGATTGGTCATTAAATAGCCATAAAACAACTACTTAACATGATGAGGCCAAACCGATAGGCCCCATAGGGATTGAGTTTAATCATTGGTAAGAATGGGTCTTGAGAACTCCGCAGTGTGGAATATGTTTGCCATTCTGTGGACACAAATATAAAAATGTCTGTTTAATGACTGTTTGTATTATCATACACAAATGTTTTATTAGGAATGTTTGTGGATTAAAATAGCGTGTTGTGGGTATGTAACTGGACTAGGATGGAGGGCAGGTTTTCAGTGGGAAAATGGTAGAGAGATGGCATGAGACTCAAGCGTTGAGTACAAAGGGTGTCTTTTCACAAGCGAACATCTGAACAGTGCGGATCTCAAAGAGACATTTAATTGGCTTAAGCTGCTGTGTCAAATCCTATCGCCTGACTAACACAGACAGACACACACACCAGATGGGTGTTAAACTTCAGCTGTCTGTGCCAACCTTCAACATATCTAAATGTATGCCTAGGATGGGCATTGCTGGGGGGGTCCGGGGGTAAATTAATATAGGGGAAATACTGCACACACACACACAATTAGAGTGTCTATAGGCCCGCCATGTTTCATGCTCAGGCAGAGAGAAGTAGAGGTAAATTACAGGGGTATAACTCGTCCCCCTGACAAGCACTCACTGTTCTGTACAGGACAGGGGGCCTCCTATAGCGGGGGGAGGGGGGGGGGGGGGGGGCAGAGGTGGAGCGCTGTACAGGGGTTAAGAAAGACATCCCAAACCCTCAGCCCTGTGGCGTACCTCCCTCTCCCTCTCACACACACACAGAGATACACACAGATGCACCAGTACATTGAAACAGAACACAGCTCTGTTAGCCAGTAGGCATGGCATGACATGGTTTGAACGGAGCAGGATCCCTTAATTAGTGACAACAGAACAAGGGAGCTGTACAAGACCTGTCTGTGCATGCCGAACAGACACACACACTTTCTCTCAAATATGTCAGGCCTGGGTTTATCCTCCAACTTGTAAAATTACATGTTAACATGTTAGACATGTACTAAGTTAAGTCCACTGTACTACCACCTGTATAGTTGGCTAACTGGCCATCAACAGACCAGCCATCCTATGCTATACATACAGTACCAGTCAAAAGTTTGGACACACCTACTCATTCCAGGGTTTTTCTTTATTTTTACTATTTTCTACATTGTAGAATAATAGTGAAGACATCAAAACTATGAAATAACACATATGGAATCATGTAGTAAGCAAAAAAGTGTTCAACAAATCTAAATATATTTTATATTTCAGATTCTTCAAATAGCCACCCTTTGCCTTGATGACAGCTTTGCACACTCTTGGCATTCTCTCAACCAGCTTCATGAGGTAGTCACCTGGAATGCATTTCAATTAACAGGTGTGCCTTGTTAAAAGTTAATTTGTGGAATTTCTTTCCTTCTTAATGCGTTTGAGCCAATCAGTTATGTTGTGACAAGGTAGGGGTGGTATACAGAAGATAGCCCCACTTGGTAAAAGACCAAGTCCATATTATGGCAAGAAAAGCTCAAATAAGTTCATTAGAGTTAACTGCACCTCAGACTGCAGCCCAAATAAATGCTTCACAGACTTCAAGTAACAGACACATCTCAACATCAACTTTTCAGAGGAGACTGCATGAATCAGGCCTTTATGGTCAAATTGCTGCAAAGAAACCATTACTAAAAAGGACACCAATAAGAAGAAGAGACTTGCTTGGGCAAAGAAACACGAGCAATGGACATTAGACCGATGGAAATCTGTCCTTTTGTCTGATGAGTCCAAATTTGAGATTGTTGGTTCCAACCGCCATGTCTTTGTGAGATACAGAGTAGGTGAACGCATGATCTCCGCATGTTTGGTTCCCACCATGAAGCATGGTGCTGGTGACACTGTCTGATTTATTTAGAATTCAAGGCACACTTAACCAGCATGGCTACCACAGCATTCTGCCGTGATACGCCATCCCATCTGGTTTGTGCTTAGTGGGACTATCATTTGTTTTTCAACAGGCTGTGTAAGGGCTATTTGACCAAGGAGAGTGATGGAGTGCTGCATCAGATGACCTGGCATCCACAATCACCCGACCTCAACCCAATTGAGATGGTTTGGGATGAGTTGGACCGCAGAGTGAAGGAAAAGTAGCCAACAAGTGCTCAGCATATGTGGGAACTCCTTCAAGACTGTTGGAAAAGCATTCCTCATGAAGCTAGTTGAGAGAATGCCAAGAGTGTGCAAAGCTTTCATCAAGGCAAAGGGTGGCTACTTTGAAGAATCTCAAATACAAAATATATTTTGATTTATTTAACACTTTTTTGGTTACTACATGATTCCATATGCTTTATTTCATAGTTCTGATGTCTTCACTATTATTCTACAATGTAGAAAATAGTCAAAATTAAGAAAAACCCTGGAATGAGTAGGTGTGTTCAAACTTTTGACTGGTACTGTAGACCTTCAAATAAGCATGCCTGCCTTCTTGCTCTCTGAAATACAGGGTATTTCAGTCTCACCCAGCAGGTGACCTCTGACCTTTTGGGGTTGAGTTTACATGGCCATGGCACGACCCTTCTGGGATGAACGCCAGTGAGAGGCAAGTGTAAAGACACACCCTTGTCAAGGCCATCACAAAACGCACACACACCCATGCACGCACGCACGGGCACGCCTCAAGAAAGTTGATGAACTGCAGATTGTACACACTCTCTTACATACACACGTCATGTTCAATTTCAAATACATTTAAGAGTTGCAGTTCTACAAATCTGCCTCTTCAAAAATGTTGTTTAACAAGGGAAGTATTTAGGTAGGCTAATCATCAAGGTATGTATTAAAATTATTCGCAAAGGTACCGATTTGAGACAGTAAAAGAAGGGCTACAACTTTCTCTTCTCTTTCTAACCTTGTAATTTTGTGAAACATGTTTTTACAGTAAACCCTTCCTAAGGTCTATAATGATAGTTGGAATTGTACAGAAAACACACATTTATTTACAGTTTGGTGAGAGAAAAACAGTCACTCTAACCACTGAGATTTGACATAACGTTACATAAAATGAGTGAGGATATTTGCAGGCTCTGAACCTCTTCAGCACTGTAGTCACCTCTGACCTGTGAATTCCAGCCATGTCAGGGCAGTGTGAGCTCTCACCTCGAGACTAAGGGACCACCCGCTGGTGGACGTCTGACTGCCATCATTTTCACGCGATTCTACGTGTAGAATAGGTTTGCACTTTGTTTGCAAATTACGGCTGGCACTCCGAACAGAAGTGCCATGTACTCTCGGCTGGCAAACACTACCGGTGTGTGCATCAGACTGAACGTTTCACCAGTAATCAACTCTCTCCAACATACAGTGCATTCAGAAAGTATTCAGACCACTTGACATTTTCCTGATTCTGTTACGTTACAGCCTTATTCTAAAATGGATTAAATTGTTTTTTCCCCTCATCAATGTACACACAATACCCCAAAATGACAAAGCAAAAACAAGTTTTTAAACATTTTTGCAAATTTATAAAAAAACTGAAATATATTTACATACAGTGAGGGAAAATGTATTTGATCCCCTGCTGATTTTGTACGTTTGCCCACTGACAAAGAAATGATCAGTCTATAATTTTAATGGTAGGTTTATTTGAACATTGATTGACAGAATAACAACAAAAAAATCCAGAAAAACGCATGTCAAAAATGCTATAAATTGATTTGCATTTTAATGAGGGAAATAAGTATTTGACCCCTTCTCAATCAGAAAGATTTCTGGCTCCCAGGTGTCTTTTATACAGGTAACGAGCTGAGATTAGGAGCACACTCTTAAATGGAGTGCTCCTAATCTCAGCTTGTTACCTGTATAAAAGACACCTGTCCACAGAAGCAATCAATCAATCAGATTCCAAACTCTCCACCATGGCCAAGACCAAAGAGCTCTCCAAGGATGTCAGGGACAAGACTGTAGACCTACACAAGGCTGGAATGGACTACAAGGCCATCGCCAAGCAGCTTGGTGAGAAGGTGACAACAGTTGGTGCGATTATTCGCAAATGGAAGAAACACAAAAGAACTGTCAATCTCCCTTCGCCTGGGGCTCCATGCAAGATCTCACCTCGTGGAGTTGCAATGATCATGAGAACGGTGAGGAATCAGCCCAGAACTACACGGGAGGATCTTGTCAATGATCTCAAGGCAGCTAGGACCATAGTCACCAAGAAAACAATTGGTAACACACTACGTCGTGAAGGACTGAAATCCTGCAGCGCCCGCAAGGTCCCCCTGCTCAAGAAAGCACATATACAGTGGGGAGAACAAGTATTTGATATACTGCCGATTTTGCAGGTTTTCCTACTTACAAAGCATGTAGAGGTCTGTAATTTTTATCATAGGTACACTTCAACTGTGAGAGATGGAATCTAAAACAAAAATCCAGAAAATCACATTGTATGATTTTAAGTAATTAATTTGCATTTTATTGCATGACATAAGTATTTGATCACCTACCAACCAGTAAGAATTCTGGCTCTCACAGACCTGCTAGTTTTTCTTTAAGAAGCCCTCCTGTTCTCCACTCATTACCTGTATTAACTGCACCTGTTTGAACTCGTTACCTGTATAAAAGACACCTGTCCACACACTCAATCAAACAGACTCCAACCTCTCCACAATGGCCAAGACCAGAGAGCTGTGTAAGGACATCAGGGATAAAATTGTAGACCTGCACAAGGCTGGGATGGGCTACAGGACAATAGGCAAGCAGCTTGGTGAGAAGGCAACAACTGTTGGCGCAATTATTAGAAAATGGAAGAAGTTCAGGATGACGGTCAATCACCCTCGGTCTGGGGCTCCATGCAAGATCTCACCTCGTGGGGCATCAATGATCATGAGGAAGGAGAGGGATCAGCCCAGAATTACACGGCAGGACCTGGTCAATGACCTGAAGTGAGCTGGGACCACAGTCTCAAAGAAAACCATTAGTAACACACTACGCCGTCATGGATTAAAATCCTGCAGTACACGCAAGGTCCCCCTGCTCAAGCCAGCGCATGTCCAGGCCTGTCTGAAGTTTGCCAATGTCCATCTGGATGATCCAGAGGAGGAATGGGAGAAGGTCATGTTGTCTGATGAGACAAAAATATAGCTTTTTGGTCTAAACTCCACTCGCCGTGTTTGGAGGAAGAAGAAGGATGAGTACAACCCCAAGAACACCATCCCAACCGTGAAGCATGGAGGTGGAAACATCATTCTTTGGGGATGCTTTTCTGCAAAGGGGACAGGACGACTGCACCGTATTGAGGGGAGGATGGCTGGGGCCATGTATCGCGAGATCTTTGCCAACAACCTCCTTCCCTCAGTAAGAGCATTGAAGATGGGTCGTGGCTGGGTCTTCCAGCATGACAATGACCTGAAACACACAGCCAGGGCAACTAAGGAGTTGGCTGCCCAGCGACAGCCCCGAAACCTGAAGGATCTGGAGAAGGTCTGTATGGAGGAGTGGGCCAAAATCCCTGCTGCAGTGTGTGCAAACCTGGTCAAGACCTACAGGAAACGTATGATCTCTGTAATTGCAAACAAAGGTTTCTGTACCAAATATTAAGTTCTGCTTTTCTGATGTATCAAATACTTATGTCATGCAATAAAATGCAAATTAATTACTTAAAAATCATACAATGTGATTTTCTGGATTTTTGTTTTAGATTCCGTCTCTCACAGTTGAAGTGTACCTATGATAAAAATTACAGACCTCTACATGCTTTGTAAGTAGGAAAACCTGCAAAATCGGCAGTGTATCAAATACTTGTTCTCCCCGCTGTACATGCCCGTCTGAAGTTTGCCTATGAACATCTGAATGATTCAGAGGAGAACTGGGTGAAAGGGTTGTGGTCAGATGAGACCAAAATGGAGCTCTTTGGCATCAACTCAACTCGCCGTGTTTGGAGGAGGAGGAATGGTGCCTATGACCCCAAGAACACCATCCCCACCGTCAAACATGGAGGTGGAAACATTATGCTTTGGGGGTGTTTTTCTGCTAAGGGGACAGGACAACTTCACCGCATCAAAGGGACGATGGACAGGGCCATGTACCGTCAAATCTTGGGTGAGAACCTCCTTCCCTCAGCCATGGCATTGAAAATGGGTCGTGGATGGGTATTCCAGCATGACAATGACCCAAAACACACGGCCAAGGCAACAAAGAGTGGCTCAAGAAGAAGCACTTTAAGGTCCTGGAGTGGCCTAGCCAGTCTCCAGACCTTAATCCCATAGAAAATCTGTGGAGGGAGCTGAAGGTTTGAGTTGCCAAACGTCAGCCTCAAAACCTTAATGACTTGGAGAAGATCTGCAAAGAGGAGTGGGACAATATCCCTCCTGAGATGTGTGCAAACCTGGTGGCCAACTACAAGAAACGTCTGACCTCTGTGATATCCAACAAGGGTTTTGCCACCAAGTACTAAGTCATGTTTTGCAGAGGGGTCAAATACTTATTTCCCTCATAAATTGATTTGCATTTTAATAACATTTTTGACATACGTTTTTCTGGATTTTTTTGTTGTTATTCGGTCTCTCACTGTTCAAATAAACCTATAATTATAGACTGATCATTTCTTTGTCAGTGGGCAAATGTACAAAATCAGCAGGGGATCAAATACTTTTTCCCTCACTGTAAGTATTCAGACCCTTTACTCAGTACTTTGTTAAAGCACCTTTAGCAGCGATTATAGCCTTGAGTCTTCTTGGGTATGACGCTACAAGCTTGGCACACCTGTATTTGGGGAGTTTCTCCCATTCTTCTCTTCAGATCCACTCAAGCTCTGTCAGGTTGGATGGGGAGCATTGCTGCACAGCTATTTTTCAGGTCTCTGCAAAGATATTAGATCGGGTGGCTTCCGTCTGGCCACTCTACCATAAAGGCCTGATTGGTGGAGTGCTGCAGAGATGATTGTCCTTCTGGAAAGTTATCCCATCTCCACAGAGGAACTCTGGAGCTTTGTCAGAGTGACCATCAGGTTCTTGGTCACCTCCCTGACCAAGGCCGTTTTCCCCTGATTGCTCAGTTTGGCCGGGGTGGCCAGCTCTAGGAAGAGTCTTGGTGGTTACAAACGTCTTTTTTGGTACCCTTCACCAGATCTGTGCCTCGACACAATCCTGTCTCGGGGCTCTACGGACAATTCTTTTAACCTCATGGCTTGGTTTTTGCTCTGACATGCACTGTCAACTGTGGGACCTTATATAGACAGGTGTGTGACTTTCCAAATCAATCAATTGAATTTACCACAGGTGGACTCCAATCAAGTTGTAGAATCATCAAGGATGATCAATGGAAACAGGATGCACCTGAGCTCAATTTCGAGTGCCATAGCAATGGGTCTGAATACATATGTAAATAATTTCTCAAAACCTGTTTTCGCTTTGTCATTATGGGGTATTGTGTGTAGATTGATGAGGGAAAAATGTATTTAATCCATTTTAGAATATGTCTGTAACGTAACAAAACGTGGAAAAAGTCAAGGGGTCTGAATACTTTCCGAATGCACTGTAGCTATCATATGTACTTACACAAAAGTATGTGGACACCCCTTCAAATTAGTGGATTCGGCTATTTCAGCCACACCCGTTGCTGACCGGTGTATAAAATGGACCACACAGCCATGCAATCTCCATAGTCAAAATTGGCAATAGAATGGCTCGTACTGAAGGGCTCAGTGACTATCAGCCGCGAAGTGGTAGGCCACA